GGGGAGGAGCGAAGGTAGTTCAGGGGGAGGGCGGGAAAGCGACGTCAGTGGGGAGGGCATCGGTGGCCCCCGGGTAGGCCCTGATGGGAACCCCTGACATCAGGTGATATGCCGTGTAATACCGTGTAGTAACGGACTGGTACAGTGAAATGCCGTACAATGCCGTGCAGTACAGTGCTAAAAAAGAGCGATGTACGGCTGACCCTGTCCTTGGTCGTCCGCCAGCAGCACCACCCCAATGTACTTGACCATCACCACGAGGGTCAGTGTCCAGAAGATCAAGCTGGCGCCGCCCAGCACGTCGGCCTTTGAAAGGGGGGGAAAGAGCGGGGAACAGGAACGAAGGACGAAGGACGGAGCTTTCAATTCACTGAGGTGAGGGGGGAAAAGAAGTCCAAATGGCCACTTCGCGGTACCGATGTTCCCAAATGCAGATCCCCGGGGTGCGGGAAAACACACACGCACACACACATACACACACACACACGCACACACACGCGCACACACACACACATACACCTCCCTTCCTCCCTTCAGTCCTCACGTCCCTACATGCAGTCGACATCGGATCCTCCTCCCCTTCCCTCCCCTCACCTTCCGAGGCTGGCTGCCTGGAAGAAGGTCCGCGAAGATGCTGTTGTACACGTAGAGTGGCGAGGTGGCGATGTCGCCAAAAATGACCCCGATACTTGACCAGGACAGGAGTAGGAAGTTTGACCAGGATATCTGGCAGCATGTCGTGGGTTGCCAGGGGTTATGCGCCCCGGGTGGGGAGGGGGGAGGAGGGCGGCGCAGAGGCGGAAGGAGGGCGGGGAGCAGCAAGAAGGGAGGGTGAGAAGGTAAAAGGGAGTGTGAGTAAAAATCGGTGATTATTTCGTCTGATTGGAAAAGGTAAAGCGATTTTAGGCAGGCTTGAGATGGATCCGGCTAGGAGATCCGATGCTTCCGAACCGCGTCCTCTCCCGCGCCGCCCTGGCAGGGCTGGTTCCAATGGTGGAATTACAGCGGATGGGGAAAAAATAAATTCAGCACAATTTTATCCAGCTGAAATCTCGGGATGAATTTCGGATGCTGGATGAGGCCGCGGGGCTTTGCCCTGTCCCGGTCAGTTTGCGGCGAAAGCATTGTAAGCGCATGAATTGTAAGAAACACGCTGACCCAGCAACCTCCACTCGCCTTGCCATGTCCATGACTATGCAGATCATCACCCTCCAATTGGTTTGTTTCGCCTTTCAAATCGCCGCTAAAGCTCGCTTGCGGTCCTTGCCGTGTCTCCAGGCTTGCGCGAGCTGTTCGGGTTACCGACATCCTGAGAGCTCTATCTACCTTCGGCGCCAACCGCGATGCACAAACCTTTTGAAAGGATGCCCTTAATAAAAAGTGGTTTGCGCTAGCCGGCGTGACCCGGTGACCATGACGATATAGACATAACGGTTGACAGAGAGAGTGAACACGCCGTGACCCAGCCAAGCAGCCAGCTTTTTCTATGGTGAAATTACGCGTTTGATGATGATAGATTGCCACACATCAGAGCGCGCCAGGGAAATGCGATATCAGGTTTTAGTTCGTTGACATTTCGTATAACTAAGCTGCCTTGGCCTTCGCCAACTTCCACATTCCAGCACGTTCTCGGCTCCGCCGCGATTTTGACGCCCGTCCTTTGGGGTACTTTGGACAAAGCTACAATTTTGTTTTGTTTAGACCGATGGACCAACGCAAGAAGACCAATAAGTCGCATAGGGATTTTCATATATGGACCTCAAGCCTCCTCGAGCCTCCTCGAGCCAGAGCCACGACAAGATTTGCAGGCTGTGCAACCGTAACAGTATCAAGCGGAACCTTAATTTATCTGGAACATTCAATCTTAGAGAATTTTGGTAACATGCAAATCAGGTTGCGCCTTCTTGCCAGTGCACACGGACAGCTCACGCGCGCATTCCACAGGTTGCCAGCCCCCAACCCCCAACCCCACCGAACGCACATGCCATATAGGGTGGCATGCATGCGGTGTCCGGTAGCTACCGGTTATGTAAACATGTACGTATGTACGTATGTATACTACGGCACACACTTCTTCCCCCGGGACCGCACCTTCCAGGATTCCCCTCAGCCAGAGGGCTGCGCGAAGCGCAAACCCTACTCCAATTCCTGGCACTGCTCTTTGCCACTTGTTTAATTACAAAGTTGTCGATCTTACATGGCCCAGACGCGCCGACAGGAAGAAAAAATAACTTGGATCAATGAAAAACTGCTGTCGTACAGGCACCTTACGGTGCTTTAAGAGACACGCCATTCAACGTCCCCGCAACCCAAAACACCCTGAACCCCATCCGCCCCGCCGCACTAATGTGGACACAGGACCTCCTCCTCCTCCTCCTCCTCTATTCCGGGGGATTGCCTGGGTTTATCCTTTCCTCTGACCCGGGAAGGAAGGACAAACCCGAACCTGCTGTCGATGGCTGTGTGCTTGTGAGTGCGCATGTGTGTATGTGTGTATGTGTGTACGTGTGTACGTGTGTGCGTGTGAGAGAGAAATACATATCATCACAATTCCAGCCGGTAGGACAGAAGCCGCCGTTGCGTCACCACCACTACAAAAACCATTGGGTGGGGATTATCGACTGCGGCAACGTCGTTGGCGCTGGCGCTGGCGGATCCCTCCTCCTCCACCTCAACCAGCCTCGCCCCCAGCACCGTCTCACCGTCCTCCAACTGCAAATCCACCACCTGCTGCTTGCCGTACTCCTCCTGCGTCGAGGTACTGCCGTACATGTACATAAAGCACTGGCTCTCCACGAGTACGGCCGCCAGGGGTGTCGTACTGGTGCCGCAGACGCCGGCTAAGCTCGTGTTGCTGCCTGAGTCGATAGCTCCTGTACTTGAGAGCAGCAGGTGGCGTTTGAAAGTCTTACCGGCCGCAACGTAGGCGAGTGCGGGGATGCTGACGACGTGGCGAACCTGGGGCCCAGAAAAGCAGCACCAGCACCAGCACCAGCACCAGCACCAGCATCATTAGCAGGGGTAGGAAGCACCAGCACCCACCAGGAGACAGCCACAGATCATCATCATCATCAGCAGCAGCAGCGGTGGCAGTAGGAGGGGATTCAGAATCAGGGTCGGTGTCAGCAGTGGGGCTTGCAGCGTGTCAAAACACACACGCATACGCACGCGCATACGCGCGAGATATCTCTCTGTTTACATCGGAGACACTGCACACATGCATATGTGTGACGGGGGCCGCTGACCCCCTCTTTCCCCCCTCCCCTGAAATACCCTACTCTCGGTGTGTTCTCTAATTTTACCCCCACATCACTACTCCCAAGTATTTAGACCCACATCACTACTCCCAAGTATTTAGACCCACATCACTACTCCCAAGTATTTAGACCCAGCAGGACCAAACGGAACACCCCAGTGGACCCCCCCCCCACACACACACACACGCTGTTAGCCGTCCCCGACCACCGCCACCTTCCCTAGCCCCACCGCCTCCACTGCAGACGTCCGGTAGCTGCTGACCTCCCCACTGCCACATCCCAGGCATCGACCAACGGTTCATCGGTCAATGCCTCAATGCCACGTGTGTGTGTGTGTGTGTGTGTGTGTGAGAGACCAGGTGCCCCCCTAACGACCCAACTGCGCCCTCACTGCGTACCGGACCCTCACGACCCCCTTCTGCAGCCCCCTGCACACCTGCACGGCTTCCGGCAACTGCCCCTCCCCGTTACCCCCTCGCTCCCCCACGGCCCCGCTGGGCCCCGCACTCCGCCCGGCGCCAGAGCAGTCCACTCGCAGTACGGCACAGTCCACGTCATCTGTAACGCCCAGCAGCAGCAGTGGCGGCTGTGTCTGAGGGTGTTGGGCGGCCTGGTGATGCGCCTGCTGCTGGTGGTGGTGTTGACATGTCCGTACGGGCCCTTCGGCCGTCAGCAGGCGGTGGGCCCCGCAGCTGAGCCGCCAAACGGGCGCCAGGGGCTGCGGAGGAGAGAGGGCCGACGGTTGAGGTTTGGTTCAGCGCGTACCGCCAAAACAAAAACTCAAAGAAAAGGAAACAACTGCTACACGCGTCCAAATGCGTCCAAATGCATCCAAATGGCAAAAACGCGCTGGGGCCAGCCAAGCAGTGCGATGAGGCGGGGCCAGCCAAGCAATTCTCACGCGATTCACCATTACGTGGCCGTTACCCGGCGTTACCGCCGGAACTGCGCGACAAACCGATTCCGGTTTGCGCCTGTGCTTATATTGCGTGCGTGTGCGTGTGTGTGGGGGGGGGGCCGTGGATTATATGCTGCAAGAGAGCATGGAATAAACTGCCGGCGCCCAAAGTTTAAACCTGCTGGAGGGGTGTTGGGGAGGGGAGGGGAGGGGCGGTGTTTGCCACGCGCACCTTGTCAATACGCTGCCCCCGGCCTACAGCACCGGCTTGTCCTCCCGCGGCTCCACCGCCGCTGCCGCCGCTCCGAAACCTCCACGCCGCCAGGTCCATGGTGGGCTCATGCCCCATGGCCCCCACCCCGTCCAGCCCGCTCTCCTTGTAGATGTCCGCCCACTGCGCCCCCCACTGCGCCCCCTCCCGCTCCTCACTGGTCATGTGGGCCAGTCGTGCAGCTGCCGCCTCCAAGGTCCGCGGATCCACGTCGTCGTCGTCGTCGCCTTCATCGTCCATTGGGTCGCCACCGCCACCGCCACCGCACGCACTGTCGGCCCCACCTGACGGCATGGTGATGTCCATGGTTGCTGCGCCGGTTGCCATACGGGTGTGTGTTTCATAAGGTTGGATGCTCAGGTCCAGTAGCAGGAGCAGTAGCAGGAGCAGTAGCAGGAGAAAGGAGCAGCCGCGGATGGCCGGGAAAGGGATTACATGCAGCTGCCAATAGAACAACTGCCGGCCCGCACACCCTCCAAGGACCAGGGAGGGCCACAGACGGGCGGGGAGGGGGTGCGCCATGGTGGCGGTGGCATTGGTGGTCCTCGCGCAGTGGAGCTGTAAGAAGCAGGAGCGGTGGACCCGGGCTAAAGCATTTGGAAACCGTCAACTGGATCCAATAGTAACTGCAAAATATTTGTACAGAAAAATACATTTCTGAAAAAAACTAATTTCCCGACATTTCTGTAAGAGGATGCACATGGTGATGACGGTCCTCCTCACCGTCCACACCGTCATCTTCCTCAAGTCCCGCGGTACTGGGATCGAAGCCCAGCACCAGCATCCAATGGCGGTCCCCACTTCCGCTCACTTTACAGTCGCAACCCGCAGCACCACCGACCGGCTGTTCGAAAAACTCCGGCTGCTCCTGCTCCCCTGGGTGCGGGTGCGGGTGTGGTTGCCTCACCACCCGCGCCACGAAGGGCGGCAACTTGGTTCGCTGGGCGGGAGGGAGTTGACAAAGAACATACCAAGAGAAAGCGTCAGGTGTGGGTCTGTGTCTGTGCCTGTGTGTGTGTATGCGTGTTTGTGTCTGTGTATGTAAGGGGGTCATAAAGAAGGGTGAGGGACGGGTCGGTAGGAGGCAGCGGTATCCGCGAGGGGGAGGCCTTGCAACTGCGTTGTTCTTCGGGGATATCTTCCGGGGGTCATCATCCCGCTGGGTAATGTCTGTTCTGTGCGTCTGTCCGTCTGTCCGGGAGCTGTCGTTCCCTAAACGCCAGAACCCCTCCCCCTCCTTTCCCCTCCACCCCCACCCGCCCGCACACACACGTACGTACCAGGAGCAGCTGTACATCCACCGTGCTCAGATGCAGGTTGTCGCTGTTGGGGCGTGGAGGCCCCGACACCCCGGGTGCCCCTCCCCCTCCAGGAGGCTGCTGCTGCTGCTGCTGCTGCTGCCGCTCCCACACGGGCCGGAGCGCGACCGCGAAGACCTCACAGCAGGCGGCCAGGTGGGGGCCCTTGCTGCGCATCGCCCACACCACCGCCGTGATGTCGCCTGGGGGACAGTCGGCGAAGGCGGCGGAACAGGGGATGAACCGGGGTGATGCGAGACGCAAAGGGTCCGCCACGGCGGTTGTTGGACCCGTGTTGTTGGTCCTAAGCACCACCAACTGCTGGGAGTGGAGTCGGGAGGAAGGGAGTCCGGAAACCAAAGCGCACACATAGCGACTAAGAAACCCTAAGATGGAAGCTATGATACAACTGAGATCCGAGGCTTGGACTCCTCAGCGGTCCGCTTTCAAGAACGCATCGAGCTCAACTCCCACCCGTAACGAAAAAAACCGTGAATTCGTTAATTCCGTTGCCAAGTTCCAACCGACGACCTGAGAGATATGCATGGTAATTCTAATCCGTCCAGGGAGCGCCCCATTACGACGGACATACATGCAGGCATACATGCCCATTGCATCCGGCACCTACCGTTATCCGCCGCGAACGCCGCCTCGAGGATGAGCGGCCGTACACCGGTCAACGGCAGACGTGGTTGCAAGGGATATACTGGATTACTGTACGACACATGGTTGCCCAGGCGCCGCATGAGAACGATATCCCCATGTCCACGGGATAGCAGGAGTTGCTGCTGGGGTGGTGGGGAAGGCGGTGGTGGCGGCAGGGGGGAGGTGCCCATCGGGTGCTCTGAGCACGCTGTCAGGGCCGAGGTAAGAGGAGCAGCGCCTGGCGGCTGCGGGGCCTCCGCCACCACCGCCAGACTGCAATCTACCACTGCCTCAACCGCACCGCCCGCGGTCTCCTCCCCGGCTTCTGCTCCAAGTTCTGCCGTGCAGCACAAGACACGGGGCAACCGGAGCAGGTCGCGTATATATTCAATTCTGAGGGGGAGACTGCGGCACATGCTTGAAGTAGGGGTTGCACGGCCTCAAAGGACCGGTGTGCAATCTCGAGTTTTGCGAGCTTGCCTGCAACTTGAGATGCAAGGAATCCTGGATCAGATGCTGGGACCGCCAGCAACTCATAGACGAAATAGCCAGGTCTGTATTCGGACTGCGTGAATACAAAAAGCCTGCCTTCGCTTAGCAGCAGATGGTTCCGAAGTACGAACGCGCGAGTGTGCAGGAAGTCCAGAGCTGTCGTAGCTGTGGCCGATGCATGTCCTGTGACATAGAGCTTGTGACGATTAACAGTGGCGAGCTGCTGGAGTCGCCAACTGGAAAACCTCGTATGCATAAGGCCGCGTTCTAGCTTTAAGTCTTTTACCATCTTTTACACACTACCCTTACTTTGTGTAGAGGCAACGAACGTGATGAGAGAGGATTATGTTTTGGTGTTTCATGAGATCAGACGTCGGCAAAGCGCTTCGGGCGTTACGGGTCGTACCGAAACTCCCGAAACCAGACATAGAGTTCCCGAAGCCGGCCAGCTTGCAGAAATAGGATCATACGCCGTATACGAAAGGTGTTATGCGACCTGAAGGGCCGCCCGACGACCTAAGCCCGCGGTCAATTATGAAGAACAGGTCGCGGGCCATTGTACTGGAAGATGGAAGACAGAAATAGACCCGTTCCTGATACCAGAAATAACCCGTTTGCCGATGTCTGCATGAGATCATGAAATGCTCCACTTTGGTGGTGGTTTTTCTCGTTTATTCTGTTAGCTTTTCCCCAAGCTAGCGTCTTGAGGACTAGCAGCGCACAATTGGCTCCTAAATATTCCTATGGCTGTATGCTCTCTATTGCTAAGGGCGCCAAGCTCGTGTCGAGCGCTCTGGCGTAATTGCATTTCGCACCGCTTGCAAGGGGGTCGAACCTTTGCGGCAAAGATGGATCCAAGGGGAAAGCCAATTGCTCGTGGAGTTGTTTTTGGTATGGACGCTACAGGTTGCGATCAGGCAGCAGCGCCATGCCTCGCAGACCAGGCTGTCTTTCCCCGGCGCAGACATGGACGGGACGCTTCTCAAGCCCGTCATAGACTTTGCCGAAATGAGGTAGGTCCACTATACAATACTATATCTACAGCCAGTATTCCATGTCCCGCATGACCGTTGCATGACGACAACCTGGAGCCCACGCTGCCACGCACGCTGCTGCATCGCAACTCCCAGGCGCCGAGTGGGGTTGATGCCCGATCAGGGAGACATCTTGGACGTCATCAACCGATGGCCCGAAGCGGAGCGCGCGCGCGCGTACGCCACCATTGCGGAGATTGAAGAACAGGTGGAGCCGGCAGGCTGGGGAAGAGGGTAGAACAGGATGAAATAATCGGCGCCTTGCACTCCATTACCCAAATGCAACTCAATGAGGAATGGGGCAAAGGGTCATGTCATTGTGGCGTCTGGTTTTGTAGGGCGGGCGTTCGCTGCCCTGTTCGGTTTCGTTGGGTCGCTTCGGCTGGGTCGGCGCCTTCGCCAGGTCGGTCACGTGGCCACGGTAGCGCCTCCATTCCCCCCTTCTCCTCCCCACACACAAGGTCAACAGCCCCGTAATCCCCAGGGAGACGGATCCACCGAGCGCATCCGGCGGCCTTACGGATGTTTGCTTTGCAGGGAGGAAGCGCGTGAAGAAGCCGCTGGTGCCACCTCCTGGTCAGCCACGGCACTCCGCCCGCTGACCTCCTCTGTCCGTCCGCCGCAGGCCCTCCGCGACATGGCTCTGATGCCGGGGGCTCTGGAGCTGTGCGGCTTCCTGGACCAGAGAGGGATACCCAGGTGGGGCCATGAGCGGGAAGTGAGGGGAGGTACATGGAGGGGGGGTACATGGAGGGGAGGAGAGGTAGGTTTGGGGTTTGGTTGTGGGGCTGTACGTCTGAGTGGGCAGAGTGGTTACTGGCCAGATGTGATCTTTCAAGGAAGGGGTGGCCGCAGTGGATGTGTACGGTCGCACTTGGCTGTGTCGTACAGTTCTTACAGTTTTCATAAGCACCTGGCGTTACCCCGATGTTCCTTCGAAGCGGCGGCCCCCTAGAGTCCTAGGAGCTCTGTAGGGGCTGTGCGGACGACCCTTACCTTCCATCGCCCCATGTTCAGCTGCCCAGTGCCCCGCCCCGCTCCGCCCTGCCGTGGCTGCCATGCCCGCGGGTCCCGGTGACGCTGCAGGGGCCTCATAACCCGCAATGTACGGCGTAGCGTGCAGCACTTCCACGACTTTCTGGGCTTGGTGCCGTTCAAGCCCGCCATCACGCGCGAATGCGAGTTTCCGTACAAGTAAGGCCCCGGGCAGCAGGCATAGGTGCCCCCGAACCGGCATCCTTCCCGTCTGTCTGTCCGTCTGTCTGACAGTAGTAGTTGGTGTGGTGCGGAATGTGGGTTGTATGCTGTGGGCCGGACCTTCCACATCCCCGGAAGGTGGTGGGCCCTTCCTATGATCGCTCCGAGCTCACACGTCCTGGCACAAGCGGGTGGTCTTGCCGACTCATCGCGCCGCTCTGCCAACTGGCGTCTAAAGGCTTGACACGCAACGCGGACACATGGATGAGGGACCGCGTCTGCCTGTCTGCCTGTCTGTCTGTCTGCCGCTCTGCCTGCTGATCCGTCTGGCCGTCCATCCGCCAGACCTTGGATCTTGCTACGAATTGAAGACTAGCAACCTTGTGAGAGTGGATAGGACGGGAGGGCTCCTCGGCTCGTCTGTGCCACCTACGGGGCCCCTGGCCGGGTACCCCGTCGGAGCCACTCGAGGTCTCCTTTTCCCTGTCCCCTTACTTTACCACCGTCCGTGCCTCAGGCCTAGTCCCGCCGCCCTGCAGCATATCGCCTCCAGCTGGGGTGTGGAGATCGGCCAGGTGCTCATGGTGGGAGATAGCGTCCAGGATGACGTGGTGAGGTGATGAGAGTGGGAGAGGGAGGGGAGGAAGGGGGAGCGGGAGGGTGCTGGAGGGTGAAGGCTGGGTTGCAGCCTGGGGACGCTTGCAGGGGGCTTTAAGGTGCGCGGGGATGTGATTAGCTGAGCTTGGAAGAAGGAAGGGGCCCTTGCCGCAAAACCCCCGGGGCCAAGGGTTTAGGGGTGCAGGGGGCCCCTGTTGGCGGACGCGGGCGGCATCACGTGATGATCCCTGAAACCCAAATTCCTGGAAAGACCCGCCAACGGACCACACCCGCCGGAAACATTCGAATGGGGGCCCCGCATTGCGCTGTGTGCTCGCTGTCCATGGTTCATTTTCTCAGGCGCCGTTTCGAAACTGGAAAGCGAGCACCCGGGTGGGGTGCGTGTGTGTGTCTGCGTGCTTCTGTTTCCCATTTCCTGTTTCCCCACTTTCGCTCGTGAACACGTGCCGCGGTGCTTCATGTTCCATTTCCCTCAGTGACCGGGACGTGCTTTCTCGCCTTCTTATTTTGCCGTCCTGCGTATTCCCCTAACTGACCTGTCCGTTGCTTTGCCTGCCTGGTGCTCCGCGGTGGCTATACCGCAGCGCCTTTCTGGGCTTTCCAGTGACTGAACTGTCTCCGCGGTCCGGAGGGCCCCTGTGTCCGCAGGGTCCGCGTTATTGCCTGTCTGTCTGTCTGTCCTTCGGTCTGTCTGTCTGTCTGTCTGTCTGTCTGTCCGTCTTACCTGATGCACGGCCCACTGAGGCCCCAGGACAAGGGCCCCCACTGGGGCTTCTTGTGTCCGCATGACCCTCCCCCCTGTCCCCAATGACTACTTCACAAGCCACTACTGGTTGTTAACTTCTTAAAATTCCTGACAGTATCCGTCTATCTCAGGTAACCACTCGTCTGTGGTTCGTCTTTCCCCCTGCCAACCCCACATGTCAACCTCATCCGTCCAGGTGAGCGGCAACCGCGCCGGCGCCATCACGGTGCTTCTGGATCACGCAGCTCGCAGAGGTCCCGAGTCCTTCAGTGGAGAGCGGCGGCCCACACATGTGGTGAGCGGGAGGTGGGAACCGCCAACATATTAGCTTGAGAGCGTTAATGTTCCGGTATTTTTGCTCAAGCGGTTCGCCCGGCGGCTGGACACTGTCCAAGTTATGAGTCAGTTCGTGAAGGGGCCTTCGCAAAAAAAGAACCCCGCCTGCTGCCGAGAGCAGCCCCTACATTCTTGGCGCAACACAATACCGCACACGGCAAACCAATCTCTGAGAAATGGAGACTACATACTTCGGAGATAACATGAACTCTAACAATCTGAGCCGCGGGCAAGGCCACTGGCGAGGATGGTGCACGTGTGTGTGATAGTGTGTATGCGTTACATGGTTGGGGGTGCGTGACCCCATACCTGTAAAACTACCCATACGAGCCGAAGGCCCAAGGGCAATAGTGTGTATGCATGTACGTGATTCCGAGCGCCGACCGGGCCTGATGGGTGCTGCCCTGTGGAGGTCTCTACGCCGGGGCCCCGGTCCCCGGTCCATCCATAGCTGTCTTACAAGCGCACCTTGCCGTACAACCGTTTTCCCAACAGGTGGGCAGTCTAACGGACTTGCAGGATCTGTTGGAGACGTCGTACACGCTGCTGCCTCCGCCGTTCCAGAAAGCCACAGTCTTGACCACCCAAGACTAACGTTTGATGCTGGGTTGGCTATCATGATGCTATAGGCCAGGGTGACTTCGGTGGGTGTATGGTGAGCGCAATAGGCCGATAGGCGAGGGCAGGGTCCGTGCCGTCGGCAACATGCCAATGTGTCAACTTAGGGGTGTTGAGCAGCCGGGTAGGGAGCTCCCTTCTGGATTGGGATGGGGACTGAAGAGGAGAGTTTTGGGGGGTTCGTGGATTTGAGAGCAAGGTTACCTGGACATCGCCTTGCTGGGTGAGGCCTTGGCTTATGATGGCTGGTGTCTATGCGTTAAGCGAATCCCCGATATCGCCGGAACACCGCCGGAACTCCTCTTAACTCGCCGCCGGGATCTCTAGCTCAAGAGATCGCGGTACGAGGAGAAGTAGATACTGAACCGTTACAAGATTATACTTGGGATCGGCTAGTTGGCTCTTGACGGTGGTTGTCATAGTGGTATGTGCGTGTATGCGTATATGTGTATGCGATTGTGTGTGTGCGTGGCGTGGAGGACGAGCGACACCAGGGATGCGGCGGGTCCTTTTGGTGCTATTATTCCGCGCGCCGGTCAACGCGTCCGCCCAGCGGCCAGAGGCGAATGCAACATCACACAACGCCCGCAATCAAATTAGCTCCCCGAAGAACCTAACACACAATCACGGGGCCCCCAACAGCTTAAGACCCTCATCATTGCAGCCAGTCAGCCGCAGTCAGGCGAGCGCTGTCATCATCGTCTATTGGTCACCTGCGATGGCTTTGTTGATCCTATCGAGTCCTACTCAACAGTTGGACTGTAATGTCAGGAGCGCGGCATGTGACTGGTTTGCGGCATAAAAGCTGTTATTCTCTGTTATTGTCATATGACATGTGATCACCATAGCAGCAAAGTGCGAGGGATTCGTAAACAGGGGGATAGGCCAAGCGTACGGCTGAAGATCCGGACTTTGTCAATAGCAGTGGCCGAAGTGCAAGCTGCAACTGGGGTGCTCCAGCTGGGGTGTGGAGATTAGCCAGGTGCTTATGGTGGGAGATAGCGTCCAGGATGACGTGGTAAGGTGATGAGAGTGGGAGAGGGAGGGGAGGAAGGGGGAGCGGGAGGGTGCTGGAGGATGAAGGCTGGGTTGCAGCCTGGGGACGCTTGCACGGGGCTTTAAGGTGCGCGGGGATGTGATTAGCTGAGCTTGGAAGAAGGAAGGGGCCCTTGCCGCAAAACCCCCGGGGCCAAGGGTTTAGGGGTGCAGGGGGCCCCTGTTGGCAGACGCGGCATCACGTGATGATCACTGAGTTTTGGGGGTTCGAGGCAGTTTTGGGGGTTTCATGGCAGTCCGACATGCTTGCCAAGCACCCTCTCCCAAAGGGGCCCCAAAAAAGGAGATATAGTTAAGGAGCCGATGTGCACCTTCAACACCCGTCTCCCCAACTCCTGCGTTTAACAAGGTGGCAAAGTGATCCCGAAATACATGCAAGTCGTCAATTGCACAACGCTCCCTGAGTTGCCCTCCCAAGGCCGGCCATAATGCACGCTGTTCGTGCCTGCACCTAACCACAAACTCACGCATCCTATCTGCATCATGTCCTGCTCGGGCACAACGTTTGGCACGATTCATTGTGTTACGTGCCTTGCAGAACGCTTCCCACAAAGGACCTGACTTATTCTCGACCCTGCCAGGGCCAAGCCTCACCCTGCAAGCAAGCATGTGTTGCCGGGCGCTTTGGCATTCCTCATTCCACCATAGTGCACCATCCCCCACTTGCATACCCTCAGGCCTGCGACCCGCAAATACTCGAATCAGCACCTTCCGCAGGAGGGTACTAATGCGCTCCACCGACTCCGTGCTGTCGCAGGTCCCATTAGATAGGTCCGTGATCACCCCATTTAGTGCATGCATGACCTGAGATCCCTCAGTGAAAGTGGCTTTACGATAGTTCGCCAATACGCTGTTTTACTTACCCGTCACAAGAAATATTTAAATGGTAATCATTAAAGTATTAATTGAATGCACTCAGCTTGGATTAATGTCACCAAGGTCCTCAAACCTTTGCCTAGCGTGCATGTACATGCCAATCAGATTGACGACCGGAGCCATAATAAAATCATACCAGTAATTCCTCTTTGGATGTTACGGGTTTCTGCTCAATTGGGCTTCGACCCTAAAATGCCTTGCGGTCCGCGGGTCCGCCCTCAAAAATTCTGCTCTTCTGCAGCTTATATGACGCAACTGTTCAGTTCTTTCTGAGTGAAGTTGACCTCCATGTTCTTTCGTGGATCCCAAACGCTCATCACTGTACGACTCCCCTTGACCAGGGTCAGAGAGTACCATAGGCTTGGCACATGGCAGTAACAAATTTGTTGTGATACTAGGATATATTATAAATATTTATCTCATCGATGAGTAAGTACATCCCTAAGTCCAATAAGTACCTTATCATACCCGTCAGTCCGCAGGCTCCCGATGCCGTGAGCAGACCTCAATCACGGTGTACATCGGTACTGGTGGCTTGTGCCATCAGTCTATTTTTCCTATTAGTCTTTGTCGCGCTCCATGGCTCACGTGTATCTGGCCCCAGGGCTGCCGCACCTGGTTTCATCTCTGATATTTATGTTATTGATAGTCATCGGAGACCACTCGGGAATCATGCGGCGGCTGATCTCTGCAGTTGGCTGGGACGTCATGGCGGCGAGCTGTTGAGGAAGGTGCCTTGCACACCCTTCCCGGGATTTGGGCCTGGAGACTTGGCGCGTGACCAGATCATAGATCTCATAGCTAAACGGATTGTGGCACCTGAGACTCACGCGAAACCGCAGGGTCTGTTGACCCATCTGTTGTACCGACTAGGCGTTAGCGACGCGTGTCCACTCTTCAACGAGCAAGAAGAGGTCGTCGACATGGAATCCTTAAGTTCAGCGGCTTCACATGCACTTGCCTGGCAGAACTGGACGATGGGAATGCTGAAGCAAGGTCTTCCTGCTGCGGAGCGGGCTAAGCGGCTACTTATAATCTTCGAGGTGAGCCAGCTTGTCTGCAAGTACGTTTTACTGCTATCCACAGCGCAAGGCTTCAGAGCTATGGATATTCACAGCGTTTCCCGGTTGGTTTTTGCCAGTCCGCTTAAACTGATTGTGTATGTCGATTGCCCCAACAGGATGACGCCGTTGTGACGACTGACACCGTCGCGGCGCTGCAGAGTGCTTTACCGAAACTCGACCCTTCCTTTGACATCCTGGCGCTGGACTCTGCTGGCAGCTTCTGTTCCCTCAGCTGTCGTCTGGACTGGGTGATGCGCATGCTAGGCCTTCACACGCCCGGGTCCTTACCGCGGCTCATCCGAGCACGCATCTCCTTCAGCCGGACGACGGGAGTCGTGCTCTCCTACAAAGGTGCCGTACAGCTCTTCCGCTACTTGCCGATCACACGGGTGTCAGATCTATGGGAGCGCGACCTGGTGACGGATAGGATCCTGAAGGTCTACGTGGCCTGCCCTCGTGTTGTAACGTCATGGAGAGCTGGTGAAGGACGTTGAGACCAGCAAGCGGCTCTGGGTATGCATCCTTGAGCTTAAGCCCGAGTTTTTTTATGCCTTCAATTTAACGTGGCCCCCGCATGTCAGCGATGGGCTGGTGTACAGTGAACGAGTCCTGGTTGTCCTTGGCGCCCCGTGGGGCCCAGCCCGATCACATCGACAAGACTATCTTGGCTCCGGAAGGGGTGGCATGTGTTGCATAAGCTAGCTGCAGGTCGACTGCGTTTGTAGAAAAATTATCGTATGCACATTCGTATGAGAGCATTTGCATAAGAGCTGGTGGAGCCTCGTTTATGCATTTTAAGACGTCCTTGGAGCTCTATCACAATGTCGTCGAGGTCCCTGGAAGACTCGCCGTGTACCCTCTTGGTCGATCATAGAGGGTCGCCGTGTACCCTCTTGGTCGATCATAGGTCGTTCACATCATTTATGATGTGAACGAAATCCCTTCTTGCAGAACTGGTGGTATGCAAAACCCTGGTCAAAGGCCTTCCATTCTTAGCAGTTTTGGTGTCCGCCGCTGTGTAGGCGTGCTAAAGCTCGGCCGTGTAGGCATTGGTGGGAGCTGCACTTTCTTTCCGTAGTCATAGCTCAGCTTCTGCTGAGAGCGCAGATTCTGTTGATCACCGTTTGTAGGGTAGCCAGGACAGGAGCCAGCGGCTCCAGGGATGGTTTCCGACAGGTGCGTGTCCAGTAATATTAGGGCTTGCGGACTCAATGTCAATCTGAGACGGTCAAATATCCGGGCGGGGCAGTGTGATTGCGCCCGTTCCCTGAAGGCACTGGCCCCTGTTCCATCCGTGGATTTGGCTAATACGCTTGACAGGTCAGCATGTTCCCGCACGCGTAGTGTGCTTAGTGTCTTATAGGATCGGACAGTTATGCATTCGGGTTCTTGGAACGGACTATTCGTGCCTATTGACTAGATCGGAAGATGCTCGACATTGCTAAGAGTAGATTTCTATTGACCGTCGCGATTGGGCGATTCGCGACGGGAGTGGGTGAATGTGAGTACCGAGGAAGGATTCGGGATCAGGTTGGATGAGGATTTGCGTAGAGTGATTAAAGAGCTTCCATTAGTTCTGCTTGTGCTCAGGGCGTGATCCCGGAGCTTCACCTCGCAGCAAGCTGTTGCGTTAAGAGGGCTGTGATAGAAGCTTGCGCGTTGAATTTTTTCAGAGACATCTGACGCCTCTTCAGAGGTCACCGCGAGTGTGCGGCAGAGGCATAACGCCTTCCGGAGCCGTTTGCGTGTTCGGTCATTCCCTAAATCGACAGGAGGCGAGCTTTCCGTCTTCTTCGTAGGACGTCGGCTCGTCCATCGCATCCTCATGTAATAATTTTAGCGGGCCTGTTAGCGGTTCCTAAGTAGGAGCAGATGGTGCTGCCCAGCTGCTTTTCGAACTTCGGTTTTGGACCCATAATTGGCAAGCGTATGCACCGTTTAAACTTTCAATGTAAAGTTAATTTCGCCATGTGAACTGAAAGTCGATGACGGCTTGGGTCCTGCCAACTAGACCCCACCTCATCCAGTCACCCGACATCCGTAGACACAGATTAGCAATCGCCACCAATCCAGCATGCAGAACTCAGTCACCACCAACTAAACATCACCTCCCTCTGCGTGTTTAAATGATTCCAACGTGTTGGACGAGAGGGGGCTCCTTAAGTGTCGGCATGCACCATCCGTGTGTGCCCCAAAAATAGTCGCGCTGGCTGCGTCATGAACAACATTCCAAACTATACGTGCGGTCGGCCGGGCAGGGTATGGCCCCTACTCAAACACAATCCTACTGTCTACGCATGAGCTGCTGGGGATTTCCCTTTCCTCATTGGTGGCCTGCGGAGCCTGGCACACAAGCCGTACACCGCATGCAAGCAGCAGTGCCTGCACGGTGCGGGCTAGGGCCGCTGTCGTTGTACTTGAACATTCTAGCATGGATAAGGAAAATTATATGCGTAGAGGTCCTTATCGCTTCGAGTCCTATCATGGATGAATGTTGGATGTTACAAGCTTCGGCGAGCTCGTACGGCTCAAACGAACCCGGAGGCTCACTCGCTTTGGCAGGGCAGTCCGTACGGCATAGGAGTGCAAGCACAAGAACGCCGACACGTTGGGAGTACACACTTGTTATTGTAATTCTCAAACAATAAAGGTCCGCAGACTTGCTATGGCGGCGTAGACCTGTCTGGATCGTCGCAAGCGTGCAGCCGCCATAGCATTATCATTATTGACGGAACAGTTAGCCTTCTTGTGATGCGGCAATCCGTAGGATGACATACACACAAAACGCCTTGAACTGCCAGCCAGCAGACCGAAGGGCCGTTCGACACCGGCCCTTCGGTCTGCTGGCTGACAGTTCAAGGCGCGCCAAAGTGCCCGTGCTTCATGGACCAATTGTTGTCCGCTCCCAGCCAGAACGCATTCGGGGATCGTTCCAATTGCACATTTTGAAGTCGGAATGCAGCGGCAAAGCTGATGGTGTGTCGCAAAGGCACACCTCATTTGAACTTGGATTGAATGAATGAAGATGAGAATAAGAAGGACAACAATCAAACAGGCACGAGCGAGATGCTAGGAGGGAGAGCGTTGCCATGGGTCGGTCTAAAGTTGCCGAGCATGAAGGAACCAACCCATAAAGAGTCATGCCGTTTGCTTATGAATCTATAATGTAAGGGACATGCAAGGACGTCAGAGGCAAGGGCTGCGGCGTGAGGGGAAGTCAAACTCGAAGCCATGGAAAGCTATCTTCGCGCTCCGGTGTATCTGAATATTCTCCTTTGGCCAATCGATAAAGAATTGGTGTAGCTTTTATATGCAAGCTTTAGCGGAGTGAGATATGTAAATTGATCTCACCCTGGAAAGCTATCTTCGGCCGCAGATATATCTGAATTCATTCCCTTGATCTATCAATAGAATTAGAATAGCTTTCAGACGCAATTTAAAGCGGGGCGAACTATGCGAAATATGATGAAATGTTACACCATGACTGACTGACGGACGGACTGACGGACCGACAACAGTGAACCTAGGGGGCTCGGCCCCCCGAATGGCGCTTCGTGCCCGGGGCCTCGCCCAAAAAATGCTTTTGCAAGGCCGCGTTGATCATCCACTTGCATGGCATCACGGATATCCGCATTGACGGACCGAGATCCCAGAGCTTCTGCCGCGCAGACACAAAAACTACCAAAAACTGTTTCTCATCCAATCCTATCAGCTTGAAAAATCTTCCCGAACGCCTGACTTGGAGCGCGATCCCCAGGCCACCAGGACGAGAAAGCACTAGGTTCGCCTGAAAATCTAGGTCGTCAATTAATTTCTTTAATTTTATCGTAACTCAAAAATAGAGCTTCGCGTTGGTTGCAAAAGCTTCCCCAGTTTAAAAGCGGCAAGAAGTCGCAAAATTAATGCACTCTTATCCGCGTTTGTACCCAGACAAGTTAGCGTTGAATGACCTGAAATAATATAATGAACGGGACAACTCAGGATTCTTCATACAATTTTGTCTTTTGTAGTACGGCGCCTTGCAGCTTACAGTACTACGGTACATACCCTGAAAGCCGGAATGACCTCAATTGCGTTTCATAGTCGGTGTGTATGCTAAACATTAATTCCCACTGTGAATTGTTATCAACCACATTGCCATCCATGCAGCATGGAGGCAAGGGTGGAACTAGTGAGGTTCGGGCCAGGTGCTCGCATGTTCATGTATGTATCTCATCTACACACTCCAATGTACCACATATTGTTAGCCCGATAGTGCTTAGTCCACATGCAGTCAGCCCTCATACCTTCTCTCTGGAAGGACAACCCATCAGGCAACTCGGGCAGCAATTCTTTCCAATATGGAAGCGATTTCTTGTGGCCGTAATCCCGCTCTTTCTTTTGTTGCTGGTTCTGTCAGCTGTCTTTGTCTCAAACAATGGCCGGCCCGCTCAGCTTGGGGGCCCGTCAAAGGTGCCTTGCGCTACGCGTGGCTTACCCCTGGCTATCTCAGACATATATGTCATCCATAGCTATTGGAGTCCTGAGCGGCGCCACATCGCCCCGGCACTCTGCGATTGGTTTAAAAGGGAGGGTGGCCAGCTGGCGAATGTACCGTGCACGCTGTTCCCTGGATTTTGGGCGCGTGGCGCAACACGCGACCAGATATTGGATCTAGTGGCGCGTCGCATTGTTGCACCGGAGACGCACGCAAAGCCGCAGGGGCCCCTCACCCAGCTGTTGTACAGGCTTGGGTTTAGCGCCGCTGCTCCGCTCTTTGACGACGAGGAGAAAGTCATAAATCTCTCGTATCTGGGGACTGCTGCATCGCACCTGCTGGCTGTACAGAACTGGACCATGGAGATGGTGAAACAAGGTGTTCCTCCGGCGGAGCGCACAAATCGCCACCTGCTGCTGTTTGAAGTGAGTGGTGCGTATTGTGGGAGAAAGATAGCAGCCAACTGTGGTTTGGAGTTGCTTCATCGTATCACGGAGGTTCGGTTGGGCCGTCATACGTCCGTTGGGTTGTCATCCTGTCCGCTGCACAATGCTTAATTTTCCTCGATTACACATATTCCTCATGAGTTCCTGCTACAGAGCTATGGAACTTTTTCCTCCGGGTACGTTTGGTTATCCCAAGTGTATATGTAAAGATGCCCAATGCCAATCAATTTCGAATCCGGTACGACAGTTTGCACCTCATAGCTGAACGTGAGCATGCACGCACTGTGCGTTTTCGGTAGCGCTTGAAGGCCAAAGTCTTCTAGCACATGCCAGACCAATGTATGGACGAGCAGGGTTTGCGCGGAAGCGCAGATTAAACTTCGTCCCAAACCCACATCGTCCAAGCCTGTGACTCGTTCCTTTTGTGGCGTTTTGATTTGCTTGCTAATTAGCACGCTGGCACTCAGTTCGCTTGCATGCGATGTTGGTCTCTTGTTACTCACAGGACGATGCCGTAGTAACGCCGGAGACCGTGACGGCATTACAAGGGGTACTCCAGGATCTGGATCCCTGCTATGACGTCGTCGGACTGGATTCCACGGATAACTTCTGTACCTTCAGCTCTTTCACGACAGCCTTGCTGGACACGTTTCTCCTGCGCAAGTCTCCGTCATCGCGGCTCGTGCCGGCGCGCATGTCGTACAGCAGGAATACCGGCTTGGTAATGTCGTACAAGGGTGCTATGAACCTCCTCAGTGGCTTACCCGTTACAAGAGAGATTGACTTGTGGTTTCGGGACCTCATGACGGATCAGGTGCTGAAGATCTTTGTCATCTGCCCGCGGATAGTGGGGCCTATAGGACTGGAGACGGTGCAATAGCAACCGGATGCGTGGGTGGAGTTGGTTGCCCTCGGCCCTCGGCCAGTATCTTGCGCTTGCATTGGAAAATGTGCTCTCTGGTTAAGGTCGCCGTATCTGTATATTTTTTACGTCGGACGTGGACCGATTACACTCCGGTCAGCTGTGACGACCTGCATCAGACTTGATGGCCTATTCAGGCAACATTTCGGACTAAACATAATGAGAAATCGAGTTATGATTAATTAATTGCGTGAGTTTGTTGTTTCTGTCATTGGACTGTGCAGAGCGTCTTGAACTCTTGTGTGTTGGCTGTGTACCAAGAACCCGTACAGTTTGGAACCTGTGATGTCGGTCTTGCGTGACGAATGGATAGTGTAGCGGACTCAAGGGATAACAAGGTATAGAGCAGCGCTTTAGAAGCAGGTTTGTGGACGGCAGTGTTGTCCCGCCCAGGTGCGGAAACACGAGGTGGGTGCCGAATATAGCAGCTGGGGGGTTCTAGGGAAAAACTCGGGCATCGTGTGCTATGTGCGCGTGTGCACGGTCGGTGCGGTCACTGCAGGCAAATCTGTAGTGAGGATTGCGGAGGAGCTGGAAAAGGGAAATCGCATCTCTTTGAGAAAAGCCACGGAAACGGAGCCGTGGCTTTCCTACAGTGCCAAGGGGGCGGCGGCCCGCAGCCGGACGCAGTGTCCCGGAAGCTCCGCTGCCCACAGCGCACGCCCAACACACTGCAACACGAACCCCCAGCCGGTGGGCCCGCGCCTCTCTCAACCACTAGTAGCTGTCCGCATTCCACCACCACAAACGCGGCCAATTAACCCTCAAGGCTTCCTCCTTATCACTGCATAATATGGCACTTGTATTCATGTTCCCTTGGGACCGCTGTATGTCTCAACCTCTCGATGCCCGATCGGCTGGAAAACTTCGCCTGGGCCCCCCCTTCAAACTTAGTTCCGTCAAGGGTACTAGCCGGTGCGTCCAGACGCGTCCGGAGAACCCTCCCCCGCCATACCCCAAAACGCAGCACGTAGCACGCGCCGTACATACTCCCGCTGCTGCCCTGCATCCAGCCTGCCGCGGGAGGGCGTCCCCACATCCACACCCGCCTCCGTGTGCACCGGTGTGGGCACCACCACCACAACCCAGCCGCGTGCCCGCAGTAACCGAACCCTGACCGCCAGCGGGCCCCAGTAGACGTGCGGCTGACCAACCGCCTGGAGCTCGGGGGTCGCAATCAAGAACGCGAAACGCCGGACCGTATCACAAACCGCACTGGTGCCCGCCCCAGCGGAGCGCACACTCGGCGGGCTCTCAGGCCGGCCGTCACGCACCTCATCCTGCCCCTGCGCTAGCCACACTCCTGAAAGGTGGTGTATCTCCGCTGACTGTGGAGGTGGTGCACCAGCCGGCTCACGGCTCGAAGCTAGCCGCGAAGAAGGATGCAGCTGCGACAGGGGCTCCGTAGTCGGAGGCGGCGACGGCCCTGTTGCAGCCACATCCACCGGCACTAGGCCGTCCTCTGATCTACCGTCGATCTGCACATCCCGGAAGCCCATCTCGTCCAACGCGGCGCATAGCTCAACCACCAGCCTCCGAGTCCGTGCCGCGGGAGCCGCGTTCCACGCGTCCGTCACTCGCTTCATAAGCGCCGGCGGCAGCGGTAGCGGAAGCTGCCCGCTCTGAACCCCCATCGCTGTCGCCATCACCGTCGCTGGCGCAGCCGCAGCCACGACAGCCCTCCCGTACTCCACCGACATCGCGTGCGCCTGCGCTAGCTGCTCCAGCTCCGGCTGCAAGAAGGACTCGGAAGGCGTGGCAGCCAAAAGCTCGGACAGGGCCTTCAGGAGCTCCAGCACAGGATGGTGGTAGAGACCGCCGGCGGCCCGCAGGTACGCAGGCGATGGCGCTGCGGCCTCCGGTGGCGGTGGCGGCAGCGGCGCCGGTGGCAACGCATGCAGTACTGCTGTGCAGCACCACGTAAGAGTCACCACCTCATCGCTGGTTAGCTCATCCAATCGAGACAGCAGTACCGCAGCGGCTGCACGAAAGAGCCCGTCGTGGTAGCATCCATCGCCGCTGCCACCGCACAAGCCAGCAGCCCAGGTGGCGTGCGCCTCAAGCAAGGCCACTACGTGGTGTAGCTCCAGGTCCGGCGGCAGCCACGGCGGCGCTGCCTCCGCGACCTCCGACGCCGCCGCGGCAGCGGCAGCAGCGCCAGCGGCCGCCAGCTGTACCTTCGCCAGCTCTGCCACACGGTCCAGCAGCAGAGGATTATACAGCCGCAGCGCCGAATGCGCCCATGCCACGTCAGACAGAACCTTGAGGCCGGGGCCGGGGGCAGCAGCCGCCCCCGGCCCCGCTGGCGGCGGCGCATCCAGCACCAGACGGGCACAGGCATCCATAAGGCCGCGGTTCAGGAGGCCAGCAGTGGCGGCGGCCCAAGCGACCGTCGCAAGGTCCGCTGGCGCAAAGGCGCGCGCATGTTCGGAGGCAGCACGCACTGCGCGCGTGAGCAGTTCGTCGCATTCAGGCAGGCGCGCGACGGCCAGTCCCCATGCGAGTGCTGCAATATCCCGCGGCTCCAGGCGCTGCAGCATCTGCCGCAGCTGGCCTGCTAGTGCACGCAGCAGCGGCGGCTCCTGCACGCCCACGGCCACGAAAGCCCACAGCAATTTGATGAGTGAGGCAGCGGACATGTCATCGCTCGCGACGGGGTCGCCGCGCCGCAGAGCCGCCGCCGCTACCGCGGCGGTGCTGCCGTTGCCACCGCGGGCGGCTGCGGCGGCCTCCCGGCGAAGCACGGCTGCGGCGTTGAGCAGCCGCCGTGTACGGATCTGCGCCCTGTAGTACAAGAGCTCATCCACATAGCCGGAGATTGCATAGGCGGCCATCAAATTTGCCAACTCCTGCGGATTCAGGAGGTCAATACGTCGCCAGCGGCTGCTGCGGAGGGCTGTGGAGGTGGCGGGTAGGTGGTACCGCCGGCCTCCGCGGCGGCGGCGGCGCTGCCGCGGTTGCGACACCGCAACCCTGCCGCCGCCGGTGGCGCTGGGCCAGTGTTCCTCCTCCCTCTCCTCCTCGTCTTCCTCCTCCTCCTCCTCCTCCATCTCGTCCTCCACGTCATCATCTTCTCCGTACATCGGCGCTGCCTCACCCGGGATGAGATCTCCGGGAAACGACCGCGCAGCTGCCGCCACCTCAGCTCCGCCGCCGCCGCCCCGTAGCGCCGTCATCGTGACGGCGGCAGCGCCGAAGAATTCGGCGTTGCGCACCCCCAGCTGTGCCAACGATAATGCCACACAGCTGAGCTCACCCCCGCTGAAACGCCCCACGATGGCAGTGGCGATTGTGGTGGCGAGTGAAAGGAAGTCGGACTGGCGGTGCTGCACCTCCGCTAGCGCCCACAGTGCCAGTGCCAGCGGCTGAGGCTGAATGGCCGCCAGGTGGAGCCGAAGCGCGTCACACAGCCGCGTGTACACCGCCTGAGGAAGGACGTCGGGATGCATCCATCACCCATCCATCCACACATCCATCCATGGGTTTGCAGCTACAGCATATGTAAATGCACTGACGCACATATGGACATGTGTGTGTTTACGCGGGCCACCCACCTGGTCGTAGCAGCCCGCCCAGGCCAGGCCCCGCAGCAGCAGGGCGATGCTCACATCCGCATGTGGGGACTCCGCCAGCTCGCGGCGATGGAGGGCCCCCGCGCGGAGGAGCAGAGCGGCGAACAGACCTCGATCCATAAACCTAGGAGACACACACAACAACAGCGCGTTTGGGGGCGGAGGGAGGGGCCGCGGCGGAGGGAGGACAGTGAACGGGAGGCGGGGAAAATGGAGGTTAGTACAATAGCGACAACAGCAGATGCGACGTAAGTGGTGACGCGATGTACATTCTTTCTGTAATATTTCTCCCTCCCTTGCTTCGCCACCGCCACACACCTGGCCATGCGGTACGCAGACGCCACCATGGCCGCCTCCCGCAGAGTCAACCTGGCCGCGCCCTCCCGCAGCCTCCACGCCGCCCGCACCAGCAGCCGCCCATCAGCCAGCCGCTCCTTCACCAGCGCCCACACCACCTGGCGGGCAGTACGGCACCAGGAGGGGCCGCCGTCGTGATACCCGACAGGGGCGGATGAAGGGGAGGAGGAGGGGAATCCTATGATGCAAGGAAATCGGAAATGAACTGTCCGAAGGCGTCCAAAGCTCAAAAGTGCTGGAGTCGGTGGAGGTGCGGAGTGCTGGTTGGTAATAGACACGCTTGGGAAGGAAGACGCCCCATCTGGCAGATTCTGGCGGGTCCTCTTCCTCCTCCTCCCTCCTTACCTGCGCTACCACACCCTCGTCCCCCTTGTCAAATAGCTGCAGCTCCCAGGCCCGTCGCTCCAACAACTGATACAAGTTCATTGCAGACACGCGCCCCTGCTGCCCCTGGCCCTGCGGCTGCTGGGGCGGCAGAGGCCACCGCTCGTGCTGCTGCTGCTGCTGCCGCCTCCTGGATGACGAAGCACTGCCATCGCTACCGTCAGCTGCCGCTGAGGCGACTTCCGCCACCGTCGCCACCACCGCTGCTGCTGTTGGTCCGGAGACCACCAGCTGCCTCGTGGGCCGGTGGCGCATGGAGACGAAGGACCACAACAGACTGGCCACGTGCTGCGGCCGCAGCTGCGGCAGCACGTGCAACGCAGCCGCCTCCGCCAGCCTCAACAGACGAGCTGAGGGTCCCTCCGCCGCGGCGGCGGAGGAGGAGAAGGGGGGCAAGGTCCCCGCGCGTGCCAGCGCCCAGACTGCGTTGACCAGGTCCTGAAGGTGCAATGTCAAGTTTGAAAAAGATTGATTGGGGGGACGGCGGAATCTGAACTGGGGTCGTTAGGAGCTGCGGCGAGCTGAGGGGAGCTGAGTTCAAGTCCACCAGCTTAAGGCACAAGGAGGCGCCGTCGCCGTCATCGTAGCGGCAACGGCCACAGAGGAGGACGCAGACGGGGGAATATCCACGTTGGCGCACGCGGGTCCTTCGTGGCTCCCTCACTAGCCCCCTCTGTAGCCGGTGCTCTGTAGGGCCGCCCGGTAAGGGCCCCCCGCCCCCTACACACAACCCGGGTCGCCGGGTGGGGTCAGTCGCCGTCAGGACCCCCCCTTGGGACTTCTTACCCTTCTCCCGCTCCCGCTCCCCCTCCCCCGTCCAGCGAGCCACGCTTATCCCTTCGTCTTCCCCTTCGGGGAGCACTAAAGTGTTCCCCTTTGGGGAAGATGTAGGGTTTTCCCCCCTCCACAGTCCATGTCAGCCTCCGTCGCCCAGCCCCGGACCCACCTGGACATTGCAGCCGCCGCTGCCGGCTGCAGGAGCGGCCCGCCGCCGCAACGTCCCCGATCCCGACCCCGACCTGGCCATCTCCGCCGCCTCCAGCGGCGCCGCTCCCGCGGCGGCCTGTAGGTGCGGCTCCATCGCCTCCACCAGCTCCCCAAACACGGGATGGTGGCAGTGCCGCACCACCGCCAGCGCCCACATCGCGTTGCTGACCTCCCGAGCATGCAGGCCAACCAGCCGTGACCGCAGCCCAGCGCACAGTCCATCCCACAGCTCGCCGCGACCGACGGCGCAGAGGGTTGCCGTGGCGGCCCCGCCGCCGCCCCCGCCGCCGCCTACCGACCCCGCCGCCACGGTGCCGCTGCCGCCATACCGCAGGTACCCCGCCGCCGACAGGCGACCTAGAGCCCACATCGCCATCACCAGGAGTCTGCCGCTCAGACGCTGATTTGGACCTGACCCGATACGGGCGAACGCCTGACGACCCCGACCCCGACTCTGACTCCGGGCCCGACTCCGATCTGAGCCCGAAGCGTTGCCGCCGGTGCCACTACCTCCGCCCATCGCGCTCGGGGCGCAGCCATCTCGCCCGTCCGCCTCCGCCGCTAGATGCTGATGCAGCTGGGCCGCCAGCGCCGCAACGCAGCACGCCCCGCTGTGCTCCATGACGCTCCACGCCAGAGCCGATCCGCTGCGATCGGCCGCGCGCCTGCCTCCCACAGCCTCCCCCTCCCCCTCGAGCTGCTCCACCCCACCGGCACCGCCCCCGACTCCCTGTCCACCCTCCGCTATATTTGGCTCTCCGGCCTCGGTCTCTACAGCCCCAGCCGCGCCACCTGCCCGGCTGCTGAGCTTGGCCAAGGCCCATAAAAGTCGACACGCCTGGACCTCACACAGCTGCACCGCGACAGCGGCCTCCGTGGCAGGTCCCAACAGCTGCAGCACCAGTGCCGAGAACGCCGCCGCGTCGATGCTGCATGGCGTTGGCGGCGTTGGCGACCGCCGCGCTTGGCGCCCATCACCGCCGTTGCCATCGCAGCCTTCCTCATCGTCACGGATATCAACGGAACGACGCAGCGCACCAGCGCCATCGACGAAGTGCGCCGCGCGGAACAACGCGTCGGCGGCAAACGCACCACCTAGCGTAGTGCCGTACTGTTGTACGAGCATAACCCAAGTGTCCAAGTCAGCGCCGCGGACCTGGTTCCACGCTGTGGCAACGGCGGTGACGTCGCCGCCTCCGTCGTTGCCATGGCCTCCACGGCCTGCAAGCCCGCGTGTGTTGCGCCTTAGAGAGGCTTTCCGAGCCTGTTTAGAGGCACTGCCGCCGCCTCCACCTCCGCCGGCCCCACCGGCTTCCCTCGCGCTCACTCCGACACGCTTTCCGCTGCTGCTATTGGCACCACCGTTCCCGTCCCCACCGCCACAGCTGCTTCCGCCGCCACGCCCGCCTGCCCCACTAGTTGCCTCATTACAAGCTTTGCGGCTGCGATTGTTGTTGCTTCTGGATCTGGATTTGGGTCCAGAGGTGCTGTTCTTTGACTCCGCAGTGGGGGCATCGGTGGCTGATAGCGCAGTGTAGATCCGTCCTCCAGCTGGGACGCCGCTGCGGCGTATGGACGGCTGTGAGGGCTGCTGCTTTTGCTGCTGCTGATCCACCTCCACCTCCTTCTCCTCAATGACGGGTGTCCGGCCGTCAGAGAGGCCTGGCCTCCCGAAGGCGGCTGCTTGCGGTGCCGATAGAAGCAGCCGCTGCTGCCACCGCCGCTGCGGCCGCCGCTGGTGCGGATGCTCTGGCGGCGGCAGGTGATAGGTTGGCGGCAGTCCCGGTGTGTCGAGTGTTGTGTGGGACCGGGCTGCGGGACGGACTTGGCGGGTGGGGGCCGCGGGCCCCTGCGCGGGAGGGATGCGGCAGGCGGCGGGGAGGGGTAGCATCAAGTGTGCGACATACATACATGTCATAGGGTTTGGCACCACTGGTAAGGCGCGACCATTGCCCCCGGGAGATCCCGGGATCGATACCCGTTCGGGTCAAAGACCTTCCGAACCGACCACGAATGGAGTTGGGCCGCTGTCGACCCGGCAGATTCCGTTGGATGCTGGTGGTGGGTGCGGAACCTGGGCGATCCACTGAGAAGTTGACTAGGGTGACTGGATGAGGGTGCCCCGAAATACCGGGGAAGGCAGGGTTTCGCAGGGTAGCTGCCACGGGCGAAGATACACCCCCCTGTTTCACACATCATACATGTCAATCAACGGGCCGGCTGGGGCCAAGAGTGGAGAAGGTTGAATGGCGACGGGGATGGGATGTGCGGCAGGGGGTGCGGGTGCTGGAAAGATGCCATTCCTTGAAACAGCCTTGAACGGGGCCCCCATTCCCAGCCGGGGATGTGTACCAGCAGAGGTCGCGGAGAGCAGGTTGCTTGGGGGATTGCGGGGCTCTTACTGCTGACTGGCTGGGCTTGCTGCGCTCCGTCCACAGCCCCTTTCCCTTTTCTTGACCGCCTCACTGGCACAGACAGAGACTGCCTGGCTGACTGCAAGCGTGGATACATTTTGAAAATTTCAGGCGGATTTTTTTTACCATGCTAAAGTCGATACCGGTTCAACGCTGCTAGGTGGGTCCGTTTGTTCCGGTCAACCTGAGAGGGACCCAACATGGACGAGTAAAGCCGCACCTGGCGATCGACGCTTAGTCTGCCTGGCCACCCCGGTAGGAGTAGTCGGAACTGAGGGAAGTTAGGAAGAGGAATCCGTGCCGGGAGGGGGAGAGAGAGGGAGTGCGGTGCCGTGTCGGCACTTGGGAGGACGTGCCGCCGGTGAGATGTCGAGGAGATAGCAGAGGGCACTGTACCTTTGTAACTAGTGGAATACCGGATAGATGGACTGGAGCTTCCATGCTGCATCGGTGACCGGAAGGATTAGGCCGCCGCCACAACACCCCTACGGTCCATCATCAACATCCTCTAGGGGATTCAAACCGTTTTGTGAGCATGTTAAATGAGAATCGGTATAGCTATTTAACGCCTCGCCAAAATTCATTTCAACAGCTGCACATTGCTCGATTCCAAGGGAACACTGCGATTGGAGCTTAAGAAGCATGCCCACGGGAGAATCATAGGAATAAAACGTTATGTGTTTTGGGTTTTCGCGCTCTGGAATTTTGCTACCGCTTAGCCCGGCAAGTGTAATTGCACGACGTCCTTTCGGCTTCCATCCTACTGCCACAGAACTGAGCTTTCCTGATCGTGTTATCCATAGTTTTGTGACTGATAGATTTGTACCAGTATCACATTCTATATCCTTGCAACGTTGTACTCGTCTACTCTGCCTCGACTTCCGCCGCACTGACTTTCGTCGTGACCGCAGTAATTACTTGCAACATTTCTGTGTAGTCTGCTTCTCAAGCTTACCAATTAGTCATTTAATGCACTACCGAGCCGCCGCCGCCAAAGCATCAACAGCAAGTAACGGAACGGCTGCCCTCAACCGCGGCCTGCGCCGGCGCGCCCGCGAGACAACCCACCCGGCGCAAGGACCGCTGTAATCAGCAGCCATGAGGAAAAAGGTCGATGCACGTATCCGCACGCTTATTGAAAATTGCGCCAAGACGCGCCAGCGCGCTCTGCTGGTGCTGGTGGGCGACAAGGGCCGCGACCAGGTGGTCAACCTTCACTACATGCTGTCCAAAGCCAGCGTCAAGGCGCGTCCCTCCGTCCTATGGTGCTACAAAAAGGACCTGCAGCTCAGCAGGTACGCTTCCGGGTAATGGCTCGTTCCCCCTGGAGGCGAGAGCTGGAGCGCAGCTCGCCTGCCTTACTCCCCCGCCATGCGGGCGTCACGCGACACAGTGCGGAGGCTCACCGGGGGTTGGGCAGTGACGGTAGAACTGGCGGGAAAAGTTCCATGGAAAAGGGGACGCAGGGTGCGCAGTACGGCCAGTACGGAGTCGGAACGAGCTGGAGTTGCCCCTTTTAAGACCCGCGCAGGCGACTGTTAGTAGTAGTCGTGATGGTGGTGGTGGTGGGGGCCCCGGGGTTGGAGCGGCTATGGGATTAGCGGGTTGCTAAGTCCCCTGGTACTTCCCACACCGCGGCCATGTGGGTCGCCGACACCGGGGGCACCTAGCAGGATGTCAACTCACTCGCTTTTAGTGCCGGGTGAATTGAAGTTTGTAGACGCTTAACCGTGGACCGTTCCATCTTCCATCGGGCCTTTACATACCATACCATGCCTTGACGCGGCCCTCGTAACCCTCCTATGTACGCTGTGTTGGGATTAGGAGGGGGGGCTCAGCAGCGAGTGATCGGTGTGGGGGATGTGATGGATCTGGTATGACGTGCTGGCTAGGATCTGGAACTGGATCTGGATTTCATCCCTGCGGGCGCACACCCCTAGGCCCTGGACCTCTTTTAAACTAACCATCACTATCGCCGCCACCGCCGCCGCCGCCATTGTTTCGACGACCACCATTATTCCCATCGTCAGCACCCTATGCCGCAATGTTCTCCGCGGCCTGCACCTCGCGACCAATTACTTAGGGTTTGTGCTCTGAATGCTTCTTCTTGCGGCCCTCCTTGTACCGCTCATCCGCTTTCCCTCCCCTTTCCCCGCCTCTTTCCCCCCCGCCTACTGGCCAGTTCTGCTTCTTGTACACTCTTTCCTTGGCAGCAGCTTCACTCGTTCGTGGTTCGTCTTTAACCCCCTCCCCCCGCCTCTTACTCCCCACCCCAATCATGCTGTTTTATGAGCCCATATCTCTCCCCCCTCCTTTCTTTATTTTTTCATTGTTCCATTCCTCTCTATCTCCTTGCCCGCGTGTTTCCTCCTCCCCCTTCCCTCCTCCTCCCCCACTTCTCAGCCACCGCAAGAAGCGCATGCGGCAGATCAGGAAGATGGCCCAGCGGGGCTTGTTGGACCCGGAGAAGGAGGACCCCTTCGCGCTGTTCGTGGCCTCCACCAACATCCGCTACTGCTACTACCATGAGACGCAAAACATCTTGGGTAACACGTACGGCATGGCTGTACTGCAGGTACGGTGCACCGGGGCCTCTTGCCCTCGCTGTCGTGCTCTCGCGCGCGGCTCAACTTGTTCCTGTCCGTCTGTAGTGTGTGTTTTGATGGTTACCTTCCGAGCCCCTTGATAAGGGGGGGCATGGCGAATATGATGTGGCGGTGCATGAGGAGCAGCTTTACCGGCGGGAGCTCTTTGGCACCACCTGCGATGTCGATTTGAAGGGGGAATGTCAAGAAACTGTAGGAATAAGAGGCGGAGGCGCTGGAGTGGCGAAGGGCCGACTAGGGGGGTAACCTGTGTGTGCATGTGTGTGCATGCATGTGTTTATGTGTGGTGCGTCTGTCCCCTGCTTTTCCCCCCGGGCCCCGGTTTTCCTTTCCGGGTCAACCCAACCCACCCCTGCCCTTAGCTCCCCTAGCCGTCCCGCAGAGCCGCCCGTATCTCTCTCCTCATCTGGGTCATCATCACGTCGAAGGCAAGGCCCGGAGCTTCCGGAGCCCTCCTGTCCACCCCCACCCCGCACCCCGCACCCCCCCACCCCCCAACCACGTCCTTCACCCACCTCACCCCAGCATCCTACTACCCCGACCTCCTTCCGGAGCCAGATGCTGACTTGGGTGTCGGGGCTGTTGGAAACACCTTGCTGATTTGTGCTTGACATGATTACAACCCCCCTCACGACCTTGGCAGCAGCTTCACTCGTTCGTGGTTCATCTTTCCCCCCCTCACTACCATCACCACCCCGACCCGACCCAATCCAACCCGACCCGCAGGACTTCGAGGCCGTTACCCCCAACCTGCTCGCGCGCTCCCTGGAGACTGTGGAGGGCGGTGGGCTGGTGGTCATGTTGCTGTCCAACCTCACCTCCCTAACACAGCTGTACGGCATGACCATGGACGTGCACTCCAGGTTCCGTACGGAGTCGCATCAGGTGACTGCGGTCGGGTGGGGAGGTGGGGGGATAGAGCGGAGCTGGGCAACGGGGGGAAGGTCAGGTGTGTGCGTGTGTGTGTGTGGCGAGGAGGGCGACTTGGATCCTTCGTTGCGTGTGCACCGGCCGCAGTTGTTGGCTCTTCCCCCTCCTCCTCCCCCTCCTCCTCCCCCTCCCCCTCCTCCTCCTCTTCGTTCACCCAATCACCTCACCAAGCGACCCTCCGCCCTCCTTCCCTCCCTCCGTCCCTCCGTGCCTCCCTCCCTCCACCCCGCCTCATCCCGCCCCGGCCTCTCCACAATGATATACCCTCTACACACCGCCAGAAGTCTTTGGACGTCGGCAGTTCAACCCCGACCCCTAGCATACGAAACCACCTCCTCAACAACCCACTCCTCCCCGCTCCAGCCGCATTTCCCAACACCGCACCTTCTCCGTTCCCCGCCCCCCCGTCGCTCCCCGCTTCCTCACAGGACGTCGTGGGTCGCTTCAACGAGCGCCTTGTTCTGTCCCTGGCCTCCTGCCCGCACTGCCTGCTGCTGGATGACGAGCTCAACGTGCTGCCCACCTCCTCCCTCATCCGCTTCATCGAGCCGCTGGCCACCCTCCCGGACGGCACCCCCCTGGAGGACCCGGGCAGGGCGGCCAGGGAGGAGCTCAGGGAGCTCACCAACAGCCTGGCGGACACGCAGGTACGGGTTGGTTGGTTGTATGTATGTATGCCTGGGGGTCGGAATTATATGCGAAAACCCTAGGATATAACCGCAGGTGTGGCAGGCGGGGGCACTATGTGGGGGATTAGGGGGTGAAAGAAGGGGAGGGTCGATTGAGGATGAGCCATGTGTCGGGGGAGGTGGGGGGAGGGCGCGGGGCGTGTGGTGGGGCTCCCTGCGGTTAGCTGAGGGGATTCCGGTGGGTGCACTGCTGCTGCTGATGATGATGATCCTGGCGGCACTGCCGGCGGGCTGCCTGGCTGCCGTGGCTGCATGGCTGTGATAAACCGAAGTGATCCAACAGCGTCTTTGAAACAGAGCTTCTCATCCTTGCATTTTAGAGCCAGAATATTCGTTCCTGTCCCTTTCCCTTTCCTATTTCCCCCGCAACCCTACCCCCTTGCCCTCCCCCTCTCCCCTCCCGCTGCTGCTGGTGCTGCTGCTACTGCCCCCAGCCCGCCGGCAGCCTGGTAGGTCGCTGTCGTACTCTGGACCAGGCCCGCGCGGTGGTCACATTCCTGGATGCGGCCAGCGAGAAGACGTTGCGAAGTACTGTGGCACTGACCGCATCGCGCGGGAGAGGAAAGGTGGGAGGGGGACCCCTCCGGGCTTTGGGGGCTGTGTGTGTGTATATGTATATATTGGGTTGGGTGTGGCACATGCACAGCTGGGCCCTGTAAGTGTATGCGTGTGTGTTTTTAAAACCCACCCAAACGCCGCCATCCCCCGAACTTTCCCCCCGCCCCCCAGTCGGCGGCGCTGGGCCTCGCCATCGCGGGAGCTCTGGCTCTGGGCTACTCCAATATCTTCGTGACGGCGCCCTCCCCGGAGAACCTGAGGACGCTGTTCGAGTTCGTGTTCAAGGTAGGGGTGAGGGGGGCTTGGGGGTGGAGGAGGAAGAGGGGAATATGACTCTTACGCAAGAAGCCGAGGCTCCCGGGCTCCCTGACATTCCACCACTCCCACCACCAGCACCCCTATAGCACCCGCAAGTACCAGGTCTGCTACAGCCGCCTTGAAGGCAGCCAACGTAATGCACCACCTCTCCTTCCCCCCTCCTCTCCTCCCCCCCTCCCCCCCCAGGGCCTTGACTCCCTGGAGTACAAGGAGCACATCGACTACGACCTGGTGGAGTCCACCAACCCGTCCTTCGGGAAGGCCATTGTGCGGGTCAACGTGTTTAGGAGCCACCGCCAGGTAGTGGGGGTGCATGTTTCGATGCATGCATGTATGTATGTATGTATGTATGTAAAGGGAAGGGGGTTGAAGGGGTGGGGTGGGGGAATGGCGGGGGAGGTGGAAAAGGGGAGGGAGTCGTATGCGAAAGTAGTGGCCCTCCGTGGCCCCTTGCGAAGGAGAGGGAAGGTGATGGCGGAGGGAATGGGTGAATTGGGAGTTGTACGAGCTGGGGTATAGCACAGGGCCTCTCCCATCAGCGGGGTTTTGTTTCGTTGTTTTCCGTTGGTCGGTTAATTCGTTGTCGTTGTCCCGTACGCTTGCAGACGTCCTCGGCATCTCGATGCTTTGGGCCGTTTGTCCCGTGCTTTCCACCTCGCTGCCCGTTGTCTCATCCGTCCGTACATGTGTGTGTATGTGTGTCACCCCCCTCCCCCCAATACACATACACACAGACGGTGCAGTACATCCAGCCCCAGCACCACGCCAAGCTGGCGCAGGCGGAGCTGCTGGTCATTGACGAGGCGGCGGCCATTCCGTTGCCAGTTGTACGGCAGCTGTTGGGGCCGTACCTGGTGTTCCTGTGCTCAACGGTCAACGGTTACGAAGGCACGGGTCGCAGTCTATCTCTGAAGCTCATTCAGCAGCTCAGAGAGCAGGGGGCGAAAATAGGGGGCCCGGCGCCGGGTTCGGCAGCCGCCGGAGGCGGCAGTGGCGGCGGCGGCCAGGAGGGCGGCAGTGGCGGCGGCGGCGGCGGCGGTCGCGTCTTCCGCGAGGTCCAGCTCGAGGAGCCCATTCGCTACGCCCCGGGCGACCCCATCGAGTCGTGGCTGCACGAGCTGTTGTGTTTGGATGCGGGTCAACACATGCCCAAGCCGCCGCCCAAGCTGCCGCACCCCTCGGACTGCGAGCTCTTCCTGGTGGAGCGGGACACGTTGTTCTCGTATCACAAGTGAGTGCAGCGGGGGGGAAGGGGGGGAAGGGGGGGGAGGGGAGGGGAGGACGGCCTGGTTCACCAGGTTGAGACAGACGGAGGAGTTCAAAACCCACCTTACCACTTGCCCTAACCCCCAATCCATGGTGGGGATTTCCTAAAGCAAAATCCCTTCCTCCTCCGGAATTAGGCAATGTGGTTCTTGAAATTTGCAAATTTGATTTCCTCCTCGCCAATAATCCCCCCTCCCCTCCCCTCCCGTCCTCCTTTACCGGGCCCCCAGGGCCAGCGAGAAGTTCCTGCAGCAGATGGTGGCGCTGTTCGTGGCCTCGCACTACAAGAACACGCCCAACGATCTGCTGTTGATGAGCGACGCCCCCGCGCACCAGCTCTTTGTGCTGCTGGCGCCGGTGGACCAGACCAGCAACACCATGCCGCACATCCTGGCGGCCGCGCAGGTGGGCGACTAGTCGGGAATGGGGTGACATGGGGGGGACCTAGGAGGGGGAAAGGGAAGGGGGAGGGGGGGAGAAGGGGAAGGACGTAACCCCACACAGCTATAGGTGCACTGTGTACACCTGTGCAACAGCTGTAAGGTAGGCGCGTCCGTCCTCCCTGTTTTTCCCCATCGTTTTTCCCCATTGTTTTTCCCCATGGTTTAGACTACTCTACTCAAATTTCCCTCCACACACACCCCTCCCTCCCTCCTCACACACCCGCCAGGTGGCGCTGGAGGGCTCCATATCGAAGCGCTCGGCGGTCAACTCCCTGGCTAAGGGTGAACTGCCCCAGGGCGACCTCATTCCCTGGACCGTTAGCCAGCAGTTCCAGGACCCGGACTTCCCGGCACTCAGCGGGGGGAGGGTGGTACGGATTGCCGTACATCCGGAGCTAGGGCGGGCAGGGTATGGGTCAAGGTGCGCGGGAGGGGGGGGAGAGGGGATGGCCGGGGCCCGGGAGGAAGGGGGGGGGAGGTCTGTTGGAGGAGGGGGGTGTCAGGAGCTGATAGAATCGTGACGGGTTTGGTGTGTGTGTGTGTGTTTCGTGTCGTGTTTAAGGTGGTACGACAAGGCGGGGTGTGGAGGTTCTTGGAGGTTAACGCCGGTAATTCCCGTAAGGATGTACGGGAATGAGTCACGAGAATGGGAGGAGAGGGTAGGTGGCATGGGGTGGTGTGCATGGGCGGGAGTGTGGCGAGCGGGGCGGCTTGGGGCGATGCAAATTGCGTTATAAGGCCCTCACCGCTTGTTTTATACGTTGTGTCTGGAGTATCGTATTATGTCTTTATGACTTGATATACAAGGCTGTCTGGCTGGGCGGTGTGTGGCAGGGTCTTGGAGCTGCTACGGCGATACTACCAGGGCGAGCTGACGAGCTTGGACGAGCAGGACGACGGTACGGAAGAGGACGAGGACGAGGAGGACGAGAAGGAGGAGGAAAGCAGCGACGGTGACGACGATGGCGATGGCGGCGGTCGGAAGCGGCGGCGGAAGAGCGGCGCTGACGGCGATGCCAACGGCGCTGACGGCGATTCCCGCCTCTTGAGCGAGCGTCTTGGCCCCCGCAAGGGCCTCCCGCCGCTGCTTGTAAACCTGGCGGATAAGAAACCGGAGCGACTGCACTATCTAGGTAGGGGTGGGGGGGGATGGGGGCGGGATGGGGGGGTGGGGGGGGCTTTGGGGGGTTTTGGGTGTGGGGGGGGTTAGGGGGGTGGGCCCCATCTCTCTCTCTCTTTGGTATACCGCACATACCGTATCGTATTTCCATTTCCCCCGCAAATAAAACACACACCCCTACAGGTGTGTCGTACGGTCTGACTCAGCAGCTGTACAGCTTCTGGCGCAAGGCGGGTTACGAGCCGCTGTATCTGCGGCAGAGCCCGTCGGACACGACCGGCGAGCACACGTGTGTGATGGTGCGGCCCCTGGAGCATCCTGATGTGCAGGGCGGGGGCGCCTGGCTGGGGCCCTTCGTGCAGGACTTCAAGAGCAGGTTCATGAGCCTGCTGGGGAGCGCATTCAGGTGGGGGTTCGAGGTTACAGGGGGTTAAGAGGTGTAGAGGTAGGGGGGAGGAGAATTCTGTGGTGTGAGAAGCGAAGGGCTGATTGCCGACGTCCCAAGCGGGTGGTGATAGCTGGGGGGCGGTAGATGGGGTAGAAGAGGAGTTGGGTGGGGGTTATAGAGGGGTGCCTATGTCTCCTCCTCCAGGACGTGACACAGTTGTGTTTTGTTGAGTTTGGGCGCTGCTGGCACCTCCCTGCTCTGGCTGCGCGTCGTGATAAATGTACATAATAAAATCCGTGACTACGGTATTTCCGCACCGTTTTCCACCCCCGTTTTTCCCCCTCCACCCCGCGCCACCATTGCCACCTCCTTGCCACTGTTTGTTCCCCGCTGCAGGGAGATGCCACCCGCACTGGCTCTGAGCATTCTGGATCCCCGGCTGACGTGGAGCGAGGCCGAGGGGCAGCCGGTGGTCCAGGAAGGGGTGGTGGTGATGCGGGGGGACGGCACCCCGCTGGATGTGTACGACCTGAAGAGGTTGCAGGTAGGGTGTGCCTTCCCTGCCTCCCCTCCCTCTCCTCTGCCCCCGCTTTCCTCGCGGCAGTTGCTTCTTTGTCTGTCGCGTTTGATGATTTCCCCCCTCCTCCCCCTCCCCTCCCCCCGGGCCCCCAGCGCCGACTGGTCAGTCCTGCTACCGTCCTGTACATCGGCAGCACTCTTTCCTCTTTCCTTGGCAGCAGCTTCACCCGCTTGTGGTTCCTCTTTCCTTGGCAGCAGCTTCACCCGCTTATGGTTCCTCTTTCCCCCCTCCTTCCTCCCCCTCAGGCCTACTGCTCCAGCCTAGTGGACTACCACTTGGTGCTGGACCTGCTGCCCCCGCTGGCCAGGGCATACCTGCGGGGCCGACTGCCCGTCAGTCTGTCGTACGGTCAGGCGGCCATCCTGGTCGTACTGGGGTTGCAGCAGCGGGAGCTGGGGGCGCTGGAGGACGGTCTGGGGCTGCCGGCCAACCAGCTGCTGGCGCTGTTCAACAAGGCCATGAGGAAGGTGGGTTGGTCTGGGGCGGGGTTAGGGTTAGGCTTGGGGGGAAGGTGTGGGAGGGGAGGGGAGGTCAGGGCGTTGCCGCCAATAGTGAGGGGAGGGGATGTTGCCCGTCATTACCCGCCACAACGCCTCTACATTCACGGACACACATACACACACACGCATGCGCACATGCAGATGTACGGCTGCCTGCGTGCGGCCAAGGAGGCCGCCGTGGCACGTACCCTGCCTGCCGTACGGCAAGCTCCGGAGCTGGCACCTCACGAGGTGTCGTTGGACGACGATCTGGACGAGGCGGCGGCGGCGGAGCGCGCCAAGCTCCGCGAGCGTTACCTGCGGCCCGAGGACCTGACCCAGTTCGCCATTCGGGGCGGGGAGGAGGATATTGCGGCGGCGTTGGGCGGCAAGGCGCCGGCGGCTGGCGGGCTGGTATCAGTGAAAGGGGGAGCCGGGGAAGGCGGCGGCAGTGGCAGTGGCAAGGCCGGGGGAGATGTTATGCTGTACAAGAAGAAGGGCGGGGGTGGCAAGGGCGGAGATAAGAAGGGTGCGGAGAAGGGGCCACGGATTGGCGGCGGCAAGGGCGGGTTGAAGAAGAACAAGTACGGGGCAGCTCCGAGCCTTGGGGGCGGTGACGGCGAGGCGGGGCGGTCCGGTAAGAAGCTGCGACAGTAACTTTGGGGTGTCGGTCGGGATTGGTGCGCATGTCGAGGCGGGTGTGAGTGGTGCAGCCGGTGGTAAGTGGGTCTTACGACTTGACACAGAATATCGCTACTGCCAACGTTACGGACACACGGCTGACGTGGCAGACTGCGGGGGGGTAAGTGTGCGCGTGCATGTGTGCGTGCGTGCGTGTGTGTGTGTGTGTGTGTGTGTGTGCGCGCGTGTGTGTGTGTTTTGTGGGGCCGGCGAAGGGGCTCCCGGGGGACTGAGACCCACCGGACACCACTCGGGGGGATAATATTACCCTGTGCGCAAGGGCCAGGGGGGCTAGGCGGGTAGGGAGACGGGGAATGTGTAGAGGGGGGGGGCGCTCTCCTGACCCCTCCTGTGTTACTTCGATTACGGACAACAGCGGTCAGGTGATCACCGACCACCCAGACCTGGGGTTTTCCAGAGCTGTAGCGGGGGATGTAACAGGCGGGGGTGGGGGGTGGGATTCGACTCCCGGAACTCCGGTGACCACTTTTCACCCTTTTTCAAAACGGTGGTGGGAGCGCGGCCCCGTGTGGGCGACGTAAGGGGTAGCCGTGTGGCAGGTCGGCTTCCTTTCAAGAGCAGGTTCGCCGGACGTAGAGGGCTGTTACGGGTGCCGTCCCCAGCGGGGAGGGGAGGGGAGGGGAGTCGCATCCAGCTGGGTTGGGCTTTTGCTTTGCCTCTTGTTGGCCGGCTGGACGTCTAGGGGGCATTAACTCGGTCCATTGACCAGATGTCTGACACTTCAACGGGAAAAACTGTACTGCTATGACTGTACGGCGACTGACCGGCATGGTTGATGGTCGGTCACCCTTGTAACATGGAGCCAGATCCCAACCGCAATTCCCCTCTGGGCCTTTTCCCTGGGGGCAAGAGACATTACGAGCTGACGTGGGTAGCACATTGTACGGCATGGGTTCCCTGGATTAAAGCACAGTTCAGGTTAGGTCTCCGGGTCTGGGGAGCAGCAGATTGACTGGCGGCTAGGTGGGGGGCTGTGTCTGGTTGAGGCTGTACGGATGTGTGCCGTCGGGGGCTTCGTGGTTTGGGCCGTACGTCGCCCGTCGTCGCGGCGGTTGTCCATGGCCCGAGCGCCCTGCGCCGCTGTGATGCGGTAGCCTTTGCGGTGTCCCATATACAGACGGGGAGGGAGGCCGCGAGCGGTAAAGTCGTCTTCAGCTGACAACACTTTTTACTTCAGCTAACCGCATGATTGGGACTCAGCAAGCTCCTATACATATAGGATATAGCAAACGTGAACATGTTCTGGAAATCCCTAAAAATTCAGTTTTTCTAACCATACAGCAGGGAGGTAGGTGTGTCATAAGACAGGCAAGTCACAACCATTTTGTTGAGTGATGCACAAGCCTTCCCAGCTTAGCGTGGTCGACGAAACAGGGATGTGCTGTCAACTTTTCCAATGTTAGCAACCGCTTTCTTGCGAGCGAAGAGACGCAGGCTCATAATATTGCTTGAAAGCAGCATTAAACCTCGGAATCAATTGCAGCTCAAATACTTCTCTCAGCCAAAACCACCATTTAGACTTCCTATCAAATGATTTCTCTAAACATCACAACCACTCTGCCGGAAATATCTTTTAAAATCTTGCATAATGCGGTCGAAAATTGAAAACTTCCTCACCGCCCCGCACCTCGTACTCAGGCACAAACGCAAAGACATACACGCGCACAAATTACACAGCACCTCGAACCTGTAGACTTTTTCGCGCCGATGACCTCAGCAAAATCACACCCATGCGCCGTACATACTCCTGCGCAACCGTCAACGCACATCAGACATGATTCATCTTCTCCTCCTGCTAACGAAGCCACACCGACACGAAGCAAACCAACCGAGTTCAGCAGAACACGTTTCGACACAACCGAGAAAAGACGGCCAAGCAATGGCGCTCAACGAGATAAGAATAGAGTGTCTGGAGGTATCCGAGCGGCACCATGTACGGCACAGCCGGACAAGGTGTTCCCACCAGGGCGTGATATGGGCCCTACGAGATACACAGCAGACAGCTAGGGATCAATTACCTTTCCCTCTTGAAAACAGAACGACCGAAGCAGAGGGAGTGTACTTAGGCCGCATCGTCCAGAGTCCCAACGATATTTCAAGGGCACGATGGTAAAAAAGGGGGGGGGGGTGGCGATGCAAGTGTGACGCGCAACGCTGTCGAGACATCTTCGAAACTCTTGATAATGTCGACCGGGTCGGCCCACGACACACCTTAGACTAGCCTGCATACCGGTACAATGACAAGGTGTCCAGCAGCTAACCCACTGCCTTACTTATAAACAAAATTATGTACAGACGCAGTAGAATTTCGACTGCAATGAACCAGAGATTTTTAATTAGGGGAAAAAAGACATGGCAAAGGATGATGCAAAAACTAGCTCTACAACCCCCGGACAGTACACGCGCGGGCACGCCCCGGCACTTTTAGGCACAACGATCCCCATTGTGTCAGGAGATACAACAATCTTGTAAGTGCGAAATGCCAACCGGTTCCCGTAACTTGCGCTGTCTTTCCGTGAGGGCTTTGCGGAAGTCCGGAACCGGAAAACTCTCCTCCTCCAGGACTGATGAGAATTGAGGCAAGGCCATGCAACCTCTACCTACGCTTCTTTCCATTGCTATGAGTTGCTGAGGGCTCAGCAACAGCGTGGCGATAGTGAAATTCAAGGGCGTCCGGCTGACCAAACGACGAGCGACAGCTACCCTTCGCCATCGAAGAGGTCGCCAGATCAAGGATTGACAACTCCCCAAGCGGTCCACTGTCACATCGCCGAAGTGTGTACTTCGGAGGATGCGGACCTGAGGACTGCGTAGCGCGCCCAGTGTTTGCCTTCGTGACGCTTGCAAAGACGTAATCCTGCGAACGAATAAATTTGGTGATCAAGGCGCAATTCATTACTTGCGAATGACACCCTCATAAGGCAAACATGGCCCTTACCAGGACAGGGGGTGGAACACCGGGAACCAGGACTTGAACTACGCGCCGTGCGTCACGGTCCAGAGCCATTGTTGGAGACTCCAAAAGATATGTAGACTGGCTGAGGAGGTTAGTGGGAGGAGGTTTAACCGCTTACGATTTTTTGCTCGCCGAGAGTTGCAGATGCAAACACACTTGTGAGATTTATGCGGACGATACCTCGGATATGGCTAAGGATAACAGAATGTCCCTGGATGCCATTCGCATATCATCCTATGTCCGTACAGCTCCACCTGAATTCGTTCGAAGCTGCTTGTCATGAGGGGTTACCAACCCGTCTAGCTGGTGTGATTGATGTATTCGAGTGTTCCATGTTTGACTAAGCGGTTGGAAAGCCTGCGTCGGTAGACTTTCTCTCAGGGCAGTGACGCCAAGCTTGGTCAGCTTCTCACTCCACGGATTGCATCAAAGGTGTCGATCCAGAAGTGAGGCGCATTTTCAGAATGAGTTTAACTCGAATTCATCACTGAGACTGCAAGATGGCAGTTAAACTTGTGATAATGTGATATCAGGAGTTAACTCTCCTGCGTTGGTTGCGGCCCATGCGCAGTTACAGGCTGAACTTCTGCAAGTTACGCAGGTCCTTTTGTCGATGCCACCTATGCCATTATCCACGCATGCAGAACACATGTGCACCTCCGGTTACTGTTAAGATGCGCGGACACACAGGGCAGCCGCAACGAGCCCGATGCGACGTATTGAAGCACTTAGAAAGGTCACAGTTTTGCCGATATGGCATATTGTTGCGCCGGAAGCAAGCCGTGGGATGCACGGACAGGCGCCACGCCGGCGGAGCCAGAATTCCTAGTGCGAAACCATCCCTTACCTCAGAGACTCCCATTGGGAGAAGGAAGCTTGGTCGGGATGGACCTGAGGTCCCTTTGTTGTGTTTCGGTAAGCATTTGAATTCGGCGTTGCGGCCTCAGCCAGCCTCATCTCCAATTTTGAAAAGACATGGATAAGGAAACTCAGCCGCGAGCGCAGAATCTTCAACAGGTTGCCCTCATATCGCCTTATGGTCTAGCTACCAAACGCAAACTCTGTACTTGCAAGGCTGTCATCTTGCTGCGGGGCACCCACCATCCCTTTTACCGCGCCCAGCCGCCTGTTCCACTTTGGCTCCACTCCAGAAAGCAGGCTGCCTCCATGCTCTACCCGCATCCATCACCGCCATGCATGTCAAACGGTGTCTCCATGTGGGGACAGTTGGTGTTATTATTTTCGGTCATGGCACTGGTGTGAAACCAACATCACCCCTGCCACATAACACACACAACGCCTCGTCTCAGACACCTGCCTTTTTCGTTTGGCCTACGGATACAAACTTCGGCACGTTCATGCACACACACAGACACGTATGCTGTTCCCAGTCCATTGGTGAGCATATGTGCATTTCCACAAGCAACGTTCTGCTGACGTGTATACGCAAGCACACGAACGCCCACACACGAACCCCAACATCGTCACGGTTAACATACAATTTCAAATATTAATTTATTTTTTTACAGATACTACGTTCAACAGGCAGCACCCGGCCGTCCACCCACCCAAATCTCCCAACCCTCAAACCTGGATATCCTGTGCCTTTCCTGCGGTGCTAACCTGTACGGTGCGGTACGGCACGGTACAGTTTTACAGTGTGTACGGAACATGTAACCGCCTTGACCACCCCACATGCAACAACACTTATGGGCCAAATGTTCGACATCAAGCCGACTTGCACTTCCACTGTACGGCATTCCATGTCGTTGTACGACATCTTGTCGGATTGCTGTCGGTCCCCCAGGGTGTATGCTGTTCGGGGAAAGCACCAGCTACTCCGCGGCGGAGCGGCTGCTGGGGATGTGCATGGACGCAGGGGTTAACTTCTTCGACACGGTACGACCAATTCTGTACGGCGTACGTCACGGTTGTGGCGCGTGACTCACTCTGTCGTGCAAAGGCATTCCGTTGTTACTACTACATGCTAATTTGAGCTTTTTACCCGAAGAGAGCCCGGGACCGGACCATGTCGTAGGGTCTAGACGAGCCCAAGGCCCATAGGGCTGCGGAATAACGTTTGACAAGGGGAAGGGACGGGAAACGTTTAATCGGAAATTGGGATTGGGAAATTGGGATTGGTTGCAGTTGATCTTAGCGGGGCGGCCTGGCGGTGTGCACATGTGGGGTTAGGGGGGTAGCGGGTGGCTCCCCACGGCAGTCGGTTCCCCGCCACCAGCTTTAAGACTCTCCCCCCTCCTCCCTCCCCCCTCCCCCAGCCTGTGAGTCTGTCAGTCTGTCAGGTTGTAACCAACAAACCGCCCAGCTCTCCTCACGGCCCCCTCGCCTTTCACTTCTTCCCCGCCCTCACCTCACCTCACCTCACCTCACCTCACCTCACCCCCCTCGCGGTGTCCGTTGTCATTGGGGACCAAGCAGGCCAGGGTAGTGGTAGTGCTCGTCGGGGAGCAGTACCCGCTCTTCCATCGGCCCTCCCGTACACCCCCCGGCTCACCCCCCCAGGCCCGCTCCCACGGCTCCCTCCCCCCTCCGACCCCCCCAGGCGGAGATGTACCCCGTGCCGCAGAGGGCGGACACCCAGGGGACGTCGGAGGAGTACCTGGGCAGGTGGCTTCGGAGCAGCGGGGTGAGGAGGTACGGCAGTACCTCCCACGGCGATTACTTTATTTCTACCCGCCACCTCAACCCCCCACCTCAACCCCCCCAGGGAGGAGGTGTTGGTCGCCAGCAAGGTGGCTGGTCCTAGCGGCCAGATGACCTGGATACGAGGGGGCCCGCACCGAGTGGATGCGGACAACATACGCAGGGTGGGGGAATCCGGGGTGGAGGGTGGGGTGGAGGGTGGGGTGGAGGGTGGGCCGCATGCGTGCCAAAGGGAGATAGCTAGCACCTACAAACGCACATACAGACGCACATACAGACACATGGGCGCACAGACGCCGGTCCCATGGCATCCGAGCGCTGTTCCGTGCCGCATCTTGGAGCGCCCAACCAGCACTTGACGCTCTTCAGCAAACCTTGCTTCGCCGGCATCCCCTCCTTCCCCCCTCCCTTCCCCCCTCCCTTCCCCCCTTCCTTGCCCCCTCCCTTGCCCTCTCCCCCACCCCCCCACCCCCCGCGCGTTCTTGTCATTATCGTTCGCTGCTCACAACCTTGCCACCTCTCTGCCTCACATGTGCCTTTGCCCGCTGCTGCTGCTGCCTGGCCAGGTGAGTCCGAAGGAGGTTCGAGCTTTGTCGGTTTATCGCGTTGCGTCGGTTGGCTAGCCGGACTAGGATAGTCGGGTCGGGCGGGTCGGGCGCGTCTTTGGGGGTTTGGGAGGAGCACTTGCATGTCATCAGCTTTTTATTATCAGCTAATCAGCCAGTTCTTGGCCAAACCTCGTCAATGCCGCCGCCAGGCCGGCGGCAAACTTTATTCCAGCTCTCGTTTTTCGCCGCCTCTACACCTACCTTTACTTCTTTACGGCTTCGCTCTACTGCTTTTCTTCCGCTCTTATTTTGGTCTCGGCGGCTAGGTAGGTAGGTTTCCGCGGTCGTCATCATCCCGAGGTCGGCTCCTTCAAAACCGCCTACTGGTCAGTTCTGCTTCTCTTTCCTTGGCAGCAGCTTCACTCGTTCGTGGTTCGTCTTTCCCCCCTCCCCCCTTTCCCCCCTGGGAGGCTCTGGACGGAACCTTGAGGCGGCTGGGAGTGGACTACGTGGACCTGTACCAGATCCACTGGCCGGACAGGTGCGCGTCAAGAGGGGTTCAAAGCGTCCTCAGGACTACGTAAGATGTCGCCTTGAAGTACGGCACCTGGGTTATTGGGGGGTGGAGGGCGCAGCATTAGCGGGCGGGTGAGCCCAAGTGACGGTGCTCTGTAACATCATTCGCATACTCCTGTTGGTATGTTGCGGCATCCGTACATGCTGGTTGCTCGCGGCTGAAACATATAGAGAAATAGGCACACAGACAGACAGACAGACAGACAGACAGACAGACAGACAAATTTAAGCCGTTGCTGGCACCTGTTCTTACCCGCACATTCCGGAGCCGGCGCCGGTAGGTATGTCCCTATGTTCGGTGACAGTGAGTACGAGCCATCGTACGCTTTCGACGGCGCCGTACCGCTGGAGGAGCAGCTAGGAGCACTGGGACGTGCTGTACGGGAGGGCAAGGTGCGGTACGTGGGGCTCAGCAACGAAACCCCGTGGGGACTGTGCAAGGCCCTGTCGGCAGGTATGTATGTATGTATGTATGTATGTATGTATGTATGTATGTATGTATGTATGTATGTATGTATGTATGTATGTATGTATGTATGTATGTATGTATGTATGTATGTATGTATGTATGTATGTATGTATGTATGTATGTATGTATGTATGTCATAACTATTTACTTCGGAGGGGGGTTGTGGGGGACAAGATGATTGAGACACGCAGCCGCAGCCGAATCAATGGATGGAAGGGTTGTTAGGGGAGCGCGGCTTTACTTACATACTCTCCGAGGACGCGCCGTCGGGACTGCAATCTACGCCGCAACCTACCTCATAGCCTCCATGTCGTACAAAGCGTGAAACGTTTTAAATACTTGGTATGTGGCTTGTATGTACCCCCGTACAAGCGCTCTCTCGCTCTCCCTCATCTCTTCCCTCGCTCCCCTTCGTGTCGCGTCTGTATGTCCATCAGTATTTGGAACACTATTTACAACGGCTACCCATGTTGCCCTGCCCTGACACCTGTCCCAACCCACCCTGTCATGGCTTGAACTGGGATGTACGGTGTACGACTGCCTGTGGCTCCCCACACAAACTCCGCCTGCCTCGCCTCAGCCTCCCTGGACTCCTCCCTGCCCCGGGTAGTATCGCTCCAAAACGCCTACAGCTTAACCTGTCGCACATTCGACAGCGGCGGCCTGGCGGAGATCTGCCACCTGGAGGATGTGGGGCTTATGTCGTACAGCCCGTTGGCGATGGGTCTCCTCACGGTGGGGCCCAGCGAGGGACTTTTGGACGGGGGGGGGAGGGGACACTGTGTTTCGGTGAGGTGGCGCGTCTTTGGTGGGAGGTAGGCAATCTCACGGCTTCTGGATGTGTAACTGCACGCCCACGCCCCGGCCCCACCACGAACCCCTCATCACGTGCTGATCTCTCCTCCGCCGCCTCCGCCTCCTCCGCCGCCTCCGCCTCCGCCTCCTCCGCCGCCTCCGCCTCCGCCTCCTCTTCTGCCGCCTCCGCCGCCACCGCCTCCGCCTCCTCTTCTGCCGCCTCCTCCTCCGCCGCCTCCGCCTCCTCTTCTGCCGCCTCCTCCTCCGCCGCCTCCGCCGCCTCCGCCGCCTCTTCTGCCGCCGCCGCCGCCGCCGCCACCGCCGCCTCCCCCACTGCACCTTATTCCGTCTTGTCTCGTCGTCGCTGCCCAGCCTGCTACACACGTCCATACATACATACATACATACATACATACATACATACATACATACATACATACATACATACATACATACATACATACATACATACATACATACATACATACATACATACATACATACGTACACACGCGTACGTATAAGTGTTTTTGGATTGAACAGGTTCTCTGCAGTACGCTCTAGCCACCCAACCCCCTAGTGCCCTTCGACCCTCGTTGGGAAAGCTGTTCCTCATGCACCGCCACATCATATTTGCCATGCCCCCCCTTATCAAGGGGCTTCGAAAATATTGTTAAAACACATACAGCTACTGCACCTGCTCACTGCACTGCAATGCTCTGACGCGGTCGTTATTTTTTCTACATTAATACCTTTTTCTGCGCGGCAATTACTTTTGAGGGTAGCCTTAATTTATTTGCCCCGATTCGTAGAGCAGCTACCAGGTCCGCCGGTCCTCACTCGCCCACCCACCCGCCCACCTAGGGCTCATCCCCTTCATCCCAGGAGTTAACCTCACGTGCTATCCCCACCACACGCGTCTTCTCCCCCCTCCCCCCGACACGCATACCCTCATACACACATACACACATACACGACCCGCGCAGGGCAAGTACCTAGCCCCGGACGGGGGGCCCCCCACTGCGCGTCTCAACCGCTACCGCGGCCGCTACGCAGAGGCGGAGAGCCGCTATGGCCCCAAACCCAACGTCCTGCAGTCCGTAACCGCCTACTGCCGCCTAGCCGCGGACGCGAGTCTCACACCCACACAGCTGGCCCTGCGGTTCGTGCTATCCAGGCCCATGGTGGCGTGCGCCGTGGTGGGGGCCACGAGCGAGGAGCAGCTTGCGGAGCTGCTGGCGGCGGCAGTGCCGGCACCGCCGCCGGCAGCGGGGGGAAGCTCGGGGTTGGGTTCTGGGTGGGGCGAGTGTCGGAGTGGGAGCGAGTGGTTACCTGAGGAGGTGTTGCGGGAGATAGATCGGATACATGCGCGGTTCCCTAACCCCACGCCGTGAGAGGGCGGTTTCCCGATGGGAGGGTTGAAGGGGGCGCCTGGAAGGCAGCGGCAGCGGGCGGGGAAGGTGGTGGGGGAAGGGCAGCAGCAGCAGCAGCAGCCCCCGGGCGGGGCCCACAGCAAGGCCCACTTGATGGCCACTACTGATCCCTCGGAGGCGCAGGTAGTAGTGGTAGTGGTAGTGGTAGTAGTGTGTCGTATGCGGATAGAGGGGCAGGTTATTGAGGGGGTAGGTTTTTGCCGGGCGTGCATTACTGCTTCTGCGACTTTATGCTGCATTACTGGAAGTTTGCTGAACGGCACGCTGGGACGCCAGGGAACACGGGAGGCTCCGCTATATGGTTCGGCTGGCGGCTGCCGGAAATCGACCGCGACTATGTGGGGTGGGAGCTTACGAACTGCCATATCGGAGTATGCGTCGATAGAGGATGCGTTCGTGTTATGTTAAAGAACTGTCATCGTTCATGTGGAGCGAGATGTATTTTTTTACTCGATTTCGTTGATGCGATTTGATTAGTTGACGGGCGGCTTTGCAATTGCTTAGCAGACAGTAATTTAAGAGGGCCGTCCGATATGGCTACATGTAAACAAGCTGCCGCGATTGTCAACTTGTGTAGCTGTTATTGATAATGCTGAGTTGAAGGCACCTGCATTTATGACGTACGTTTGGCTTGCGTATAGTCCGCGGACTACGAGCCGGCCGGCTCGTCATCCCTGATCGTCATTAGGCCGCAGTAACTCTGCAGGTACGGTTGTTAAAGGCCAACGCGCACATTCATCCCGTCAGGCATTAAATTACGGAAGCTGATTAGCGTGTGTCCTCTCGCGCAATGGCTTTGCGGAGCTGGGTGTACATGTGTCAGAATTCCGTATGTCGAGCGACAAGCGGCGGCCAGCGTGCCACAACCACTTCCACGCGCAAATTATACTTTCATACAAGCCAATTCTCAGAAGTAACGCCCTGGTGTTATTTTTACGTCGGTTTTTTTGGCAGCCCTGTCGGCAGTACGGTAAACGCAATCATGCGCAATCCTCAACAAACAACGCTTTTTTCAGAATCTTTTAGTATGACACGTTTATAGCTCCATTAATTTTATTGGATTCAATTTCCGCTGCTTACTGAGAAAGTTGCGTATGCGTCGTAAGAATGTCGACCTGCGAGCTACCCGGTACTGACGCGGCACAAAAGGTGGAGGAACTAAGACGCGCACTTGACCGTAGCCAAGCTCTGCTCGCTGATATCGAAGCCAAATATGCAAGACGTCCTGCAGAGGAAAGTACGGCTGCTGTCGTGGACAGCATCATGGCTTCCGCAAGCGACAACGAACCCAGTGAGGACGATGAAGTACCATTGGAGCAACCCAGAAGCCCTCTAAAGTCACGCGGTGGCCTCAACGTCTTCAAGTCCCGGCTGACGCAATGGTTTGGTGGCAAACGATTTGAAAAGGCAGCCAAGCGACCGGCTGAGACAGCCCCACGCACCCTCTCGTTCTCACGTGTCAACATAGGCTTTCCTGCAGATGCAACTGCAACAGAGAGCCCGGAGGTTCTTGCAGAATTAGCACCATCGACTTCCCCACAGCTGCCATCACGTCTTTTTCAACGCTCCTGGACGAGCAACGCCGCACGCCACCCCGCATCCGGCCCCGTAGCCAACCGCGCAACGTCCTTCACGGCAACAGCACTACCGGCTGGATCGTCCATGTACGGCAACAGCACCGCCGCCGCTTCTTGCAGCAGCGCTGCCGCATCTTCTACTTGCATCCCCCTGGTACCCCAGCCGCCGCCGCCGCCGCAGCAGCAGCAGCCCAAGCCGTCGCAGCTCGACGCCGCCCCGCCGGCAGTGCCCATCGTGACCCGGAGGGCTTCTTCGGGGCCATCGTCAAACCGACTGATCCCCACGCTGGCAGCTTCGGCCTCATCTTCATCCCAGTCGCAGCGGCGAATCGTCTTCCGAGACACCGTCTGGGCTCCACTTATCCCCTCCGACAGCTCACCCAACGACCCCCTCCGACCCCGCCGGCCCTCATCCTCACTTCGTAACTCCCGAGATAGCGACAATGCCGTACCCGCGCCGTACAACCTTACGCCAATATCGCCGCAGGCCGTCAGGACCAACAGCGCCATGAACAACAGCAGCAGCTGCAGCAGCAGCATCACCACTACCACTACCTCTACCACACTCATGGCCACACCTAGCACGCGCAACACAGTGCGCTGGGCTATGCAAGATAAGGATCTGCTGGAGGCGCAGTTGCCACAAGTGTACAGCAGTACGGGATCGTCCAGGTCGCAGCAGCAGATGTTTGTGGCCAGCGCTAACAGCGACGATCCGCATCAGCGCTCTGAGCCCTCAGTCGTCTACGCGAGGGCCAGGTCGTTCACGACGGCCGTCGCAGGGCCCGTTGGATCGCCAGGTAGCCGCAGCGGTACGCAACGCGCCCTGACCCACGGGTCAGTCGGGACCGAGGACGCTCTCCGCCGCACGTTGCAAGTATCGCGCGCCCCGCAGTCCTTGACTTCCTCGTCTTCGCGCCCGTCTTCCGGTACGGTGACCTTGATCACCGGGGGTCAGATGGAACGAACTGATGGCGACGGTGTCCCAGGATCTGTGCCCGGCACTGCCGCCGCTGAACCTTGCGACCAGGAGGTTGCCTCAGAGCTCAGCCCAACATCGTCAACAGCAGACGGCACGCAGGGCAATCTATTGCAGAAACAGCAGCAACAGCAACAGCAGCAGCAGGATTACTTTATGGCAGCGCAGTACGCTCACGATGTTGGCAAGCCGTTGTGGGCCTCGCTGCGGTTGGCGGGAATTCCCGAGGCGGGGAGTGGGGGCGGGAGCGGGAGCAACCCAGCGCCACGCAATGCGAGAAGCGGCTGGCGGCGCAGCATTGACTTCTCCTCCTTGCCGCACCATCTGACGTTTTCGCCTGCTCCAACCGGCCCCGCTGCGCCTGCCGCCGGCGCCGCCGCCGCCACCCTCTCCGACACCGCTGCTGGTTCCGGCGCCGGCCGAGGACGTTCCGCTCGCAGACAGACCTGGAGCAATAACGAAGTCTTCATCCCAGCTCGTGAGTAGCGTCTTTGCGGCGGCAGCGGTAGCAAGGCCGGGTGTGGTCTCTGATTGCGTTTGGTGATGTGGGGGCCCCACAGGGCTATGTGGGGGCTTACAGCTTGCGACGGTTGCAGGGGTTGCTGCTGCCCGCGACGCGTCGGAAGCATGGTGGTGATGTGTGAGGCCCTTGGTGCGGGAGGTACGTGGCAAAGCAGGCGCATACGGCAGTTCTGAAGCGTACGGCATCTAGGAGGCCCGCCCACTGGAGCTTTGTCTGCAGTGGGAGAAAGTCTTCAGGTTACAACAACGACCACTTGAAGCAATTGGACCAAAGTTCTTTATGCCCTTGGGCTTTGACGACGGCACGAACCCAAACGAGCTGATTTTGAGATGATGGAGCGTCCGTTTGTCTGTCTGTCTGTCAGACAGTCGGCCGATTCGCGTTTGTGTCGGGCGGTTGCACGGTTTTATTACTTACTTCCAATATCGCTATGGGAGCATTTGCACGAGGACTGGAAAAAAATCAGCAATGGTTGGGATGTTCAACATTTTGGAAGGAGGTTCAGCGATTTTGAAGGATGCGATAACGTTGTATTTTGTATAGACATGTTCCCGTACTCCACTCAACGATCTCAGCAATGCAGCAGCAACAGCGATGGTGCTTGCATTCATGCAGTGGTACACTTATGGAGGAAGACGGATCAAAATAGGCGCCCATCGGAGCTTCATTGCTGTCATGAAGACGTACGATGTATCGCGAAGGTGAAGATCAAGCTCGCGTGATTGCTTACTTCGGGCAATGCGTGCTAGGATTCAAGCTGCGGCGATATTCATACCTAACTTTTCTGCCTAAAATTGTTTTGCTTTACCTATATGTGATCTTTTATTGACTGTATTGCTCGCGAATACTCATGATGAAAGGAATGATTGACTGTCGTTGGCTGTCGATTGCGCAATTTTGGTTTCGGCATAACAAAGCAACGAAGCGGCTTACTGTTCCTGGAGATGTTATTGGCTTACGTCTGCAAGTAGGGCGATTGAATAAATTAGATGCAGTTGTATGTGGACTGAAATGCCCAAGTGCTGTGGTTATTCGCGGATGGTTCGATATAGACCTGAGACGTTACACCTGGCATTCATGATTACGTGTTCTCGGGGGGAGGAAGGAGGTGATTATTTGAACGGGGAATTGTGGATGCGACACGGCCACATGCCAGCCCATGCGCGGCCTCCACGTCTACCGCTGGATGCGCGTCTGTGTATGAGCCTTGGGACATGCGTAAGGGCGTCAATACGTTGTATGCGTGAGCGCGCGCGGGAACGTGTGGGCACGTGCAGCTTGCGAATTGCGAGTTGCGAGTTGCGAATGCGTTCTAGGTATGTGCTCCTTATCCTTTCATGGCCGTTTAGATGGGCGTGCATGCGCTCGAAGGCAGAAGTCCGTTCGGATTTGACCGTGCACGAAGTACCCAGTCGCACTTTATTGGCTCGTTCTTCGATCCTGTATCGAATTTTCTCAAATCTGCAAAACATACTCGCTTCCTACGCACCGTTGTCACGCCAAAACATCTGGAGCGCACAAATTACGTGCCACGACCGAGTTAGTCGCTATCCGCAGGTGGCTAAGCCAACCGAAGGTAGTAAGGCGAACCGTGTGTTGATTTATTTGAGACTTTGGGTAGCGTATAAGGCGCTTTCCGTTGTGATTTGAGGATGTTAGGTTGTCGTTCATCTGTCGTTAGTTGGATGAGCGTTACGCATCCAGGGTAGGGCCGGGTGTGATAAGGCCCGGCGTGGATCCGTCGATACTTCGCCATAAATGTGAGTGCGAAGAGGCCAAACATTTGTCGTTTGGCTCTCGAAGCAACTCTTCGTGAGCGTATAGACCATTATATTATTGAAGATAATATAATTATAGGAGGGTTGATAGGACTGTCTAGTGTAACAAGACTGCAATCCTACCCTACCTCGACACGCGCAGCAGAGCAGGATAGACAGAGAGTGTACACACAGCATTCCATAAGGTCCGCCCTTAGTGCTCCTACCTCTAGGCTCGACAGGGATCCGTTCCCAGCCCGTCCTCGCCTACTGCGATCGCGCAAATCAAGTTAACGAAGCTGGAGTGAGCCAGCCAAGTCAAGCCGGAGCTTTAAGGAGAGCTCCTATTGTATAATCATCTATTCACCCCACAGCCAAACGACTGATCCATCCGCATTTCTTATGTTTGTTAGCACGTCATATGGCGTGACACCGTTTTGCTTGCGCAATCCTGCGGCCTTATGTGCGGCAGCATGCCGTATCTGGCTTCCTATCACTGCCAGGCGCTGCAGTTGTAAGCTGGCCTTGCGCACTGTACATGTAGAACTCTTTTACACACCCAAAACGTCAAGTGCACACGGCTTTGCCCGCACTAGGGCTTATACTGGAACTCAGATAAGGTGCCAAATGCTTTTGCGGCCATGAAAACAATGCGGTGGCGTTATCCGCACACGCAGCAGAGGTGGGGGTTAGCTGGGTGGTGGGTGATGGGCGGCTTCTGTAGTCACAATGGACCATTCTATGTCATGTTAGATTATGTTTTTCGCCACAACCTTTTGTACTGTAAGGACAGGATGCGATGTAATTATCTGCGCGGGAAATGGCTGTGATACGTGCCGGACAGAGTGGGCGAAGGGGGTCTGTCCGGCATTTACGGCAGTGCGGGCAGATTTGGGCTCTGCCACCCTGACTGACTTTAAATAAAGTCGGTCAGGGTGGCAGAGGCCAAACCTGAACAAATTTCTGTCTTCCAGGAATTACATTATGCGTGTTTGTGATTGTGTTTGTACGTATTTTGATTACAGCATGAAAGGTGCGTTGATTACAGCGTTGGGACATTTCGCGACCTCCCGTGCGAGGGGTGTGTGGCCTGAGGGGGCTGCTGTCGTATGTGTCGCGATGCCACGTTCCGCGCTTGGCAAGGCTTGGAGTTTCACGCATGTTAATTTCACGCATTTTAAAATAGTTTAGCTATATATTCGTTTGTTCTTCCATGCAGGACATGCAGGAAAGCTTTGCAACGGATGTGTGGTCATCTTTAATCTCGATGTCTCAGAATCTATTTTTAATTTGTCAATGATAATAAGTGCTACGGCTCACAATCAACGTGACATGGTTTTGCTGGAAACTGTTGAGGCAAATGCTATCCGGCCAGTCTGCCGCCTGGTGGGTACGTGATAGTTGGCTTCTGGTGTGGTTCGGAGCCATCTTCGTACTGATCTGATCGACTGTCGAACTGGAGAATACAAGGCAATGCTTTTGTAACGATCTGGAATCAACATTGCATCCGATCCATTTCGCCTTCAATAGGAGCATTTGCCCGTCCCTTCCGTAGTGGACACAAGTACTTCTGTATCCTCCTGAAGTTATGGCTCCTGTCCCGGCTCGGCAACTGCTCGACGACCTGACATGTAAGTCTTCAGCAACTCACCACGAATGGTAAGACAGTGTTCTTTTGTTCACCGTTTTACCTAGCGGCCTACGGTTTCATGGTACGAAGTAAGGCAACCATGAGGTGGTTGGCGCTATCCAGCTTCGCTACGGTAACGGATCGGCGAGATTCGGCGTTTCGGTTGCTCTTATCAACGCGCGTAGTGCTGAAGCTATTTAGTTTGTTTGAATGGAGGCTTGTTCCTACGAACTAATTTCCATGGGTTAGCTGTTGCACAGCAGAGACGGTTAACGATTGGAATCCCAACAGTCCACAGCAATTCACCTGCTGAAAGCTCGTCTTGGGTCAGCTGGAAAATATTTTTTATTTATAATTGTAACTTCATCACGAATAGGTAATTCCTGTTGCAACAGTACCCAGTTATAATCACATGTTTGAAGTAAAGCTGTACCCCAAACCTTGAACATTTATATGAACGCAAGCATGCGAGGTTGATAGTATCAATATATTTAATGCGAATTTGATAAGCCTGGGTTAAGCTGGGTTTTGCTGGGCGGGAGCTAGGGTGTACTACGGGGAGTTGACTACGTTACGGAACGAATTGGCTTTGAAGCTGACGGCCGTTATGTACTTGGCTGACGAGGTGTGTAATAAGTAAGGAGATTGCTTTAACATAAAAAAATTTTATGCGAGATTCCGTTGCGTTTAAATGGCCTGTAAAGTGGATGACAGTGCGGGTGTCGTCGTGGATGTCAGAGCCAAGGTTGTTGAGTTACAACGCGAGTGGGAGCGCAGCCGTGCATTTCTAGCAGAACTCGAGGCTGGCGTTCGTGAGCGCCCGGCTGTCGCCGGCAAGACGGAGTTCCAACGAACTGCCTGGGCAGACGCAACGGGCGAAGAGGTCGCCGACCTCGAAAACGCAAATACAATCAGAAATGTCGAGCCATTGAGTATAAAGGTCCTTCGACGTGGCAGCACTTCCGGCGTGCAGAATGACCGACGTGGACGCAATGCCGGCGAGGCAGCGGTCGCCTCGCAAACACGCCAGCCTGCTATGGCGCGTCCAATAAATATGGTTTTTGAGTCATCAATTGAACACAGGATTGCAAAGCCACCGGATGACAACCTGCACTTTTCCGCCCAAAGGCACGGTCTGCTGCCGCCACGCCCGCCCGTAGGGCCTCCCCAGCAACGGCGCTGCGTGAGCTTTCGGCTAAGGGACTCCCCCGCGCTTCATAACGCGCAGCTGTCTAGCCCTTCTATGAACGCCAGCGGCGGGGCCCTCCGCAGCGGCAGCTGCAGCGAACTCGCCCTGCCCGCTGGTCTGGACGACGGGCGCGTAGAGTCGCCAACTCTGCCTCGCGCTGCATCCATCCCAAACTCAGCATATGCAACACGCACGCAAAGTACGACGCGTGTCGTACACGATGGATCACCGTTTAGGACTTCTCAGCGGGTTTCATTCGACTCCGCGCAACTCAATTTCGCCTCCGCAGCTCTGGTGCCGACCTCCTTGGCTGTGGGCTACAAGCGGAGGAGCTACAGCACCAACGGCACCGAGGCGATGGAGAGAGCGGCTGCGGCCGCCATCGGCGATACGACAGCTGCCACGAAAGCGGGTGCCGTACGGACCCTTAGCTCCCGCCGGATGGAGGTCTACAGACGGAGCAGCGGCAACGGGGTCGGTTGTGACAGCCGCGGTGGCGGTGCCTTGCCGTATCTATTGTCAGACTGCGGAAAAACGGCGGCTGCACCCGCTACCTCCCCTTCCCTAGAGCTGCCGTCGCTTCAGTTTGACCAAGGCGGCCGCTTCTCCGTCGGCCATGAGCACGCGCCGCCGCTGTCGGCAGCAAGCTCTCGGAACTTACTCAGCACCGTGAAGGACGGCCTCCAACCGCCACCCATCCCGAAGCTGCGGTGTCTGCAGCCCCCACGGCTTTCCGAGCCGCTGGAAGAAAGTTGCTGCTGCGGCAGTGGCGACACTGGCGACAGCAGCACTGGCGGCATCAATTGCGATTGCGAACCCACGGAGGACGAGGAGGAGGAGGACGAGGAGGAGGAGGGCGATTTGGAGGCAGACTTTGCTGCGACGGCGATCAGTTTGTCACCGCGGGCAAGCCAGCCCCGCGTTATTGTCGGCCAGATGCGCCCTACCTGGCAGCGGCAGCTGCAGCAAGAGCAGTGCGTGCTGCCTGGCTCAGTAGAGAGCAGCTCCTCTCCAAGATCGAATTGCGAAGCCGCGGTGGCGCTGGGGGCCCTGCGCGCCATGTCCAACTCCCTGACGTACATGCGACCGCAGCTGGACGAGCATTCGCCTCCATCGCCGCTGCTGCCGCAGCAGGAGGAGCAGCAACAGCAACAGCCGATTGACGATGTACGGCGGCCGCACGCTGCGGGTTGCTTCTCGGGTCCACCTGGCCATGTACGCGCCAAGTCACTGAGTGTCCTGCGCCTCAAGGGCATACCTGAGGAGGACGGACCCGCAGGTCTCCCTGCCCCACGGTGGTCAACGGGCCAGTGCCTTGAGCTGGGCGGCGGCTTGCAAAGGCTCCCAAGCCTAAACAGCCCCAATGGTCCTGGCGGCAGCGGACCCGGCGGCAATGCCAGCGGCGGCAGCGGCAGTAGCCGCTTCAGCGGACGCGTTGCGCAGGAGCTGTCCAACAATGTCGTACAGGTGGGCCCTCGTCGTACAGTACGACACTCATGGGCCGCGGACACGTTTCCAAATTTTGGTGAAGTCCAGCGGGACCTCAGGTATAGCGGGATGCTATGAGGAGAGGGGACGCATGCCGGCGGCGTACGGATGGCGTACGGATGGCTTGCTGCTGGCGTTTCGTGTCGAGACGCATTGGTGCAACTTCGTCGATTGTGCAGGTTGGCTATCCAACGCCGCGTCGCTGTTGGTTGGGTGCTTTGACAACGTGCAGTTACGCAATACTCCCATTCCGTTAGCCGTTATCGAAGCGGCGGTGTAGCACTGGATTGGAGAGCAATTAAGACACCGTTCGCACCGGCAGGGATGTCTGGGAGCGTGGCTTGGGAACGCAAGCGGTGTGCGCATCCCAACCAAATGTGTGAGCTGGTTAGCGGTGACGAAGCGTCGCCGCCAGACATGTATGCTCGTATTTATAAGTATCTGCGCATCCACGCATGCATGCATGTGAGAGGCTTTTCATCGGCAGGAACTCACATCCAAGGGAGACCTCCTGTAGCATTCCTCAAGATCGTTATGTCGGATTTTGGCAGGATTACCATCAAATGTTGCATGGAATGAAATAATGATAGGTAATGCAGGGCATTGCGTGAGACATATGGTTTTAAAGTTGGTTACAGGGTTTCCGCTCTTCGCGCTGTGAATTGGTAGTCAGTGGGGTGTTCGTCCCCTTTAGTTCATCCCCTTTAGGGGATGAACCAAAGGCTTCCCCCGAAGGGGAAGTCATCCCCTATAGGCGCTTAGTCATCGAAATCTTCAGGGCTTCCGCAACCGAGCTGCGAACCGTGCGGCGATATATGGCTTGCCAGGAGCTCTTGGAGAAAACAATGCAATCAGGGATGTCCGTACGTCTGAATGTTTGCTGCAATTGTTGGTTAGTGCTGATTGGTTGCTGGTCTCTTTTACGGCGGTTTATAAGCTTGCTTTTTCGTCTATTCGGGCCTTATATGCGAGTCTAAAACTATATAAACTGCTAAGGACGAAATTTCGGATCGACGGCGTTGCGGGCTTGCGCCATGCTCCTGCACATATTGAAGTTGTACGGCGAAGCGAATCTATCACAGGGACTTGCATATTGCCTTGACCGCCCTAGACTTACCTATAATTTACCGTCGTTCGCGCGGATAGCGGTGATGCAAGCATCCGCACCCAACGTGTGGTCACTAGGGTGCAAACATCAAAATGCCATCGCAAAACATTTCGCATACGGCAAGTTGAAATTGACAACACATCAACCCTTTCCGACACACATAATTGACCACCAGCATCACCTTCGTGAACCCCGCAAAGCCATTCATTATCATATAGCAACTTAAATGTACATTTTGAGGCGACATGTGCCTCCTAGGACTTTAGCTCTCACATCAAACACCAATATTTACTAATTTCGGGCTGTCGGCTGCCTCGTTTTCCACGGATAGGCGCTCGGATGGGCGAGCTGTTCCGCCTGCGATGAATGCGTTAAGACGGTTGACCACTGCGATGATATCGAAATGGCTCCTGGCCGGGTTGCGTCACATATGGGTAGACGACTACCTGTGCGATCCGCTGCATTTGATGGGACGTATCCAGAAATATTGCTGTGCTTTGCGGTGGAATGGGGTGGGGTGGGGTGGGGTGGGGGAAAGGTCCGGCCCTGCGAGGGTGAAATGGCGCGCCTGGGGATGGGGAACTTGTTATTCTCTGAGGATGTAATAGGTTGGTGGGGAATGTTGGGGGTAGGTGGGTTTACGTCAGTCTGAGTTTTGTCAAAGGACGTCTGTTTGCGAACCCGCTGCAAGATTCAACCGACATTTATGGCACGAATTCAGGCGTATATGGCACGGGGTGTTGTGCGTAATGTGTCGCTCAATCTAAACAGGTGTCACCGGGCTTCTGACTTTTAAGTAATATCAAAGGAGGCCGAAGATTCCACGCAACAGCCTAGATATCCAGATTGATATATGAGGGGCCAGCTGTCCCTGCCATGCCATGTCGCCCGAACTTTTAGTCTGGATACTGGACATAATTTAAAAATATGGCGTTTCAAGGATAATATACTTTAACAGGGCAAATAGACCGTCCAGGCAAAGGTGTCCATCGAAGATATAAAGGCCGGTATACCGGTATTGGGGAAGTTATCGGTTGGCAGTTATTGCGGCTTGTGGTCTGTTTTGTAGGCCCCTCCTCGTCCCCTTTCTCCCCTCCTCCTGTCCCGGGGGGCGCTTTTCGGTTTTCCGAGCTGTTGTATATTATATATCGTGCCGTGGAGGGCTTTCTAGCTCCCAAATCACCAACCTGCCGCAAACGTGGCGGCGGGCGCACGTGTGCCGATCAGTCCTTCATGAACGGCGGTGTCAGGAGTAGTCGGTAGCGGCCCCAGCGGTGGGGAATCCGGATGTGGTCAGGTTGGGACAGGCCAAGGTGAATCGGTAGCAATCCATTAGCACACATACGTACCTCCAAAATGTGTATTAGGGCCACACGGCCTAGCAGTTGACGAGGGGCACGTGCGAGGCGGTGTCACCGCCCGCAGGAGCGCTTGGGGGCGCCTCGTGCCGGCGGGCTTGCCGCTGGTTCCCACCGTTCGGGAAGGGGAGCGGCTGGGCGCCGGTCCGGGGTGTAATGTGTGTTTTCCTCACCCCGCCGCTTTAGGTTGCTGGTGGGAGGTCAGGCAACACTCGGAGAGATATGCGAGTAGGGAGTAGGAAAGTGGAGCGGCAGGAGCGGCAGCTAGAGGAGTAGCAGAGAGGGCGCAGGGAATTCGGACGCGGCGGAACGTGGGTCCGGTTTGCAGCAAAGTGCAGTACAGTGCAGTGCGATACAGGAGGCAGGCAGAACATGGCGGTAAATGGGGCTGTCTTTAACGCCCCACAGGTCGGGTTTTTCTTTCGGTTTCAGCGCACTCTCTTCTCGGGTCTTGTCGGACGCTGGAGGAATGGTAGAGGGTCCTGAGTGGCCTGCGGGTGTTTTGTGTTACCGGATAGCTGCCCAGGTGTGCGGCACTCACTGCATCTGGAACCGGAACGACCCGCGCTTTCGGTTACACATGTCACTGGGCGGAGGGGGGGGACGGGAAGTGAGTGCGACGGTGCCAGTACGGTACCGCTTTGCTTGGCTCTCAGGTCCAGCGAGCTTGTGGACGGGTGGACAGGTGAAATCAGCGTAGATTAGTACTTTTAAGCCCTCGTGGTCCCTTCTGTGAGCCCCGCCGTGCGCACGCCCCATTTGGCGCTCCGTTCTCTGGTGCTGTTATGGAGTGAAACGGAATGGCGCTGGGAATGGAAATGCATGTAGCCGCTGCACCGCTGTTGAGCTTCAGATCTGAGGTCGAGTGAGTTCGGGGGCCCTCTGCGGGGAGACTCGGTAGCGCGTGGGTTTGGATACCGAATCAGATTTAAAACCGGTGAGGCGGGTGATAAATAAATAGCGGACATTGTTCAGGCGGTGTTGTTCTCTGACTTGTCAGTCATTGGATTCTTTGAGATGTAGATATGAGATGTGTGGGACAGGGGGAACACATCTTCACCCTGCGGCCGATACCCGGCAGACCCTGCCCTCCCCGGTATTCCGGGCAGCTTCATGTGGTCACCAATTTCTTAGTGGTTCGCCACCCATCATCGGCATCATACGACATCACGACTCCATTTATGGTCACCTCCCATGCTGACATAATACCAGGTCTCCATAACCCGAGGGAGCTTTAATGTCATCTAGTGTATAGAGACTCGACCCTGTCAGGATTCGATTCCGGAACTTAAGGGGGCATTGATGCGTGCCTTACCAGTAGTGCCTGACCTATTGTGTCTTGAATGGCTAGCGCTAGTTAATCATTCCATTTTTAAGATGTCACGTCGCGCGGGGGCCACACACTCGCGAGGAAGCTAAGCGGAAGTTGCATACTCATGTTTTGACGGGCTGTCTGCCTGTCTGTCCATCTGCCATCCTGGCTAGCGTAATAAATGTCGGTATGGAGGGAGGCACGTGTTTCAGGCATCGAGTAGGGGAAGGCCGCCGTGTTATTTGCTGCTAGAGAGCTCTGCAATGAGCTGAAGAACAAAGGGTAGTTGAAAATGCCGGGTAGTGGAAAGTTGAGCCTTAGCATTCCTCAGGCTCAGCCGTGATATCCACTATGGTTCGCTCAAAGCTATACATCTAATAGGCTATTCATGGCGGTTCTGGGCTGCATGCAGCCCGGCATGCGTGCATCACCCCCTCCGGCTGCATGTAGCCCGGCTGCATCCCGCTGCTGCATCTGAAAGCAAGCTGAGCTGAATGAAGCTGGCAGGCGCCGGAAAGCCTTCCGGGGCAGGGCCTGCAGCTGAAGACGCGGACGCAAAGCCGGCCAGGAACCCAGGGGGCTACGGGGACTGAATTTATTTCAAGCACCATGTGCATGGACGGGCGGTGCAACCAGATTTGGGCGGTTCTGCCCTCCCGGGGCTATTTGGGCTGATTGGCTGGCGCTAAGGTCCTGCTGCAGCCTTTTGCACCTGTCCCGTAGTCATGATGATGATCTGTTCTGTTGTGGCGATGTGTGTGTTGTGTGTGTGGGGTTATTCCCTGGTCGGTCTAGAGGGCTGGAGGGCGAAGTTGACTTGGATAGATGTTTAGCGATAGGAGCACTTGCATGCACCGGTCAGGTGCTGACGCAAAAAGATTGTGCATTTGTTGTCCGGCTTGGGTGCTGGTGTGGGAACCGGAAACAGAGTCTTGGCCGGAATGCGCCTCGCGCACGAGCGCTGTACGACGATGATTGCAGTACGATGAGCGTGCGTGTGGTGCAGTGATGTCTCTTTGGATGGGGTGCATGTGCATGTGTGTGCGTGTGCATGTGTGTGCATGTGCATGTGTGTGCATGTGCATGTGTGTGCATGTGCATGTGTGTGCATGTGTGTGCACGTGTGTGCATGTGCATGTGTGTGCATGTGCATGTGTGTGCATGTGCATGTGTGTGCATGTGTGTGCATGTGTATGTGTGTGCGGCTCCGTCCGTTGTGAGCAAGGGAAAAGTGATATGTATTACACATACATTACCTGTCCAATCGCAAAAGGCACGGGTGCAAGCATGCTGCAAACATCATGCATGTGCTTGCAGTTCACGTGCTCATGCCGTACATTGCCCCACATGCCGCTCGAACGTCGTCCGTCGCGCACGTGCTGTTGAGAGCCGGGCCAACCCCTGGATGACAGGTCTCTTCATTCGGTGGCTTAACGCGACCCTGCTATCCATATAGATTCGGTCCTTTGCCAATCCCACATATTGTTGCTCCAGATTATGTAACATTAGCCGCTTTTGAGGTTTTTTGAGTTTGAGGGCGAGGCCCCGGGCGCGAAGCGTCTTTCGGGGGACCGAGGCCCCTAGGTTCGCTGCTGTCAGTCAGTCCGTCAGTCAGTCAGTCCGCCAGCGTGTAGTCGTGTCTCATGACGAACTCGCATGCCACGCTGAACTGAGAATTGCATATAAAAGCTAATACAGTAACTCTATCGATTCACCGAAGGAATTAATTTACATAGAACTGTGCGCGAAGATAACTTCCCCCGGGCTTCGGCCTCCCAGCCCTCGGCCTCAAAACGCATCCTCGACTCACCATCTGGGGTTTCACGGACCGACAAGGTTACCGGTCGGTCGGTTACCGGATCCTTATCTCGAAATGTCGGTTATCCTACCGAAGTGACGGTTGGGTTATAGCTAACCAGTCGGTTACAAACCCTTCTATGCCATAGGGGTGCGGTGTTAACAGCGTTAACGCTGTGGCGCCAGCTGCTTCTGCACGTGATGCTTTGATTGCTGTGCGGCCGCAGCGGTTTTCTCACTCGCTTCCGTGGGATAGCTGTTTATGGCTCAGCTCCGACACACTCCGCAACTCCAGCCCACCCATGCCAACTGCTCCAGCACTTCCCTCCTTGCCTTCTGCTCCGCCTCACGCACATCTCATACATGTCCCTCCTGCGCATCCGGAGGTCCTGTTCTCCAACTCGACTGGCAATGAGCTGGGTTCGCGCACTACCAGGAGGCTATGGACATGCTCAGCAGCCGTTCTTGATGACATGGGGGCGGCGCGCAGTGCACTGTGTCGATGGATTTGCATTGGCGCCTTAGCAGCAAGTGTATATACACCAAATTCATGCATCGCTCCAAACGCCGCACCCGGCCCTCGCAGCTATCCATAACTCTGAGCGTATGTATAGTCCAAACACGACACCGTTCCTCCACTTGCAGCTCAGTGCCGTACAGGCGCCCTGTGGAATACTGGCGGGTGACTGGCTGCACCGGGGCCGAGCCCCTTTTGGCTTTGAAGAACCTGACTACCCTAGTTTTGGAAATAAATTTGAAGCCCTGCAGAAATAGCAGCAGACCCTACCCCGCTCGGGAGTACTTGAGTGACTAAAGCCACAGGAAGCCAACTCCCCCTTAGCAGCAAGCCATCGCGGACGACCCGTCTTAACGCGTACCTCGACACTCTTCACACGTACGGCGGAGAGGCTCATGAACCGGCGGCCGAGTTCAGTGCAGGGGAGGAACATGGCCGCCGGTTCACACACATGTCGCCGGTCTATCAGCAAAGTGAAACCTAGCAACCGGCGGCGGCACGAAGGGCTCCTCGCTTCCGGTGTCGCAAGTACATAAGGAAAATCAAGAACCAGCAAGCGGTGTGACCATTGCCAGCCAAGGCAGGCCGCCGCCTCCCCCTCATTAAGGCTGGCAATCTGTACGGTTACTGCAAACCCTGGGTCGCTCCCCCTATCGGCAGTCGCCGTACATTAGGTCATATGAAGCTACACCTGTCATACTTAGCTACTGCTACAGCGTACCCCGTCAGAGAGGCCTGTGTGTCCGCTGCTGTATCCGGGGGGGTGTACCTGACACCCTAAACCCCAGCTCCACTCCACTCCACGGGTAACCCGCTACTGACGCCACCGGCTGCACCACCCGCAGGTCTCACAATACATAAACAATACATACACACATACACACACGAATGCCTTAGCGCGTATTTGTAGACGTCATGTGTGCCGTACTATGCTTGTCACCGAACCCCGCGTACCCGCGATCCGCTGCCTCCACCTGCCCCCTGCCTCCCTCTCCCCCAACCTGGGCAACAACCTGTCCGTCTATCTTCACCAGCAGCAGCAGCAGCGTGGGTAGACACACGCGCGTGCGTGCACGATCAGCAAGTCCGTACGGCGCTGTACGGGCTGTCCTCCCCGTGTTCCGTCAGCTCTTGCTCTCTATAATGCCGTACTTGGTCATTTTGAGCGCTCCCTGTTTGATGTCGGCATCCGTGTCCCCCTTCAGCCACTTGACCATGGGTTCGTGGAGGGCCTCGGGGTAGTCCTCCTGCAGCGTCAGGTGCGCGTGGGGGGCCGGGTGGGGGTGGGGGTGGGGGTGGACGGGTGGCAGTGGTTGGTTGGTAGCGGGGGTGAGTGCTAGGTAGTCATGGGTGGTAGAGGGGGGCCGGGTGGGGGAAAGGAGGATCCCAGGAAGGGCAGCAAGCAAAGCCGCCGCATTACCCGAACAACGAAAGGGCGAGCACGGCAGCGTTGAAGGAAGTGGAGTTGGGTTGAGGGGAGTGGGTTCGGCAGGGAAAGCGGCACCTTCTCATGGACAGCTGCGCAAGGGCCTTACTAAAAGGGCGTTGTAAAAGGGCGTGTTGTGTCCTGGAAGGGGTCGCGTCATCACTGTACCATGTACAACTCCAGGGCGCCGCGAAACGACCTTCAAATGCACGTGGTCGTCCTGCAGTCCGGATCGTTTCCACCCCAGCTGCCACTTTGCACTCCACTCCCTCCTCCCCCCGCCCCCACCACCTGCGGCATGTGTCCCAGCTTGGCCGCCAGCGTGAGGCACTTCATGCTGGTGCGCTTGGACTCCAGGAACTCGAACACGGTGCTCACGTCCACAAAGGGGTCCGAGGGGCCGAACAGGCACAGAGAGGGCTTGCGCCAGCTGAGGTACCCCTCATCCACCTTGCGGAGCAGCTTGGGGAAGTCCAGCTTTGGGTCACGAGGGGGACAGGACGAGCCGGCGAGTTGGGTGGGTGGGTGGGTGGTTAGGAGGGTGGTTAGGTGGGTGGTTAGGAGGGTGGTTAGGAGGGTGGTTAGGAGGGCGGTTAGGACCGAGTCAGCCACACCAGGAGGAAGGGGAGGAGGAAGAGTGGCGGAACAGCATCTGGGAGAAAACGTGTACAAGCTCGTTACGCATTTTTCTTAGTTTTTTGTTTGTTATGAATGATTAATAATTGATGCTCGTAATGAGTGTGACGCTCGTGACGCATTTTATTAGTGTGACGCTCGTGACGCATTTTTCTTAGTTTTTTGTTTATCTTTTTCTTGGTTTTTTGTTTGTTATAAAAAAAGTGCAAGCAAGCCCGAGGTAGACACACGCTGGCAGCAATCTTTTCTCCGGTTCCCCCGGCAAACGCGCGTCCATAGATGGAGAGCCCATATGGATGCAAAAGGATGGAAGGGTTGCCAGAGCTGCATTGCGGCTAGGGTCCCTTCATGCCTCGTACTTTGAACTACCAAAGACCGCCTCCGGGGTTCCCCAGGTAAATGGCAAATCGAAATTTGCGACGCCTCCGGGGGATCCATCCATCCATCCCTTCGTCCGGGGCTTTGGTGGTTCCCTCTGCGATAAGCAGCCGCACTCTCCACCGTGTCGGGTACTCAGGGTCAGGTGATTACTCGGGCTCTTGCACTGCCCCGACGGACCTCTGGTAGCGGCCATTGGAGGACTGTCCATTCCAAAACACCCCCTTCCCACCGCATCTGGGCGTTTTAGCAGGACGGAGACGGCTTTCCAGCCAACTCCGGCCCAAGGAATGAATTTGCGCAGCCGGACGCGAGTCCATCCATAATTCCTTTTTCCCAGATAGCGCCGAAAAAAACCTGACAGATTATTCCTTTCGACATGGAAACCTAGTCACTAAGACAACTAGGTGGCAACAGCCCCCGGCGCGAGGGGAAAGCGGGAGGCCGCCCGGGTCCGAATATACGATAGTGTCTATGTAGCTAACATTCACCTGGTCCATGGTTTTGGAAACAGCCACCGTGGCGGCGGGGTCCTTGCTCGGCCTGCCGTACGTAAGGGCGTCCTTCTCAGCCATGGCGTACGGCGAACCACTCATGTTGTACGTCATAAAGTCGAACGTTTTCTGCATAGCCATGTATGCCAATACCGGCCGGGCGTGGGTGAACTCAGTCCTGGAACTTGAAAAAAACTTGAAGTACGAGTGGTATGAATGTACGACAGTTGGAACAGGGAACACGGCTACCGTCATTAAGGAGGCGTGTCTCCTTGTCCGAACTCCTAACTTCCATACCCCCGCCGCAACAGCAGCCGCAGCAATTCGGCCTTTGGGGAGATCAGTACGACGTCTTCATCCGCCCATACCAGGGAAGAAAGGAAAACGGGAAAAGGGGAGAGCAAACCCACATTGCCTGGTCGCATGAAAGGCAGCGGTGACTTGTACGGCGCCAGCTCGGGCCGCAACTTGGCATTCAGGGCCAGCGGCGTGTTGAGGATGAGCAGGCGGGAGATCTGATCCGGATGCTCGAGAGCGTACAACAGGCCGTACTGCCCCAGTACGAAACCCTGCAGCGGGGAGGGAAATGGCGGGGGGGAGGACAAGATGGGTTTTGCTGGCACAGGGACAGGGACACAGAAGTAAAAGGAAGTTCGGAGTTCGGGTTTGGGGGTTGGGGGGGTTCGGGGAATTCCGCGGGGTTTTGGGGATTATTAAACACGTGGGTGACACCTTAAGGGGGAGGTCTAATTTGGCCAGCGACGGCCAGTGACAATCCTCCCAGTCTGGGTATTGCAGGATCAGATTGCAGGATGCTCCTTTGCCCTCCTCCTCGGCACCATCCTCGCTCACCATGCAACCAATACCACACACCCCTGCGCCACCCGTCAGTACGTGTGTGATTGTCTGTATGTGTGTGTGTGAATTTACAGCGCTTCGACGGCAGTGCGCTTTGTACATAGCTTCCTGTGCGCCGTACCTGTACGACCAGCGCAAAGGGCTTGCGAATTCCCACTGCGTCCACAAAAGCCCGGAGGCCCGTGATGTAGTCTTGCTCCGAATAACCAAATGCGCCGGGATCCGGCTTGTCACTGTCACCCGCCCCCAGCCAGTCGGGTGCAAAAGCGCGGTAGCCGTCAGCCCCTAGCAGTCCCAGAGTGTTCCTGAGGCGCACAGTATGGATTCGGAAGTGGACGGTAAGAGTGCGGAGTGGCCGTTCCTTGAGGGAAGGGCGTGTCGCAGGCGGCACCGCGCGCCGGACCTACTCTGCAGCGAATGCAACCTAAATCTCGATTGCTTGGCTGTCCGCTGTGCCGAGGAGGGGTTCACAGCGCAGCTTACGGACCGTTCTGTGGGGCCTCAGATTTGATGCCTGTTTAACACATGCAGCTTCTTTCTAATGAGCCATTCTCGCCACCTTCTTGCACCTTCACCATACGTCAGAACTCCGTCTGTCTTCTATTTATAAAGACCCTTCCTTAGTGCCGGCCTTCCACCCTCCGAACCTGTAGCTGTACGAGCTGGAGGCCAGGCCGTGCAGTAGCAGCACATCGGGTTTGTCGGCAGAGGCGTTGGCGGGCTCTGGAGTAGATACGCGATACGCCCAGTTGTGGCGGCCTGCCCTAACCACATTGCTGCGGGGGCCATCAACGCGGACGGAGGTGCAGATGGATGGAGAGGTGGATGGATGGATAGACGGGGCAAGGGAGATGGGGCTGCGCTGATCGCACAGCCCTCGTGGGATGAAAAAATCGTGTTTGGACATAACGGGGTTTGTCCCACGAAAGCGCACGAACACACCCAGCCATGGCATGAGCTAGGGCATGGGCCAGGGCACTCGTGAAAAGAGCTCCACGCCGCGCGCATATCTCTCACCCAGCGACTGGAGACGTGAGTGCTGCTTTGGAGATGGGTTGTCCTGTGATGGGATCAATCTCTTCCAGTTCCTCAACTTGCTGCTTGGCAGCAGCGCGAACGACCACAGCTCGCCGAGCAACCCGGCCCCGGGCTATAATTGTTGATGGCAAAGGAGTGCGACCTAACAGCATACTCCGTGAGTGAACGCTCTGATGCATGCTGACAGTCGCAAGTATACGTCAAGCGATGTGCCAAGACTACTTTCCACGTTAACAGAATTGCCTGGATTTCAGAGCAGTTACTGAGACAATATAAAATTGAAACGCTTTTTAATAAGTGCTGAACGCCATGGGGTTGCGGGAACCTCAGATTGTAACCACTTCCAAACCGCACATGTCGCGTTCATGGAATCCGTGCCGCGCCGGCATACCAATGGGGCCAAAGCAGCAAGATAAGTGTGTACTATTACAAAAACGGCAGACTTGGACAGCGCTGAAGCTTTTGCGCAAAGCCAGACCACTCGTCGCGGTCGCTTGGCACACCCACAAGAAGGTCGCTCTTCGCCATTTCCTTCCAATGAAAACATTTAAACATCCCTGTGATGTAAGATTCTTCCATAGCTGCCAAATTCCTGTCCAGCTCTACATGCGCCTTGCAAAGTCGCGCTGCGACAGCTGCGACGTTGTCGGGCCATTCTTTGAGCCCGGCTGACGATGTGCCCGAATGGTTTTGATCCGCCACCTGGTGAGAAGAAGAACAACAGCACAAAGGAATTACATGAAGCTGTTATGTTAAAAACCTACGGTATTGGAATACGAGTCCAGCTGGCCTGAACTGAAGAGTTTTACCCTCTCCCTTTCCCAAACCACCATACCTTTTCCCGCAAATCCTCACCCACCCTGTTCCACCCGAGTTCATTTAAAAGCAAACGCCCCGCCGCCCCTACCTTGGCCATGATCCGAAAGTGCGTCTCTGGATCCGGCAGATGCTCCCGCATCCACCCAGACCGTGGGTGCCGAATCTCACCCAGCAAGACGCCGCCGCCGCCGCCGCCGCGTCGCTGCCCTGCACTACCGCTGGTTGCATCCGTCCCACCCCCACGGCCACCATCTCCGCCTTCATCACCAAGTTGACCGCCATCTCCCCCCCGCATATCTTGGCCATCAGCACACAAAGCCGCGCTTGCCTCAGCAACACCGCCACCTCGCTCCGCAGCAGCTGCTGCTGCTGCTGCTGTCGCTGCTGGTCCTGCTGCCAGCACCTGCAGTCGGCTTCCCCCGGTCCGCCTCTCCCCCGGCAGCCGGGGGGTGTAGCTGTGCACGTGGGCGCTGAAAGAGCTGCCCCCAGCCATCGAGAACTTGAGCTTGCCTGAGCCGGGGGGGGGTAAGGAGGGGGGTTTGGTGTAGGGTGGGATGGTGTCGATAGGGGTTCTGGCCAAGTGGCCGCTGACAGCTACGGACTGGAGGATAAAATAAGGCACTGGTGACCCTCACCCTCCTCCTCCCCCTCCTCCTCCTCCTCACCATCATCATCAGCAGCATAAACATCAGATTAGCACCAGCAACCCAGGATTTACTTGCTCTTCCTTTCTTGAGTATTATTTTGCATATATATAATTACACGACTACCCCCGCTCGCAGCAACACGCATCGTACTGCACTCACCCACGCAGCACGGACTGACCACGAAGGCCGCCCGGCGCCGCACGGCCAGCTGCATGGCGGCGTCCGTGGCGTTACCGCACGCATGCAGCGCCAGCGCCACGTCGAAGGTCTGTTCCGCGAACTCCTCAATCATACATCGCCGGGCGGTGACATTCGTCAGCCCTGCCGCTCGCGCCCGCTCCTCAAGCAAAGCCACAGCCGCCGGCTTCATCTCCACACCTACAGCAGCAGCAAAGTAGCAGTACCAATAGCAGTAACAGCAATAGGAGTAGAAGTAGCAATAGCAGTAGCAGCAACAGTAGCAGCAGCAGCGGAAGAGGAGGAAGAGGAAAGCGAGTCTAGTTTTGGGTTGGGTCGCCGCGCCTCTAAAGTTAGCGGTAGGTGGGGTTGGAGGGCGCAGGGTTTCGGAGCGTCCGTCTCGCAAAGGTCTTGGGCTCACGGAGGCCCTGTGTCGAGTGGAGGAACCTCCATGTGGTGTCCTGAGGTGCCGTACATATGTACATGAGTACGGAGCGGAGCGGTCGCCTATTGCGGAAACCAGGGGCGTGTATGCGAGGAGCGCCTGGGCTGCGCTTGAAGACCCCCGAAGGCGCAGAAAGGAGGGGAAGCATGTTACCATGTATGCCCACGTGTGTGTGTGTGTGTGCCTTGAAGTGGCGACATTGCGGGGCCCCAGTCCTCCCGCGAACCCCTCATACGCCCACCCGCCCCACCGCCCACCGCACCTCACCCGTGAACGTGCAGTGCGGGAACATGACCGCCAGAGGGAGCAGCAGAGTGCCCGTACCGCAGCCAAAGTCCACAACATGCAGGACGCGGTTCGTGTCGTACAGGAGGTGTTGTAATACAGCAGCAAAACTCTCGACCTTTTTGGGGGGAAAGCAGGCGACCAGCCCGCGCACAAGCGCGTCGGGGGCCGAGGCAGCCGGGCACATGATATGGCGGGGGACAGCAACGCAATGAGGCGGGGAGGTGAAGATGGAGGCGGCGGGGGTGCCATAGGAACGCTCCCGAGCGGCGTACCTGCCAGCGCTTCACAATACCCCTGCTGTTCGCAGCAGGAGCAGGTGGCGTCGCGAGGTGGGTATTGGACTCCCCAGATCGGCCTAGGATCCTGCAGGATAGCCAACTCCGTTCAAAATGCCCCAGCTTTGCCCAGGCGTTAATCCATAGCCGTTTAACTTACATTTGTGAAAGCTGCTGCTCCAGGGTTCCTTTGCGACGGGTATTGTTCACTGGGTTGTCAAGGATGAACACCGGGTCACAGCTCGGGGGCATGTCAGGCCAAGACATAATACCACGTCCTTGCTGTTCAGCAAGTAGTCCATCGATATCCAAAATGTTTATCTTTGCGCCGCCAGGAGCAGGTAGCTGATTCAAAACCTCAAGCATGAGAGCTTCATGGCTAAGCGGCAACCGACCGCGGGCCATGGGATTAAGACTTTCTGCTGGACCTAGATGGGAAGCCCTTACAAGGCGAGGTTATTATACAAATTAGTACCACACCGCAATTCATTACCGCTCTGCCGCCGACGTGCAACCGTTGTCAGTCGTTGGCTGTTGGCTTTCCGGTCAATGGTCACAATATGAGATATTGGAAACTGCTGTATTGGTTATAGGAAGAATTCGATGTAATGTGGTCCCTCTTGTTTGCTGAAGCCGGCGGGCTCAGGATGGCCAGTTGCCAGAAATCCCAGCCGCTTGCGCCCGTCCCCAAACGACCTGAATTATCTTTTGCCTCCTAGGGTCCACCCTCCGCAGCAGCTGTATATCCGTCACCCGCACCCTAAACACTGCAATCATTTGACCAGAGATCGGAGACACTCCACGGCCAACACCTGTCAACGGGGATTGCCGTCTAAAGGTGGGCCTAGCTAACCACTGTCACCCCCATTTGTACGACCCACCATATCCCCCAACTGGCTGAGGTTCCGGGCCCAGGGACCCTCTAAAATGTGTCACGGATTACGCAAACCCACATATCAATGCAAGTGCCCCTTCCACATCTACACGCGGAAAGGTCAGCTAGTAATCGCGGGAAACGAACACAGGTTACGACGTTAACTCCGACGACGGGTCCCCGCCTGCAGTCCTGCTTGCCCATTTTTGCCAAACAGCGTTCACCTTGCCGACCACCCATATGCCTTAGTAGCTGACCCTCCTTAAGCTGCCATGTCCCGTCAGGCAACCGGCCAATCGTATTCGGCCCGCAATGCATTATTGCATTTTGAAGTAGAACCATATCATGGGACGAGGAATGAATACGAAAGGCTTGGAAATGTAATGGTGGCGACCCAAATCCAGTGCGTTGGACCAGTCCGTCAGCAGCCTGTGAAGCCGCATCGTTGGCAGATGCCAATGGAATCACAAATGTTTTTGAGAAGGACTTTGCGTCTTCTGCTGCTACTTGCGACAATAATCACGGAAAGCAGGTACCGTGCTAACAAAGTAGGATAACAACTGTACGGAATGAAGCTGTTGAAGTTCAGTTTGGCCCCCAAAGCGACATTTTGTGGAGTTGCTTTAACGGTGTAGATTAGAAGTGTGTTTACGGGTCAATACGATGTTGCATGCGTCTCCTCGCGCTGCTAGGCCGGCTGCTTGCAGTCGCGCTTCTCGTGGGCGAATGCTTGTCCGCGCAACAGCGGGTAGGAACGGCATCATGAAGGGTCTTTCCAGATATGGCTGTGATCGCGGATAGTAGCGCTTAGCGTTGCGTGTTTTCTTCGCTGCAGAGCCGGTCACTGAGAGCAAGAACCTAGAGATTATGCGCAAGTTTTCAGAACAGTATGCAAAGCGGTGCGTTTTGGAACAGGGGCCGGAGGTTCTGCGGCTGCCGTCCTGCCGTCGCCATTGCGGGGGCGTTTATGGAGCCATCGCTGATTGGCGAGTTCCTTTTGCAGGTCGGGAACTTATTTCTGCGTGGATAAATCTGTTACAGCTGTGGTGATTCAGGGGCTTGCTGAGCACAAAGATACGCTTGGGGCAGCGTTGTGCCCCTGCCGTCACTACGATGACAAGGAAGCCGAGGCGGCCCAGGGTTATTGGAACTGTCCTTGTGTGCCCATGCGCGAGCGCAAGGTAAGATACCCGGGGAGGGGTGAGCCAACTCGCTGTGTAATGTCTTTTGGTTTGCCCCTTCCACAGACAACCTTCCTAGCAACTTGATCTTTATTATCACATTTCAATGCTCTGATTTGTTTATTGCACGCCACTATCTGCAGGAGTGCCACTGCATGTTGTTCTTGACTGAGGACAACGACTTTGCCGGGCGGGATCAGACGATTACAATGGAAGAGATTAAGAGCGGTATCAGCGGCATGCTGTAAATAGCTTTACCAGATATATCAGTCGCCGGCAGAGTGCAGAGGACGGGGCAGGGCTTCACAAGCTATGCGGAGTTGCCTGATTTGCTCCGCGAGCTCGGAGGTTAGCCTTTTCCTTGAGGCCATTTCTTCACTAGCGGTGAGGAGGTGAGACGCCGAATGTTCGAGCGGGCTTACGGAGGTCTGCACGCACCGAGGAGGATGTGACAGCAATTTTAGCCGTCGGCCGCTCCGCAGAACCAAACCCTTCATAACTTTTTTGTTTACCTCGAGGACGTGGAGCGCTTTATTAAAAGCCCTTTGGTGCTGAAGAGTTAGTCGAGAGACGTGCGGTGTTGCTTTGTTTTCATTCGTTGCCATGGTTTATCGTCATGTGCCTTAAGCTCCTAAAGCATATATATGCCAATCGTATCGTGCGGAAGTGTCTTCGCACTCGAGGCGAACGGGTGTTAAAGTAATGTTCGGTTAAGGTACGGTTAGCTAATAAGGTGTTTGTTTTACATGGATCGTGCGGGATGGACGGCGAAGCAAGAAGCTTCTGGAGAGCTTCTCAGATAACAACGCATATCGTGTTCATTGTGGCACATGGATATAGTATTTTGCAAGGGACACGTCCCTGGTGCGGGTTGGAAACCCTTGTGTAAGTTGAATGTCGTGTTGCATTCCTTTGGTGAAGACGTCTGTAGTCTCCTCGACAGAACTCCTACTGTGCTATTGCCTGAAAGTAGATTGCGCGTACTCTTGCCCATTGTCCCCGGGCTTGCCAGCGGGGACATAGTCAGACTGGCTAGGCCATCACAGGTATCTGAACAGACAAAAATCAATTTAGAAATTTCCCTGCATGCAGCAATGCCACTCGAGTAAAACATGATCAATGGCACTCCAGCGGGAAACAGCATACAAATAAGGCGTGGCAGTCAACAGGGAATCCAAACCATGCAGAAACCCCAGCCGTTCGTGGCTGGGTAAACCCCATGAATTGAGCATGTGCACTCGCCATGCATGTGGATATTTCGACTTTGCGCGTATCCACCCATGACGCCATAAACCTTCGATGCATACTGCCTGCTGGGTGAACACCCTTCCTTGAATCGTACGCATAGGGAAGACCGGGGCATACACCAAGTGGTTACCACTTTGCATAAGTTTACCAGGCGCCGTGCGCAGGCCGCATGAGCGGAAAGGAGCACAAGTTGGGTCCTCACAAAGCAGGCATGAGGCGAACACCTCCCTAGGCGTAAATGATTCACACATAAACTTTTACCTGGATCCTACAAGCCGGTGCTGCCATGGCACCTCGTATGCGGTACCAGGCGGCATCATGAGCACGTCGTCATGTCTCCATCCACCTGCCCAACGTCAGGGAGGCTGAATCACAGTGTGCTTGCTCATCTGCTGGGCCACATTCGCGAGGAGCTCTTGGAGTCACCCACAACGCTCTGACTGGATGTTCCGGACCCATGCTGCCGTGTCGCCTCAGCTCCTCCATAATCCATCCATGTGTCAGACAGCTGTTACGTGCATTCCGTTGGATACGGTAATGACTAGCACGTAATTATCACTTGTGACGCGGGGGAGGAACAACCTCTGGCGTATTGTCGTACAGCCACATGTCGTACCCATGCCGTAACCAAGTACATCCCTGATCCGGTTAAATCCGACCAGGCGGACATTTGGCTGCCAAGAACCAACTAGCCGATGCCAAATATAATCTTGTACCGCTTTCGTATCTACTGCTATATCACTCCTTATCCTTCCACGTAACCACAGCCCATACAGCCATGCATGCGACAGGTCCCTGCGCGCTATGCGAAGCAGCGCCTCGCTATACAAGCTGTAAACCATACAACGATTGATGACAAACACGAGCGAGACCAAATACCGAAAGGATAGCTACAGGATACACGAAATAATGTCCCATTCGATTAAGGTCATTCATTTAGCAAGTCCGAAGGCCCGCATAATGTTATTGTTTACTGCTGCTCCCTCCAGCCGGGCCTTCTTGTTGCCCAGTTGCACTGCCTTGGTTTCCGCCGCATTGGACGCCGCTGCTGAGACCATGTTTAACACAGCCGGTAACCCTACTGCCGTCATGCGCTTGTCGCTTCGCACGCAACGCTCAATGTCGTCCAAGCGCACAGTACGCCGCTTGGCGCCAGCCGCAGCGGCAGTCGCCTTGGCACATATTGCCCCCAGGAAGACATCAGCCGCTGTGGAAAGCGCCAGGAGGGCGTCGGCAGAGCATCGCTGAATCTCAGGGTCCAGTCCAACCACGCGCCGAACCCATGCAGAAGGCAAAGCAGCGGCCTTTAAGTCACCCGCGACTTCCTGCTGTTGCTCCCCCGACGGCGAGCCCTGCTGTGCGTCACCTTCTGCGACCTGCTCCTGCTGTTGCTGCTCTTCTGCTCGGGTTTTATAGGCGGCTTTTTCTTCTTCGCTTAGTCCCTTCCATACTTGTCCAAGTTCCTTTGCCACAAGCGTGATGGCGACCTTTTGATGTCCAGCCGCTACAAGCTTCTGTCTTACTGCCTCGCGGTTCTCATTGCAGAAAAGCATGTATGCCGTGGGTGGAGCCATGTTCGCTCGGTATCTAGGCCGCAGATCACGGTAGCTGTCTGCGGCTGTCCGCGGTGACGCAGTTCTTCAACAAGCCCTAATGGCATTTAAGTTAAAGGCTTCCTGTGTTTTGCATTTAGCAGGATAATTATATTTACACAAACCTTGCGTTAACACGAGGAGAGCAATTTGGCGCCACTGCCGTACTTCTTACTTTGCAGCTTTGCTTTCATGCTGTGCTATCATGTATTGCGCGAAGCTACGCATATCCAGGCAACGGCACTTGCAAATTGCTTCTTCAGACTCCTTGTCTGTAATCTCAACAACATCGCCGCGCCTGTCTGTAACATCCCCCGACATGTCCTGGCGCTTGCACGCACATCCAGTTTGGGGCCAACATCTCCGTGCTTCAACATGCAACGTGGGAAAGAGGATGCCGTTCAAACAGCTTTGTGCACAACCCGGCCCGATGTCAGCCTAACCTACGACACTTACAAGCCGCAGTATCGCCATCCGCTCGTCAGGCACACAACAGCGACTTAGTTCCTTCGCCGTCTCAAGCCTCTTCGTGCCTCTCCACAAGGAGTGTGCAACAATAACGTACGTCTCAACCCCACACGCCTTGTGGCAATCGGCAGTGCCCTCACTTGATTTCACGCCCCTATAGCAGGCCTCTCCCCCTTCCTCGTGCCGCCTGCTGTTGCTGTTGCCGCTTCAGGCCAGTCCCCGCTCCCGCATTACACGCATCATGGTGGAACCCATTTGTGCGGGCGACCGGGTCACTGTGACGCCAGCGGACTCCAGCGCCTCGATTTTGTCCGAGGCGCGGCCCTTGCCGCCAGAGATGATAGCACCCGCGTGGCCCATGCGCCGTCCCGGGGGCGCAGTCAGGCCTGCAGGGGTGATGACAAAGCATGCACACACGAACGGCGATATCGGGCTAGACGTGACCAAGACACACATCATGCATGATCAGAAAAAATGGGTACCCAACTTGCGACGACAAGTAGGTCCGAGTTCGTGTGAAACGCTAGAAACGGCAAATCGCCAGCCACATCACCCGCACGCCGGTCCAAAGGACGTCTAGCCCAGCAACTGCCATGACTTCAGGTCCGGCCTGGCGTTGGCCTGCGCAGCCACCTGCTGGCGTTCCTGCACCTCGGAAAGGAGGACACCCCACCTGCGATGAAGGATACAACGGGCTTTTGCGTCCCAGATGCCTTGATGAACTCCGCTGCCTCCTCCTCAGCTGTCCCGCCAATCTCACCAATCATGATGATCCCCTCGGTCTGCGCGGCGGCATGGAATGACTAGGTTAGCAAGTAGAGATGTAACAGGAGCTGTAATTCACGTTCCTTTCACGTTCCTTACACTCCCAGCCATGTTTACTACATCCCCATACGGCATCATCGGCACGGAACCAGCACCTGGGGGTCCTTGACGAAGCGCTCCAAGCAATCCACGAAGTTGGTGCCATTGAAGGGGTCGCCGCCGATGCCCACCACCGTGGACTGACCCAGGCCCTGATTAGTGGTTTGGAACACCGCCTGCAAGACAACAGTGGGGGAATTTCAGCACTGCGGAAAAGACTGACGCGAACTTGAAGAGGCATGGGAAAAGGAATGTCACATGTCTACGCATAAAATATCTATATTTAAACCAGCGATGTCAGCATGGTGTCGCGGGGCGCACAGGGGCCAGCGCAGCGGCCATATCCCTACGCAGGAGAAGGATTGTGATTGTTTCAAAGCCATGGTGACTGCACCTGCACTAGGGCAGAGAGCGCCATCCATCTAAGGCAAATGAGCGTACAGACTTTTATCACATAATCTAACAACCATCGTCTGAGGTCCAGCCAGCATTCGAATGAATGTCCTTTTACGCATTTCACGGCCTGTGGCGGCAACTTATTTCTCGTCCGATGTACGCAACGGGGAAGGCCAAACCAGCTGTGCAAGTCAACGGTTTGACCGGATAATGCCGCCGGAAAAATGCAGTTGCGACTTGTAAAGCCGGTGGCCAATCAGCCGCTGTCAGCTCAGACAACAATCACTAACGGCAGTAAAGCCCTGAACGGCTCATCCAGACAGGCCGGCCCAAATCTTCAAGGGGCAAGCAGTGCCCGATGCGTCGTACCTCGTACGTGAGAGTTCCGGATCGACTGACGATTCCGATCTTCCCCGGCGTGTGGATATAGCCCTTTGCGCGAGCAGCAGGAGAGGGAAGGTTTTTTTGAGTACATCAACGCGCATCATGGAATCACTTTGGAATGCGATATGCGATTGGGATTTTGCCAGGTGAAGTCTTGAGGACATCACCTATAGGGAAGTACGAAGGGCGACAGACTTCCACTTATCCACTAAGCCGCATCCTAGGCCCAGCTAGGCCCCCGGCTAAGCAGGTCCGCTTCTTGGCGCAGTGGGCTTGCCTTCGCCCGCGCATCGAATGACTCGAGTGGTACGCATCTGCATCTGATCTCAACAAGGCGCATCATACTCACCGGCATAATCCCAATTTTGCACTCGCCGGGCTTGATAATGCCCGGGCAGTTGGGCCCTATGAGCCGGGTCTTGCTCTGCTCCTGCAGCGTCTTCTTCACCTTGACCTGCAAAACGTGATACAAGAGGAACAGCCTACATTGTGTATGCCCTTGATAAGAAGCGGAATGCCGGAAGCGAGAAGTCTTTACGAAGCGGTGTGTACATCGGAGCCGGGCAAAGAGGATACACGCAGAGCTCTATACCCTGGGACCTAATTATGCTTGCTTTGTCGCAGGTTCTGTTTTACCCTCCAGTAACTTTGGTTGACCATAACACTGGACCGTTCCTTGGTGATTTCCGGGAGAGCACGGGACAGTAGGGGCCCCTGGGCATCCCCGGCTTGAGAACTACCTCGATGATTTTTGGGGCCCATGTATGCATGATGTACAGCGACCCATTGCCATCCGTAAACCAGGACGGATGCGGCGCAGGCATAGAATTTGTAATTCCGTTAGGTGATAAGTTTTTTGATATCTTTCTAGAGGCCTCGTGAGTGCGGTCCCGTGTATTGCTATTCAAAGCTGCCCTGTGCTGTCAACCGGCATGCCACGCAGACGGGGTGTCCGCGACAGCTGCTACTGCTCTGGGCGGAACTACTGGGCTGGTACTGCTAGGGCGGGCAACGTACTCTTCAGCACCGGAGCAGCCCTGCTGGCCAAGATACTGCTTCGGCGGCGGCGGCGGCAGCGGAGGTAGCCAGTGGCAATGGATGCGTCAGGCGCCCACAGGCCAACGCCTTCGGCCCTTTGGGCCAGACCTGTCATCCCAAACAACCCACTGTATCCCGCAGCTATGCCCGTCGGTCTCACCATGTCGTGTTGCGGGATACCCTCCGTGATGCATACCACAAGGTCCAGCTCCGCTTCCACTGCTTCCAGGATGGCGCGCGCCGCAAAGGGCGGCGGCACGTAGATGACGCTAGCGTGGCAGCCCGTGGCGGACTTGGCCTCCTTGACGGAGTTGAACACGGGGAGGCCCAAGTGAGTGCTGCCACCCTTCTTGGGCGTCACGCCACCCACCATCTGGGTGCCATACGCGATAGCCTAGCGGCGAAATGGAGGTGGCAGGCGGGACGTGTTTTTTCGTGAGGATGGATTGACGCGAAGGGAGAGGCGCGAAACTGTTTGTACAGAAACCCGGTCGTTGGGTATGTTCCCCATGTGTCCACCCTGAGCTGCGAAAAAACGCGTGCAGCACTGTTGCGGCTCTTCGCCATAAACTCCAATGGTCTTGTCGTTGTCCCATGTACCAGGCACTGTCAAATTGGAATGAACTGAGTGGGGCCGTTGACATGGCAATCTGGGAGCTTACCTGTTCGGTGTGGAAGGTGCCGTTCTTGCCGGTGATACCCTGGCAGATAACCTTAGTGTTCTTATCGACAAATACAGCAGGATTATACGCCTACGTAGGGAACCAAAAACAAACTGTGAAATTGTACCGACCCGGCGCAGTGGCCATGTGCGAAATGGCGCCATAAAGAGAAGTTCTTACCGCCTGTGATGCAAACCCACGTACAAGGCCCGCATAAGCTCCCTCCGACTTTGCAGTCCTGGACGCGGGCATACAATGGTGCGTCGAGTTTCGACTGAATCCGACCAAGACTTACGATACCCTCCAGCGCTATATGGACAAATGCACACTGACGCCGCCCAGCGTACATACCCGGCTGCATTAAGGAACAAGCGCCACATCTCTCGTGATTAATCGACCAACCTAAACAATTTGCTCGAATGTGTCGGAGATTACTGCAGCCGAGCTAATGAGCTGCCTAAATGTCCACGTTTGTTGCAACGCGCTAAAAATGTACGATGTGCAATGATGCTAAGCAGCCAGCGATGGGTGTTCCAACGATGACAGCGCCCTCGACCTTACCGGCCTACAATTGCAAGTCCGCACCCAGAACAGAGTGAACCCTGCTACTTCAATAATAGGATGGCATGCATGCCTGCCAAGCAATGAATTCGGACAGTCACGGCCACACACCAAAAGCAGAGTGTTGCGCTGTACAGCAGTCATGTGCCAATTGGCAATTGCGCGCACAGTCGTGAAGGCCATTACGGGCTGTAATGCCTTGTAGTACCTCTTTGTTGCCTCGTGTGGTTGCCGGGGCCACGTTCATGATTAATATGCACTTGTTCCGCGCTCCACAAACTATTAGTATTAGGACAAGGCCCCAGCTTTGCTCTCTAGCCCCTATTATTCGTGGCAGCGGAGCAAATAGCTTCTTGAAGCATTACCCGGCGCGCTGTCTGGCAACCACACAAACTATGGAGGCGGATTCCACTACTAGTGTGGCTGCGGAGGTGGAGTCGCTCCGGGCACAAATTGCGCAACTTGAGGTAAAGTGTTATTGTCCGATCTCAGAGCTATGTTTGATTGGGCTTACCATGTTGGTGGTGTGACATGGCTGGCCGTCTCGTGATCATCCACAGCCGCCTACTTGCATGCCTTGTAGGCCACCCTCAAGGTGAAGGAGAAGGAGCTGGATACGGTGTATCCATACTCGCGCAGCTACAATAAGACTTCTATAGCTACTATATTGGGTTCGGAAGATGGCGGTAAAAAGCTGGTGAGTAGCAACCTCCCGCGTGTATGGGCAGCGCCGTGCAGCCATGCTGGGGGCTCCCTGCATACGCATAACCGACCTCTATCCTTGCAGATTGGTCAATCTCTACGCGTTGGTGGCTGGGTGAAGACCGGCCGCGAGGCCGGCGCCGGTGCCTTCTGCTTCCTTGAACTCAACGACGGCTCCTTGTTTGAGAGCCTGCAGGTGGGGGCCCCCCACCTAAGCCCTATATGCCCCTTATGTGATCCGAGCCCTGCTACTTCCCCCAGCGTATATCGCTTACAAAATTAATACCGCCTGGCACAGCCTTGTTGCCGCTTCAGCTAGTAGGTTCACTCCTTTCCCTTTTTAAATGCTCGTCAGTATTTAAACCTGAACACGTCACTCAGGTGATGGTGCCCAAGGACGTCGGCGAGGAGGTGGGAGGCCTAAAGACGCTGACCGCCACGGGCACCAGCGTGCTGGTGGAGGGCCGCCTAGAGGCCACTCCAGAGGGGACCAAGCAGGTAGGTTTGCCATGGTGCTGTTGTTGGGCGGAGTGTTTGGTTGCGTGAGAGCGAAAAGAAAGCGGGCATGGGTTGAGTGCACTATGGAAAGGGGCACGCGAAGGACGAGAATACATCTGAGGATGGGGTGATGACGGCGGGAGAGGGCCAAGGAACGGAAAACAATTGAATTGCCGGGGAGTCTCAACCAATAGCTTTCAGGTAGTATGGTTCTCCAGTACTGGAGCAAATGATGAAATGGGCCAAGATGCAGGACTCTCCCTGTAGGCTGCTTGTCCAGCTTGCAGCGTTGACAGTGCGCCCAGTCATCCAACGGCATCATGCAGCTCGGTTGCAACGGCGGCAATCTTTGCTCAGCTTGAGAGGGCATGTTTTGCCGGGGCTGAAGAGCACGGATGTGGGTTGGCTCCTTGGACAGCTGTCGAAGGGTCGCTGCCGTCCTTGCTGCAGCTTGCCGTGGACTTAAGGCGAGGCGGTGCTCTCGCTGTTGGAAGTCTTCCCTGGACACTTACGAACATCTACCTTCTCAGCACTGTACGCAGTGTTCTTGAGCTTTGAAAAACTCAACTTATTCATGGAGGCCGCAGGTGGCATGGCTATGTTGCATGTTGCTCAGTAAGGTGTTTCCTCGTGCAAAGGCCTAAATGACCCGGACAGCAGTCCCATGGCGGTACGACATCCAGATCAATAGCGTAACTTCCTGGCGCTCCGGACTGCGTTTCGCGAGTTGCCGCTGGGGTTGGTTCTCTGTCAAGGACGCGCCACCAGTTGGTCGCTGCGGATTGTGCTTTCCAACAATCGATTGGACCCGCTAAGTGCAGTGATCAGGGACTGGACTGCCGGGGACCGTTGGGAGCTTGGCTCAGCACTTCACAGACTAGTCACCACCATAGGTGCCATGAGTGGGCCGTCCCAGAGTGGAGTACTCAGAATGCTTTCTGCATCTTACTCAGTGGAGCAAAGGGTGGAGAGCCAGATAGGCCTGTGCCGCAGGTGTTACCATTACTCAGCTTGTTCAGCGCCAGGCAAGGTGGATGCCGGTGCCTGGTTTCCACATCGTCTCGTCGCGTACATCTATTCGCGTAGATTTACTCGGGCCGTGGAGGACGGGGAAGACGCAAACACCACGCCCGCCCTCGCTTTGTTTCACCCACTTCAGGATTACTAGCGCCCTCATCACAACTTGGCATGCTGTTGCAATCAATCCTGACCATCTGTGCAACTGGTCCATTGTCCCATGTCACTGTGATTCCGTTTCCGGTTTCAGGCGGTTGAACTCAAGGCAACCAAGATTCTGCACGTTGGTCCCTGCGACGCCGCAACGTACCCCATCGCCAAGAAGAAGACCTCGTACGAGTTCTTGCGCGAGAAGATGCACCTGCGGCCGCGTGCGAACACCATTGGGGCCGTGGCGCGCATCCGCAATGCGCTGGCCTTTGCCACGCACAGATTCTTCCAGGAGAATGGCTTCTTGTACGTGCATACTCCCATCATCACCGCAAGCGACTGCGAGGGTGCAGGCGAGATGTTCCAGGTGTGGTGATGGGGGGAGCACTGAAGTGGTGAATACACATGCTTTCATGATGTGAGGACTGGGGAGGGGGAGGATTGCGCAACGACGTGGGCGAAAAACTTGCAAGGCGATTTCACCTACCTGCAGCATGCTGTCCCAGGTGCCGAACCTCCATGCATAGTTGCTAGTATTAAGTAGCTAGGACTGTCTTAGTTTTGTGTGCAGCAGGGCTCGCTTCCAAGTATTTCAAGTTTTAAGTAAGTCAGGTTTCTCAATTGTCCGCTGCCCGCTTACCGACGGACGCTTTTTCAGTCCTGTGCCTCTTTGCGTCTGCCAATATGCAGGTTACGACGTTGCTTGGCAAGATGAAGGAATATGCGGACGTTCCCACCGTGAGCCTCGAGCAGCTGGAGGCGCTGAAGGCGGAGCTGGCAGCGCAGGGCGAGGCTGTCAAGGCGGCGAAAGCGGTGAGGCGTCTGACGGTTGCCCTTGTAATTATCGACAGGGGCAAGAACTCAGCCCAGTGCAAACGAATGTAAAGGAGGGGGAGAAATCAAACTTAAAAATATGACTGCGAAGGCGCGCACGCAGCAGCTGCCCATGCCGCTTCTGGCTGCTTGGCTTGCTTCAGTTCCTGAGGACTGGGTAGGGGGCAAATACTTCTGTGGCGAGCAGGAAGGGGAGAGACACGAGATTGTTTGGAGGTGTGGAGATATCAGGGAATGAACATGCTGCGGTATGCTTGGGGCTTGTCTCGTACCGCCAAGTGCAACATCAGCTATGTCACGGCTACGGTGGCTACGGAGCACATCGTGCCAGCAGGTGTATTGGTGTGCTCCAGAACTTCAACCAGTTGCGCCGATGGTCGTTAGTAAATTGCTGATATTAGGGGAGGGACGAATGAGGGAACACAGCCTGTACCGGGACAAGGGTAGCAATCTGACAGGAGAACAGGGCTGCACGTACACGGCACCATTCATTGCATTGCGATCCTTAAACAACAAATTAACGTGGCAAGTTTTTCAACAGCAGTTTCTTCCAAACTAGAGGGTTACCAGATGTATCAACGCCTTTCTCCAACAGGCCGTGAGGGCATTGCGTGGTCCTCTTGGTTTTGCGTGGAGCCTTTGCGCGGTTTCATCACTTAACCGTCTGCCTCATTTCTTGCGTCTTCCACCCACCTTTGGCGTTCCTACGTCTTCTCCACATCTTCAAAGGACGGGTTTCCTGGCATCTTTCCCTTCGCTTAATGATTTCTTTATCGGCGTGCTTGTCCTGAAATTCCACCTGCCATCAGGCTGCGGCTGCCAACAAGGAGGACAAGGAGCTGGCAGCTGCCTCCAAGGCGGAAGTGGACAAGCTGCTCAAGTTGAAGGAGGAGTTCGCAAAGGCCGAGGAGAGGTGAGAGGGACAGGGAATACACGAAGTAATTTGCGGGCGAATGGGAACCAATGGTATAGGGTGGATTGGGCTATGGGGCGGGATTTTTGGCGGATGTAAATGCAAAGAACAAACTGCCGTTGCCCAAAGCACCGACTGTCGAAGTCTGTTGTGAGCGAGTCTACAGAGGTGGGGAAAGCGGCTAGAGTGGCTTACCCGGCGCGGCTTAATGCTGGGGGCTTTCTTGCGGCGGCTTGCAATAAGAAATGCCTCTTCGGAGGCCCTTTTATTCTCCGCCTAAAGGGTGCCGAGCCATTAAGCGCTAAACCTCCCCCTCTCTGCAGCTCCCGCATTGTGGGGGGCATCAAACGTCTACCTGACGGCACCCCTGACTACAAGGACGACTTCTTCTCCAAGCCAGCGTACCTGACCGTCTCAGGGCAGCTGCAGGTGGGTGTCGGGGTGCTGATGCGCGCCCAGGGGCGGTCACTGGACTTGAGCTCGTTGTGCCGCTGTCGCGGCCGTTGTCCCTGCAAGCAAATAGATGGCGTGACACTTGCATTTGGCTTCGTGTATTGTTATGGATGAATGCGATATGTTACATCAAGGTGTGGCGGGTCGTGTGACGTAGTGGTACGGGGGCTAGGGAACAAAGTGGTGTCCTGACCGGCGCACCTAGCTTTCGCTTCGTACTCTTTACCCGCGCCCTTGGCAACCTCAGGGTGAGTTTTACGCGTGCGCGCTGTCCAACATCTACACCTTCGGGCCCACTTTCCGCGCCGAGTATTCGTTCACCGCCCGCCATCTTGCGGAGTTCTGGATGATTGAGCCTGAGATGGCGTTTTGCGACCTCAAGGATGACATGCAGTGTGCCGAGGACTACGTGCGCTACTGCTGCAAGTGAGCGACGGGGCCAAGGGTCTGACGCACGTGGAGCGTCTGGGGTAGAATGGTGGGGGAGGAAGACGGCGAGCTGGCAGGGCCTTCTCTCCTGGTGCCGAGGATCACCCCTTCACCCATCGCTGGTGTATTGCGTCACGCTCCTCATCCCTTACCACACTTCCCCCGCCTCGCTCTTTCAGCATGTTGCCACTTTATTAGGGTCCTTGTGCATTCTGCTTTGTTTGTGGGTGGTGGTGTTTTCCTTGCATGCTCTGCATTTGAAGCCCGCCCGCTACACATGTTTCTCCGTCAGGTACTTGCTTGACAACTGTCAGACGGATCTGGAGTTCATCAACAAGATGGTGGATAACACCGCCATCGCCCGCCTGCAGCAGGTGGCCCACACGCCCTTCAAGCGTGTGTCGTACACGGAAGCTATTGACCTGCTGAAGGACGTGGTGGCGCGGGGCGTCAAGAAGTTCGAGTACAACGTGCGTCTTGAGTTGGATGGGGGGGGAAAGGAAGGGGGAAGGGGGACTGGAGGGGATTGCGGGGCCCTGAGCGTGTTGGTTTCCCTCCCGAGTCTGCTAATTACGGTTTCCGTTGCTCATGGTGCGCCAGGTGGAGTGGGGCATCGACCTGCAGACGGAGCACGAGCGCTACCTGACGGAGGAGATCTTTAAGCAACCAGTCATCGTGTATAACTACCCCAAGGAAATCAAAGCCTTCTACATGCGCCTGAACGAGGACGGAAAGACTGTGGCAGCCATGGACGTGCTGGTGCCCAAGGTACGGGGTGGGGTATTAGGTGACCGGGGTGAAAAGAGAAAATTGTTAGTGTCTGCATGCATACATATGCTGTGCTTCTTTAATCTCTTTAAAGAACAGGAACAAACATTCGTTGGACGCGTGTTATGGACAAACAGCAGTGCAAGCATACCGCAAAGAATCGTTTGAGCCATGTATGTACGATGGCACATGCACGCATGGACGTGAACATGCTATCTTATACCTATATGTATGTTGGTAGTCGAGGGTGTGAAAACCCCATGCCTGAGATTTTGCCCGTTGTGAGCTGGGGTTCAACGGCTTTCCTTTCCTATTACCTGCCTATTACCTGTCATGGAGAACCTGATCACGCTCAGCCAGTCAATACCCACCCACTCCACCACATACCTGTTTAACTCATCCATTTTACACGGACATCTACCGATCTGGCCCATCAGGTGGGTGAGCTGATTGGCGGCTCCCAGCGCGAGGACCGATTGGACGTGTTGGAGAAGCGTATCGAAGAGGGCGGCATGGACATCGCTGCGTACGAGGGTTACCTCGACCTGCGCCGCTACGGCACCGTGCCCCATTCGGGTTTCGGGCTAGGCTTCGAGCGCCTTATCCTGTTTGCCACCGGGCTGGACAACATCCGCGAGGTCATCCCGTTCCCGCGCTGGCCAGGAAATGCCGCCTACTAAGCGGTCTTTGAATGCAATGCGATGCGGGTTTGTCAGAGTAACTTGCGTGGACTTGGTGCCTGGTGCGATGTAGTCGTGTGATGTAGCCTCGCTGCTGGAAGTGACGCAGGTTTGTGTTCTGCAGTGGCTGCAGCTGCGGCGTGATGTGGCGCTCTAATATTGAGAGGTATGACCACGGCCATGACCGTTAGCTTGGACTAAGTGCCAGGCACCAATGGACACCGGTTCAGCTATGCTTTCGGTGCTTGACGGCTTGTGTGGGGTTGGTCGGGCTTTAATGCGTGTGATGGGTTCAACACAGAAGCAGGGAAACCAGTGCGGCAATGGTAATGCGGCAGGTCCTGTGCCGACTCTTGGCGAGGAGTCGAGACATGAAGTCCTCCGGGTCAGTTCTTCGGGTTATACAAAAGCCCCCGCGTTAGCAGGTCCCGAATTGGCTCTTGTGGAGGTAGTATTGCTTGTGCTTCTGATCGCGTGTCGAGGGAAAATAGTACGGAGAGGGCGTAAGTTGTGAAGGGTCCGGGCGCTATGCATAAGGTCGAGGACTGGGACTGCAGGGAATGCGGGCATCTGCTAAGGTTTGTCTGGATGGCGGGATTCTGTGCGATTGTTGCTGGTGGCACTTTCACAGAAAGTCAGATAACCGTGCGCACAGACATTCTGTTATGCTGGGGGTGGGTGTTTTTGCATAAGATATCGTGGCTAAACTGGTGTGCGCGCAGCGGCATGGGCATGGAGGTCAGGGGCTTGAGGTACCTTAGCAGCGCCGACGTGGAATGCGTACGGACTTTTCGGGAGGAAGCGCACCACGTTTTGTGCGCTGTACCTATTAAGGTAATAGGGTACGTGTGCAAGGTTGGAGGGTCTAGGTCTTTGGTCACAAGGTGTACTCTACACGGCATGTTGCCGTTAGCTTATTAATCCTGTATCACCACGTCACAATCGTGATGCTAATTTTTTGGTTCAACACACGGCATATACATGTAACGCGTACATATGTTATGAGACTGGGACGCATTGACGAAGGAATGCCATGCGAGCACGGAATGTATGCGCTCCTCCTTACGGCTGCCATTCAAGTCGCTATGCATAAGCAGCAATGGGGAGGCGAGCGGGCTAACTCTCTGATTGGGAACCGCGCATACAACGTGATATGGCATCTCCATGCAAGTGATACCAACGTGACTAGCAAGGCAACATCCACACAGTTTACACATATACACTAGTATAGCAGGGACGCATTGTTGCCGCTTGCAGGCATTGCAAGCCCAGGTGTGGACATAAAAGTCCATTCCTTTACGCAGACCTGGCTCTTGATCCTACACATCACCCCTAAACCAGCGGATAGCATGACGGCTTCGGGATGTCCAAATGCCTGCCACACCGTGATACCCAGCTGCACTCACCCCTGGTCATGAATTACATCACAGCCTGCAACCTGAAAATCCTTCCTATCCAGAACCGCATAGTAGGCGCGTTTGGTTCATATCATTGCTGGCCCCTTACAGCTACGCAGACACCAACCTCACGGGCATCCAGCGCTGTCGAGCTAGTAACGCTGCAACTGTGTTCCTTCACCTTCCTGTCCGAGCTCCATTCCCGATTATGCCCTGCATTTGCTGAGGTCATGAAATTCGCGTAGGCTCAGATCTTCACGGACCCTCCTAGGTACCACAGGCCGATGGTCCCGAATCCAAGCGCCGTAAGCACCAACCAGCCCCGGCAGCCCGAGCCCTACTTTTCTCCCATCATCAATCAATGGACGAGCGGAGGCTGCCCAATATCAAGTACCGCCCAGGCAAAGGACCGGCGGCGGGCGCCGTGACGGTGACGGTGCCCCGCGCCGTGTCCACGTCCTTTACCAGCACGAAACCGGCCACGTTGGAATTTAGGATCTGATCGGGTGTGGTAGCGTGTGACACGGCCAGCAGGCCTTGCAGCTGCTCGAGCGAGGGAGGCAGGTTCTGCAACCGCAGCGGGTCTGCCAGGGAGACGGCGCCCAGCGGCAGGGCTGTGTTGGGGGCGCGGGGGCCACTGCCTGTGGTTTCGGGGTATGCGATTGCATTGCGTTGGACGATGACAAGTACTACTTGGTTCCCCGTCCTTTCCCGTCCACCCATTTCCAAGCCCGTACGCACCTATCCGGTACACAGCCAGGTCGGTCGCCCGAATGGTTTGTGTGGCGGGTTGCAAAGGGGTACGTGAGGTGCCGTAGAAGTACTCGCGCACCCGCTGCTCCCGCGCCCCGCGTCGCTCATCGCCCTCACGTTTCACTGCACCGCCAGACTTGGCTAGCTTTAGGATGGTGGTGCGGGGGCAGGTGGCCTGCCGGCGCGAATAAGGGTGCGGCAAAGGAGGGTGGCGAGGCAGCAGCAGTGCAAGGACGGCGGTACAACACAGGAAAGGAGGAGATAGAGAGAGACGGCGTCCACCGCGTCTGCAGCTGTGTAATAGGAGTAACAATGCGAAGAGGGTGGCCGCGGTGCCGTCCGGTTAAGAGATGCGGGGTCCCCACTTGTGAGATACGGGACGAGCGAACAAGAAAACGAGTTGTCGCTTGCGGCATCTGCTGCTGCTGCCGTGGCATCAGAGTAGCCTAAGCGCGTCATCCTACAGCTGGGCAAGGCCTGTAAGGTGCCTGACTTCGTCGCGACAAAGGGTGTGTGAACTGGTGCTGCGTGTGCCATACACGTCGACAGCCCTGGACTTGAATCCGTGCCCTACCCCACAAGCCTACAACAGGCTTCTCTGTTAATTACCTGAAACCCCGGACCGGGGGCCCTCACCTTGAGATCTTGTTGCAGAGTGGCGTGCAAACGATCTTGCTCCATTACCAGCACCACGTCACACTGCTCATGGGCGTCACCAGGGAGACATGGAGAGAGAAAAATAGTGCTAACAGGAGTTGGGCACGAGGAGCTTGGCCGGGCATGTGGACAGGTGGCCCTCCCTCCTCAGATGACAGTTAAACAGCATCAAAGGAAAACGGAAAATGGAAACAAAAGCAGAGCCTGCCATTGAGACAGTTAAGATATTCATCTAACCACATTTCCAGATAGGGCCTCTTCAACCCCTAGGGCCCTCCAAGCCCACCTTCCCCCGTACGTGTGTGTCTTACATGGTCGGGGTACATGGCCCCGCGCTCCATCCCGCCGACCCGCCCGCCACAACGGGTGGTTTGGACGTTTGCTGCATAAGACTCCCACCCGCCTACCTGGAATGTTTGTATGATGTGCTTCTGTAGATCGTAACCCGGCCCGTCTACCCAGCCAAAGGTATTGATGATGATACCAGAGGCGGCAGCTCGGGGGTCAGCCGCAGCTCTCCGCTGCAGCAGCGAAGACAACTTGTCCGCCAGGGCCTGAGGGTCCAAGCCCCACACCACAGCGTACCGCGCCATCACACGGAAACCAACCATAGGAGGACGTCTGCCTCACAAGCTCATCACACACAACCAACTCCTTCAACTTCACCCACCCACCTTCACCCACCCACCCGACAACCAATCAATCCACACTGCAGCAGCGTACAGCCTCCAGCCCCAAGACTGCGACAGGAATCCAATGCCTCAGGTGCGTCTCGCGCTCAACCCACTTCCCCACTGCGCTGCCAATGTGGATGCACTGCGAGCTCTGCACGAGTCCCGCCCACCTTGAACAGGGCGGGGTTCTCCCCTGGGGAGTTGTGTCCGTAGAAGAACACCAGCGGTAGGTCCGCAATGAAGCCCTCCTCGATGTCCACCGGGTGCTCCAGGGGCACCGCGGACAGACAGCCGGGGACTGTGATGGTGCCCTGGCCTGCGATGCAGGTCAGGGTCGGCCAGCTGGTGCTAAGGTTGCGGAAGTCAATGGTTGATCAGCGGCGGTGGATAATGGTTAGCACACCAATAGGGCGTCCAGAATCTTTTTCCTAGCTTTTAACCTAGGGCAGTCAATCACACACCAGCTTGATATGATGAACATGGTCAGTCAACTAGGCAGCCAACGAACCCGACTAGCAGCCAGCACTCTTACCAGCCCGGGGCCCCCTCCCGGGCCCTTTAATTGGTTTGCCTAAACACCGAGCCCACGAACCAAAGAATAACATTCTTGGCTCAGCCCCCCATCCCGACTCACTCCGCCCACTCTGGCACACTTCCCACACCACATGAAACTGCCCTCCCAGCCACCCCACACGACTTAGACTGCTCACCAACGTCCAGGTCCACGAAGGTGGGTTGCCAGCCACTGCGTACAGCCCAGTTCCCGAGCAGCCGACATAGGGTGCTCTTGCCGCTGTCTGTGGGGCCCACCACGACCACAACGGGGCCCCGGCACCCGGCGGACCCCGGGGCGGCTTTCCGCGCCTCCTCGCGCCGCTGGTTCAGGGTCTGGTGCACATTGAGGTAGGAGGCCATGGGCGTGTCATCGGCCACGTACCTGTACGGCAAGGTGGAGATGTGGGTCTGGTGTGCAGTTTCACCCGGGCATAATAGCACTTCAAAACCCCCCCGTAATCCCCAGGGGCTCGGTTCTGCCTGAGTGGGAACCTCCAACTACCCAAGACCGGGTGTCACAGCAACCCAACCCACATGACACTCGGCTCGCCCTGTACGGAGACTCGACCGCCATCCCAGGTGAACACCTGCACGGGCAGATACGGAGAGGGACGAACGAGTGAGCAGCCTAGCGACAGCCACATCGTTAAGGGGCGCCAGTCTGCGGTACAGGCGACGTGCTGTAGGGGTGAGAGTCACTCGACAGCCACGGGTAGAGTTATTGGGAAGGCCCTGCTGGGCTTCAGACTCCGAAAAAGCTAAAGGGTGTTCATCATCTGGGCAGCGAAAGAGGTCGACCAGGAGCGCAAAAAAGGCGGGACTCCCTTCCCAAGGCCTAACCCGCCAAAATCAACACAGGGAAACATCTTCCCGGCAAAATCAGACTTGTCCGGGTCCGTTGTTCCGGTAGGGTCTTAGGGTCTAGGGCCTCAGAAGTCGGAACACTAGAGGTTGCCCTTCAGCGAGTTGGATATTGGGAGACACACCGCTACTTTTTGGCCAGTTACGGACACGGCCCTGCCCCGGTCCAGCTCCGTGCCAAACACCTCCGCTGTGCCCTCCTCCAGCTGTGAGCGGGGGAAGGGATGGCATGGGATGGGGGATGCTTGAGATGGGGACCTTAACCATGTTCGCATGTCAGGTGTGTACCGTCGCATCCGAAGGCAGTGCGCAGACGAGGGGAGTTTCAAGGCTACAAGGGTTTGGGTTTAGGTTTCTTGCTGTTTTCTCTATGTTGCAGCGGCTTATTGGCGGGTTAGGCACTTATGACCAACCCCCTCGCACCCCAAAACACCGTAGGCGGCTGGTGCCGGGACGGTCCCCAACTTCTGAGCTCACCCGAATCGATACCGGTTTCCCAATTGGACACTCCAAGCGGAGCTCTTGTCTCTGCGCAATTCAGGCGGTATGAGGACTCGTTTCCTGCCTAAGGCGTGAACTTCCGTTATTGCAATCATACCGCGGTAAGAGTAAAAGATGTATTAGACGCACTTGTTTCTTGCGCAACCATGGTGTAACTCTGATTTGCGGAGCTGTCTTTCGTGGGAATTAATTCCTGATGAAATAGTATTGTTTCACATAGGGCTCACGAAACGATATCCAAACTGGTAGCACTTGGATGCGATGGATGGGGACAGGCAGTTGCCAAGAGTGCTGTTGATTCTGAAGAATGCCCGGGGCCTTACGTACGGTCGAACGGACTTCACAAAGCCCTTTGTCACACAACCGTCAAATGCACCTGCAATAAATTAACAAAGGATTGGTGCAAATAATTACAGTTGTGAATTTAGGGCATTTCCCAATCGGCTCAACTCCTTATATCGTAAAGTTCCGACAGGATGCTGCTCGCTCAGCGCAAGCTCGGTAAGTGTGTGACGCTGATGCCGGAAAGATTATGGTTTCCTTTCACAATTTCGCCAGGTAGCAACTGATCTTACCCGGTGTTTGTGCAGTTGCTTCCCAACGTGCGCAGTCGCGTGCGGCCGCACCCATGGTGGCACGCTCTTCGCGGCGCAGCTTGCGCTGCGAGGCCCGCAAGGTTGCGCTGCTTGGTGCTGGCGGCGGCATCGGCCAGCCGCTGGCCCTCTTGCTTAAAATGAACAAGTTTGTGACGGAGCTTGCTCTTTACGATATCGTCGGGGTTGCCGGTGTGGCTGCCGACCTGAGCCATTGCAATACTCCTGTTAAGGTGTGTTTAGATGGATGCCAGCGCGATGGCGTGATGGGGTATGCGGAAAGTTGACGGGATGACTGGCACGGATTCGTCTTAAGCTTGCGCTGCAGGACTCTAGGTAAACAAAGAATGTACTCAACTGATACAGGTAACTGCTTTTACTGGCCCTGAGGAGCTGGCTGGCTGCCTCAGCGGTGCTGATCTCGTGGTCATCCCAGCCGGCGTGCCACGTAAGCCTGGGATGACTCGCGACGACCTATTCAACACCAATGCTGGTATTGTTCAGGCTCTTGTACAGGCTGCCGGCAAGAACTGCCCACAGGTGTGTCGTTGATTGAAGCGCCGACACGTGTGAAACGCGAGTTACCGTTTCATGCCGTTTATGCGAACGTAATAGTGTTATCTTTTGACTTCAACAGAAATTTATGAAAATGCGCAGGCTGTGCTGGAGATTATCACAAACCCTGTGAACTCGACAGTTCCGATTGCTGCCGAGACCCTGAAGGCGATGGGCGTCTATGACCCAAAGAAGGTTATTGGCGTCACCAGCCTTGATGTTGTGCGCGCGAACACTTTCGTTGCGGAGGCCCGTGGTCTGGACATGAAGGACGTTGACGTTCCCGTTATCGGTGGACACGCTGGCGCTACCATCCTGCCGCTCCTGTCCCAGGTAAATGTCTCGGCGATCGGCGTTATGGCTGTCCAGTATGAATGTATGGCTGTCCAGTATGAAGCGGTTCACAGTTCATTACATTACGAACTGGGGCAAGACATGACCAGTCAGCGATGTAGGGTTTGTTCAGCAGTGCCTTGGGCTAGGGTTTTGTGGCAAGTTTTTTTGTGGCACTGCTGCATCCAGATTAAAGTAAAGATCTGATGGCTGGGCACACGCGGTGTAACGTGTACCCATGTAATCCGGGGCACCCGTCGAAAATGTGTGCCGAACACGAATAACAAATGTGTTCATGAGCATGAGGTGCACATCTGTTCAATTTCCTTACCTGGCATCCATACGCTTGCAATGGGAAACTGGAAAGCTATGGTGCATGTCCCCTTGCTTGGCCACGCTGCGAAAGGCCTTGTTAAACAATTGGGAGAACAATGCCACGAGAAATCTGTGTCACGGTCTCTGCATGCCGCTAAGTGTGGAACACGCGCGATAACCGGTAACTTTTTATGTCGGTGCATGAAGGATTGCTGCAAGGGTTCAAATGACTGTATGCGGATTTGCTTCAAACTTGAAGACGTCTGCAGGGCCACGCACTTCGTTGCCCTCCGTTGGAGTTCGGGGGCTTACTGTCCGTAGGGCCGTGGAATTGTCTCGTTTGGAGAATCAGCGACTTTCCCTTCCGGGCTATTGGTTGTACTTTCCCTACGTAATGGTTGGTGCTAGACAGCTGCTGCTCCACAGCAATAGGCTCAGTCTCTGCTATGGGATGGGTCACGGTGATGGTGGTGTACGCTGCATACACGAGGGCAAGCTGCTGTCGGAGCAACCCACCGCGGTCATTCCCTAGGTACCGTGCTCACCGCCGCGAGTATGCTTGCTGTCCTCGTAGACGACCCCAGCGGTGACCTTCACGGAGGCGGAGAAGAAGGCCATGACGGAGAAGATCCAAAACGCGGGAACGGTGGTGGTGGAGGCTAAGGCGGGCAAGGGGTCTGCCACGTTGTCCATGGTGAGCTGAGCGCCTGATGTAGGGACACGCCGGCCGGAAGAGCGGCAGTCGCTTCAGTGGATTAATAGATGTGTACTGTCGTTGTGTGTGCAGCGGACGTTATATTGTATAGGAATTAATGATTTCATGACGCCCCTTGGGTCTCTTGTCCTTGTTCTGCTATGTTGCAAATTACGTCTTGTTTAGGCCTATGCCGCTGCTCGTATGGCTGAGTCGACGCTGCTGGGTCTCAATGGCGAGCCCAACATTTACGAGTGCGCATTTGTGCAGTCGGAGGTGAGCTGTGGTGTGTACCGGGGTTCCTGACAATATGATTGGGTGCTGGTAGGATTCCGGATTTGCTTATTACAGGCTATCCATGCAGGGGGGAAAGCGTTTGACGCAACGAAAGTCTAGTAGGTTATGTCGTAATGCAGCCTGATTGGTTTAGTTGTCACTTATGTGGGCTCTCAACTGTTCTCATGAACTGGTGCACGCTAACTGGGTATGGCGCACAGCTGCATGCCCCGCAGAATCGTCATGACCTCGCTGAGGGTAGACGTTTTTATATGTTGCCATCCCGTTCTGGTCATCGTCTTGCTCTTACTTGTGCAGGTTGTTGCGGACGTGCCATATTTCGCCAGCAAGGTGCTGCTGGGGCCTCACGGCGTGGCCAAGGTGATGGGCCTTGGTGAGCTGGATGCTTTCGAGACGGCGGCACTGCAGTCCATGTTGCCGCAGCTAAAGGCGGAAATTCAAAAGGGTGTTGACTTTGCCAAGAATGCCAAGGTGGCTGCATAAAAGACCTTTGGACTTCACGCGGCGCGGGCATAAATGTGCACCTCAAACAGGAATCTGGGTACGCGAGGCGGGCCCGGCCGTTCTGGGGCAGGCCTCGCCTTGCCTACCCACCTTTGATGCTGCATCAAGGTGGATAAGTCGGACCTTGCGTGTCGGACATCGGGCTGTGGGCCAGACCGGAGATGGAAGAACGGAGGGTGTCTTCCTAAAATTTAAGCACATCGCGATGTGTGTGGCGCGGCGCGGTGAACAGACATGCGAGCGGGCCTGGAATTCGTGTGGAGCGGGTTCGGGTTGCTACTGTTTGATCCGAGGGCAATAAGCAGGTGCTGACTTCCATGATTTGCGTGGTGTGGGAAGTGAATGTGGTATTCTGTCAAGCAGGCGAAGTCGGTCTCATTTGTTCAATCCTTTCTTCATGCCCAACGCTCCCAGCTTTTGCCCTAATGGCAAAATGGCAAGTGGTCAGCACCCGGAATCGTTACACGATTCCGGTTGGGCATCATGTTCATCGAATTTGTAGTGGCAATGGGTGTGCCGCGACTGTCGCGCCATTTCTTTCGTTCATTCTTTGCCTGTCGTGCAGCTGTCTCAGGTGTGCTTGTGTACGGTTAATGGGAGCATGTCGGACTGGTATTGCGATATCGGAGTATGGCAGGCACATCTAGTGCAGAAGCAGCATACGTCTCGACGATAAGTGACATATACATACGAAATAAATTAGAAAAAACGTAGAAGGGAGCTAGGAGAGGGGGAGCTAAGAGCCAGAGAGGGGAGATAAGATTGATTGTATGTAATCATCACGGCAAAAGAACCACTATCCAGAAAACTATCCACTTGGTAAAAGATCTCTTCTGCCAAGCTGTGGTGCACTCAGAGAAATATGCAGTCAGAGAAATACATTAAAAGATTGGATTGCTGTAAGTACAGATTGTATCGCTGAAGTTAACCTTTGTCATCTATGCTTGCATTACCTTGATGCTGCCATTTTTGCTAATATTTTCTGAATAAAGATGAATTTGATCCATAGCATCCTCAATTAGGTTTTTTACATAGACGTATGTAAAATACCTACTTAAAGTTAAGTAGGTTTTTTACATACGTCTATGTAAAAAACCTAATTAAACGTCTAAATACGTAGTAAGAAATCATAGATAATTTTTTTCCTGTATGGGGCACATCTTCAGGCTTTTGAGTACAAGGAAAGAAACTATAAGTACAACTAATAACTCAAATAAGGACATTTTGGGGCGGGGCCCAACGGGAAGTGCCCAGGAGGGCCCCGCCCCGCCCTTGTCCATGGCCGTGTGTGCGTAACGGACCAAGCATAATATCTCGCCCGGCTGAAACGCGTTATTTGTAATATGCTGCATTCTCTATTGCAAGGTATCTCGCCTGTAGCCAACAAAAATCGTATGAGCACAAACAAGATTGGCTGCCTCCATTGACCGAGGTCAAAGTCACATCAACGCCTCTAAATTTCATCTCAAAATGTGCCGCGTATCTTATAATTTTTTTAATTCTGAGATGACGGCATATGATAACTCGAACACCCAGCTTGTGTTACCATTTGCCTGCACGGGCATTCCAGGGAATTCTGACTTGCCACCAGCAGGCCGACAGATTTGCTATCATTTCTCTATGAAATACGCAAGCTGCTCGTTTGTACAATTACTTTGGCCAATGCTCGGGGCCTCCGACGACTTGCAGTGTGCCGCGGCGGCTGTGGGGCGGATTGCTGAAGCCGCTGGCGCTTCGGGGATGAACATCACAGACAGCACCGGAAAGTGCTGCGGGCTTTGGGGAAGTGTGTCGAGTTAGGCTTTGAGGGGGGCGCCAAGGGCGCGTGAGCAGGCGGGTCAATGCCTGAAGAGGCGCCGTAGGCAGTGCGTACGGTGCTGTACGGCGCTGTTTTCTGTATGTGTTATGGCTGCGGCACCAGACCGCAAAGCCAACAGGCTGAAGGCTGGCAAGCTGCGATTGTGTCTGCTGAGCGTTGAGCATCCGGCCTGGACTGCGGACTTGGCGGCCGAGCCCCTGCTGTGTGCCGGAAACGGCACCTCAGACTCATACGTTTATGCCCAAGCAAGGGGCTGTCGGTGGCAGGTCGCGGACCTCCAGGGTACGTGTAACGGCCAATGACTCTTAGCCGTGTCTGCTAGGTCCCAGAGAAACACCGTCTCTTCAACAGGTTATGAGCCCCGGCTTCCTGCCTCCCGCGCTCTGACAAGCACAGCTCCCACCACGTTGACACTACCCTAGCTACCGGCCTGTACGGATGCAGGGGGCCCCCGCCCTTTTTCCGCCTTCATGGAAGCCGACACCCGACTTATTGTACTTGTAGAGAGATTAACAAATCGTACTATTTAAAATAGTAACTTGGTTCTTAAAACCTTTACAACTCTGATGCTCTGATAAAGTTATGTTGTCAACCTTATCATGGCGATCCTGTAATCATCGTACATACGTCACATTTTATGGTTCACATATACACATGTGCGGTTCTACAGGTAAAAGTGAGCGGACCAAGTAATAGTATTGCTACTACTAGTTGTTACACGTTGTTATCTCGTTGTTATCCTCCGTTTCTTCCTCGACACCTCCCCAGCAGCTGGGCCAGCAGGTCTTAGTTGGGAAAAAACCACAACCGTGCAAAAGTGCCAAACCCCGTGAGTTTATCCCTTCAATAACCTGAAATAAAAGAATATGTTATTCACACTCATAACACGATATTCGTTTCCCCCCGAAATCTACCCCACCTATCCATTTTCTCCGCAACGCCATACGCCTCCCCGCCCAACTTGTCGGCATGCTGATGTATCCTCTCTTTCACCCAAGCACCCGACGCGTCATATGTTTCAGTCCCCCAGCCACGACCAAACCACCTTTCACCTCGCCCATTCCTCCCAAACTCCCCCCTCCAGTATACGCTCTGAGGCTTTCTTTCTCGCTCATATTGGGTTCGGGTTCCGCCTCATCAACCGCAAAATTCAATTCTTCACCTTTCCTACCAGTCGCCTGCTCCTTCCTCAATCGAAGATGGCGTTTCGGGCCATGCCCAGCAAGCGCTCGAAGATGCGACCGCCGTCGTCCCGGATGCCGCTGTGCCGGTACTCGTTGGTGACCCACACCTTGAGCCCCTTGATGGTGCCCGCCGTCTCCTGCACAAGTGCCGCACAAAGCCAGGGGTAAGGAAGAAAACCGCCGACTAGGCCACGGCATCACCGCAAGGTTACGGATGATGAAATGACCAAGCCATGAATTGCAGCGTGGGGATAAAGGGGAGTACGCCGTAGGGCCGGACGCTCATCCGTTCGCAACTATCACACTTCATCAGGCAGGCTGCCACGGAGAGCATTACAACTTTGCCAACTGTTAGTTGTTACTTGTCAGGGTATAGTGTGCTTCGTCACCGCAATGCCAACTCACCATGGCCATATCGTAATCCACGTAAAGGTCATCGACGTACGACACCGCAGCTGCGGGAACGCGATTCGCGGAAAGTGCGGCCGTGTCGTACAACGTGCTCCAGTCAGACTTCTCCGCCAGCACGTCTGCCGTCTCCTTAAATGGCCGAAGCGCCGCAATGTCGTCATACATGAACCTGCATTAGTACATACATACATACATACTTACGGATACGGATGTACACACCTGCAGCAATATTATTCCACGTGGTCATCACCAAAAAAACAATCCGAACACACCGGCGGTCCAAGGCGACCAGGCGGGACCAGGCGGGACAACCTCCCTTTCACGGGCTGAGCAGCAGGAAGCTGGAGACCTGGTAGCTCCGTTTTGTGCAGCTCCCTCACACGCACACGCATGCATTTGCACTGGGCCGCGCACATCCGCCATTGGTTCACGGCCAAGCCCGCAACCCCTCTCCTTGCGCATTCGCATACGCTCCCCCCCTGCTGCTACCCAGCCAAGGATGCGGTTGTGGTTCATGTGCCCCCAATGACCGGTTCCAAGCAGATCCCAAGTTTCCAAATTACCCCAGACATCCTGACAGAGACACGCAATGCTGCCTTCTAACACACACACGCGCATGTGCGTGGTTTTATCCGAGCTTTACCCTGACTGGGCTTCTCCTTACCCTCGTGGTGATGTTGTTGGCCCTGACTTACAGACATACAGATGCAGACATACTGGCCTAATGTAGTATACTCACATACAGCCACACATACCTGTACACGCACTCCCCGGTAAACATGACGGGCCGGTTCTCCGCTGCCGCAGCCTCCGCGTCGAATGCGCTCGCGAAGGGCTCGCTGTTCCGCACCCGGTCAGCCGCCCAGCGGCAAGCGGACCCCGGCCCCTGGCAGTATATGGGCTCGTGTAGCAGGGCGTACAGCGGGTTGGTGTCCCAGGACTGCCATGCCTCGAAACCCTGAGGGAGGGTTGAGGGAGCAGGGCCCCGCAGGTGGAGGGCGGAGGATCACGTGGAAAGAGCAAAAAGAGGGCGCATCGTCCCCCAGCTTCCGGGTTTGCGGCTCCTCCGGCACCTCAAGAGGGCTATTGACACATTCCCTCCGGGGTCCGGGGCCCCCTGATCCGATTTCCCAGTTCCAGGCCCTTCCCCGCGTGTGAAGAGGTGCACGGTACCTTGGCAAAGGCAGGCGTCATTTCCCCGTAACCATCGAAGAAGCTGTCGAGGAGGTAGTGGAGCCGCTCGAAGCTGCCGCCCGTACCCAGACCTGGCACAAGGATACGAAGGGAAAGGAGGGGAGGCAATGGCGGCGTAGGAGCAAAGAATCTACCGCCGACAGGAGATGAGGGGACTGGGTGAGGACACAGCGGGAGAAACGGAGGTACGTGCGCGGCACATTGCAGTCTGACAACATGTCGCCACACCACGTGGCCGCCTAACCCGGGCCACCCCCGAACCCCCTCCAGCGGGTATCAATGAGCTCAACCGGAGCCGTAGCGCCCACAGTACCACACCCATCACCCGTCCCTCATCCGCCCTGCCGGGTGTCTTAACCAACACCCTCCCACGCACCCACACAAGCCGTCCGCCCTCAGACCCGTGCTCCCAACCCGTTTTAGGCGCCGTACCCGCACACCCTCACTCTCACCCTCACCCAGCCGTGACCCACACGTCCAGTCACCCACCGGACAGCCCTAACGTCTGTAGCAGCCGCGGTGTGAGTTTGGTTCCGGACGGCAGCTGCACAGACCCCCCCGGTTGAGCTGCCAGGTAGCGCACGATACGGCCCACCAGCTCCACATCACCGGGGAAGCTGAGGAGCGGTAGAAGGGGGAGAGGACGAGGCGGGGCGGGGCGGGGGCGGGGGGGGGAAAGACGAACCACACACGATTGAAGCGGGGCGGGGCGGGGGCGGGGGGGCCCGGGGCGGGGCGGGGCGGGGGGAGCGCCGTGGGAAAGAAGCTTCATGGACAGCGTATGGGTCAGAGTAAGCCGGTGTGGAGGGGCGAAGTACTGCATGCGGAGGCTGCATCGGAGGGCCTGACCGGACCAGGCTAGGGAGGTTTGCGGCACACAGTCATCGTAGAGGCCACAAAGAAGGAAGGAGGATAAATGCAGGGGGGGGGGCCGGAGGTGGGAGGTGGGAGGGAACGGCAGGGCCAACCGACACAATCCCGTGCAACAGTGCGGCAGTGGAAGCTCTGGAGCTAAGTACCGCCCCTGGAGCTGCGCGAGGGGCCCCCGGCGGGTGCACGAGCCGGGCAATCAGGTTGACGCAGGGAAGGCCTTATGCCCCAGGTGACGCAGCCACGAAAATTCCCACATTCCATAGCCAAACATGTGGTAACCCAGGCAGTAGAGTACGGAGCCCGGGCAGGCAGAAGTAGTCGAGGGAGATCGTAGCGACGGGGCCCCTCCCGCTACCCGGCAGACTCCCGGGTGGACCGCAAGAGGCCACCGTAAACACGTGAACCCGCATGCTCAGAGCCCGGTGACCCCCACCCTAACCCGTTTGACTTCAGTAGAAACAGTCCGAGGCCCTGCCGTGCTCCGTACCGTTCGTAATACTTTGCATTTGCCGCCAGCACCCTTTTGTGGAGAGTCCGGTACACGTCCTCCGCGGCGCAGGGTTGCGATATGCGGGGGGGCAGACCGCCCGTGATGATGGCCTCCATTAGACCTTTATAGGGGGGAGGCCATAAGCAGGGAGGGGGACAGGGGGCGATTAATGGCATGCACAAGTAGAGCGGAACAACCGCCACGACATCCAGAGGGGAAAAGGGGAAAAGGGGAAGAGGGGAAGAGGCAAGCGGAAGTTAAATGCAAACGGAAACATTTGCAAACATTATGTCAAAAATCAACCAGGATCTGCCAACATCGAAAGCGACCTGAAGGCGACATGGGCACGTGGGTGTGTGTGCGTGGTGGTGGCGGTTTAGGGTTTCCACACATTGGATCACAAACCAGAGAGCCTTGGGTGAAGAGAGCTGTTTGAGCAGCCACTCCCCTCCCCGCCCAATAGGGCCCAGTCCACACTACGGACGCTCCCGCCCCCCTTCACCACCCCTCTACCAGACTGTACTCCCCCTCCCTACCCCCTCCCTACCCACACACTCCGATGTACTCTCACCCATCTACCCGCGTGCTCAGGATTACCTCACTCTCCATGTTCCCATTCCGCCGTGTTCATCCCAGTCCATATCTCCCCCGCCTGCCCCTCCTCACCCGCACCCACCCTCAGGCGCCTGAGACAGGTAGGTGACGACGCAGAAGCCCCCGAACGACTGCCCCAGCAGCGCCCACTTGCCCCCAAAGCTGGTTGGAGGCACCAGCAGCTTGCGAACCAGCTCACAGTCCCGGATGATGCTGTCAGCCCTGCGTGAGGGAAGGGGGGTGAGAAGGAGGGAGGGCGAGACCCGCATGACCCGAGAGGCGAAGGGTCAACTGCTGAGGGGGTTTGGGAAGGGGGACAAGAGAGGGAAGAGAGGGGCAGCGAGGGGGAGGTGCGACACGTAGACCAACACGACCCGAGTAAGCGGCCCGACATGGAGGCAGAAAGGGTGATGGGGGCCCCCCCCCGAGGCTCTGCTGCTGCTGGTTATCCAGGTCCAACGACGACGACACGGTACTTACGGCAGCCGGCTGCTGTTCAGCAGCGTCCATGTGCAGGTGGGTCCGCCCCCCGTCCGCCGCCTGAACACCAACCCCCGCTCTTCCAGGTACCCCCAAATTTTGTCGGTCTGGTAGTGAACCGCAGTCTTCATTCCTAGCCCTATCCCGCCTCCCTTTCCTCCCTAACCCCACCCACACGCGATGTCCCCTCCCAGCGCCCTGCACACCCACCTGAACAGCGCCAGGTACTCCGCCTGCTCCTCCGGTCCGCCCTTCTTGGCCAGGTTGGTGGTGGTGATGGGCGCTGAGCGGCCCGTACCCCGCTGATCCAACAGCACCACCCGGTGGCTGTTGACGGCGCTCTTGATCCAGATGCTGGCCTCGCAGGGCCGGGGGGCCTCAAATCCCGGACCGCCTGGGGAAGCAGAGGTGGGGGGGTGGGGGGGTAGGTGCAGACGCCACAGGAGGGGGGACGGGAGAAGGCACAAGTATGGAACGGGGGAAATGGGGGGAAGCTGGTGGTACGGAAGGTGGGACGACATGATGACGTGCAGGGGTGCATATTGCGGCCATCATTGGGGTGTAGTCTGGAAGAGAGGAGAGAGGGGAGCGCGGAAGGGCTTTGTTGGGAGGAATACATGAGCCAAGCAGTGGGTATGACAAGATGACGCTTGTTGAGTGTTATTAGTGACGGTCCTGGTGGGGAGAGGTTGCCGGAGGGATGGGGCGGGCGCAAAGCAAACAGCAGCTGCCAAAGCTCGGCCCGTCCCGTGAGCCCCAGAGCTGCACCGGTCGCTGCCTTACACAGAGACACACACATACACACACTCTTTAGGCAGCTGCCCGCGCCATGTCATGATGTCCCTGTCCTGACCCCAGCCGTTGCTCCAAAGCTACGCATGCCGTGCATCCCATTACCCTTGCATGTGTGCCTAAGGGTGCGTGTGCAGGGGGGGGGCACTGAGACCCTGGGGGCGTAGCTAACAGCACTGAGCGACACGGACCTCGTGGCGAGAACAACACGTCAGCCAGGGAAAGCAAGACGCATAAGGAAAACCCATTTCCTGGCTCCCCGACCCTTACAGCTAAAAGTTTTGTTTTTTGCATGTGGGTTCCTCCCCATACACACAGGCACACGCACTGCACGGCTGTCCTCTTCGCGGTCGAAAACACCAAGCTGCGTTCACTGCGAGGGCTGCGCCTGAAGCCCTCGAACTCTTTGGGCCTTGTCGCGCGTTGATCGGGTCCACAACGAAGTCCACTTCACGGACCGGGAACCCACCTTCCAGTCCCCAGTGACCCATATCGCATTGACCCACATGTGTGCCTCTGCCGAAGCGGGACAATAGTCGGCCACACCTCGCAAATCCGATTCCAACCCCAAAGCCCATCCCAACCCAGTTCACCACGCAAACCTGAACGCCCTAAAAGCCCCTTTACCCGAGTATTGTTTGATACACGCACGTATTTGACGCACGAACCTTGCAGGTACACCAGGAACGGCAGGTTTTCGTTCCTTGCAGGGGCCAACAGCTCCCGAGCAAAAAGGGTAATGGTCTGGCCTTTGTAGGGACCCGCCTGGCCGCTGTAATCCAGGGGCACTGTGAAGGTATGTTCTCGTACCACGAGGCCGGGGACGTTGAAGGTCTTGCCGACCTCATGTCGTGGCGTCATGCCGGCCACCTCCACACTTGTCCGCTGACGCTTGCTGGCCGGGGTCGGTCGCGAGCTGTCCATGCTAAGCACCGGTAATCTCTCGGTCTTTCGGTGTTTCCTGGGTACTAAGGCGCTTGGGATAGCACTGCAGTAGTATCGTGTCGGCAATGATCTGATGGCAGAAACTCGCTTAAGAGCTCCGCTTAGGCTGATACTGGAAAGCATGTGTTTGGTGTGATATGGGTTAAAGTCTCTTGCATACGTGGTACATGGGATCACTATGTTGCAACGAAAATGGCACGAGGATTGGAAGGGTGCAGCAAATGACCGACCAACTCGACAACGGAGGCCAACTGGATAAAGATATGCTTGAATACAACCTATAAGCGTTTCAAGGCACCCAATTGCCAATTGCTATCATAAGAGTTGAGCAAAAAGTCGGACAAGATGTACGGCAAACTGCAACCGTGGCCGGATATTGCCGCGGAGTCCATCTAGACCTACTGTGCTCTGTGAAAATGTCGTCGACGCGCCGCCTACTCACGCTCTTGCCCCAGCTGGGCCGTGCTGGCGCGCTTCGTGCGTCTGAGCACGCATCCGCGACCGGCTCGCTACTGTTCACACGCGGATTTGCCGATGATGCTAACCTGAAGAAGACAGTGCTGTATGACTTCCATGTAGCCAATGGAGGTGGGCATCGCTGCCAGCTTTATCATGGCTTGTAGGCTGGTCGTCCCAACCCCCTCTGTCTGCACAGGCAAGATGGTGCCCTTCGCCGGCTGGTCGATGCCGATCCAGTACAAGGACAGCATCATGGAATCCACAATTTTTTGCCGAAAGAATGCATCTCTTTTTGACGTGTCCCACATGTGTGGGCTCACGCTCAAGGTGCGCGCAGGCGTTAGTGGTAGACTCCGTGCGAGAGTGCCTCTTTGCCTACAGACACCGACGAATCTTCATCAAATAAGCTTTGCCTATAGATTAGGCTGGTTATAACCATCAAAGCGACGGTCCTGCTTTATTCAGTTCACCTGGCGTGGTTGTTGGACTCGAGCCATATAGTTTTGTCAAGAAGGCCAACTGATCTCAGGTGCCTTTTCATAATGAAGCGCAGTCGAGCCAAATTTAGGGGAGTTATGCCCGATAGTGGGGTTCGTGGACTCCCTCGGCGTCGGAAATGTCCATCGGGCCCGGGCACCGTAGCAAGTAACATTACCACAAACCTCTTAGCATTATCACATGCATATATTCCACTTATCTGTGCAATCAGTTCATCAACGCCCCCAACTCCTCGCTGTGCATCCCCTGCTCTGGACCTTGTATCGCACCGCGCAAACTCCCTCTCCGAACATCCCCACCCGTTAGCTTCCTCACCTTACCTCACCCTTTAATACTCCCCCCCCCACACACACACACGCATGAACCCCCTTCCAGGGCAAAGACGCGATCAAGTTCCTTGAGGGCCTTGTGGTGGGCGACATCGCTGGGCTCAAGGATGGCACCGGCTCGCTCTCGGTGTTCACCAACGAGCAGGGCGGCATCATCGACGACACCGTCATCACCAAGGCAAGCTCACAGCGAACAAGCACAGCTGACCCAGATCTAGGGCTGAGTGACGCGGGGCCCCTCTCCCCCCCTTCCGAACCAGATAGACGCTCCAACCCCTCCTTTCCCCGTGGTTCATCTTCCCCTCCTGTCCCCACACCATCACCAGGTCAATGGCCAGGAGATCTACGTGGTGGTGAATGCGGGCTGCCGGGATAAGGACTTGGCGCACCTGGACAAGCACCTGCAGGCGGCCAAGGTGGGGGGGGGGAGGGAGGGGAGAAGGGGCGGGTTAGGAGGGCGAAATCGCGGGGCTCAGGAAGGGCGATGGGAGGAGAGCTTCCGAGCTGCCGGACCAGGACGCGAGAGTAGGGAAATGCAGTCCAGCGGAGTAAACCGTTAGGTAGGGGCCTACAGAGAACGTTTTGAGGTTGGCTGGGCATGGCCATGGACGACGACGACTTCCCCCTCCCTCCCCCGTTTGGTCACTGCTCCATTCCCCAGTGGTTCGTCTTACCCCTCCCCCGCCTTCGTGCTTCGTCTTTTCCCCCTCCCGCTTCCCTTCAGCCCCGTGTCTTAAGTCCGGTGTCCGAATCGCCTGCCCCGCTCTTCCCCCCTCCCCCCTCTCTTGCACCTTGTCGGCGCCGTGTTCCGCAAAGTACCGCATTGACTAAAAGTCACCAGCGGTACATCTTTAATAACAACATGGCTACGTATCCGCCCTTCCGATGACCCCCCTGTCGGCCCCTCCTTGCAGTCCAAGGGCCTGGACGTGGCCCTGACGGTCCACGACGACCGGAGTCTGCTCGCCCTGCAGGGCCCGGCTGCCAAGGACGTGCTGGGCGCCCTGGCTCCAGGGGTGGATCTGGCCGCCATGTACTTCAGCGACTTCAGGACGTTCGACGTGGCGGGTATCCCCTGCTGGGTTACACGCACGGGGTGAGGCGGGGCGGGGTGAGGCGGCGCGAAAGTGTGTGTGTAGGGGGGAGAAGGGGGTTGCCCGCGATGATGCCATGTGGGTATCGTGTCGTACGGATTGTGTGTACGGCTTCAGCAATGAAGCGGGGGGTTGAGGGGGAGCACGGGGGGGGGCCCTGCGTCTTTGGGAGGAACCTGCGTGACCTGCGTCTTGCATGTACACATGTATGTATATATGTATCCACGTCTCCCCCTCCCCCCTCCCCTTCAGCTACACGGGCGAGGACGGGTTTGAGATCAGTGTGCCCTCCACTCACGCGGTGGCGCTGGCGGAGAAGCTCACCGCCAGCGAGCGAGTGCGGCTTGCGGGTGGGTGGGCGGGCGGGTGGGTGGGCGGGTGGGTGAAAGTGAAAGGCGGTTGATGTGCGGTTGCGAAGGGGGTTTGGCCGGGGGGAATACTAGTGGCAGTGAGTGGGTGTGCAGCTGACTGGCAGTACTTGTCGTACAGTACGGTATGTTGCTGGTGCGTGTGCGGGTACATCGTGGCGGCGCCTGGATCTGAATCCACAGCCGGATGTCGAAGTCTGGATCTCGCGCTCTTATCAGGGTGTCGTTCACAGGGTCTCGGGGCCTCTTCGCCCTGCTTTCTTTATAAAGCCGTGACATTCCGCCTTTCCCCCGGGGTGTACGACACTACCGGCCCCCAGGTCTGGGCCCACGTGACTCTCTGCGTTTGGAAGCGGGTTTGTGCCTGTACGGCAATGACCTGAACGAGTCTCTGACGCCCGTGGAGGCGGGGCTGGCGTGGACCATCGGCAAGCGGCGGCGGGAGGGCTTCGACTTCCTGGGGGGTGACGTCATCAAGAAACAGCTGGCAGAGGGAGTCAGGTGGGGGTGGGGGTGGGGGGGGGGTGGGGGGGGAGGAGGCTACACCGGCTTCCTTCTCCGCGTCACCAGCCCGGCGGTACATCGTAACCTGCCCGTCTCTCACCCGTGCTTACTTCCCGACACCCCCCGGCCTCGGGGAGGGGAGGGGAAGGGACCCTTAGGGTCATCCGCCATCCGCGCCCCACTCGCTGCAACACATCGGTTCAACCCCCACCCCCACCCGCAGTAAGCGGCGTGTGGGTTTCGTGAGCAGCGGCGCCCCCGCCCGGCAGCACAGCGTCATCAGCACACCGGACGGTCAGGTGGTGGGCGAGGTGACCAGCGGGGCCTTCAGTCCCTGCCTCAAGAAGAACATCGCCATGGGGTGAGAGGGGACCCGTGAGGGCCCTGCGGGGGGGGGCGAAAGGGGGAGAGAGAGGGGACTGCGGGGTGTGTGCGGGGGGAGGGGTGGATACTGACCTGTCAGGGCGGGAGTTAGTGAGGGGGAGGTGTGGAGAGAGAGGGGGGGAGCTGTCTTAGGCTGGGAGAGGGGGGATCTGATCCGACCTGACCTGGCGTGGGTTTCTGTTCAGTGCTCTGAGCTGTCCTTCACTCTGTTGGCGTCCGCCGCCGCCGCCGCCGCCGCCGCCGCCGCCGCCTCGCACGCAGGTATGTGGAGAAGGACTTCTCCAAGCCTGGCACTCAGCTCAAGGTGGAGGTGCGCGGCAAGCAAAATGAAGCCGTCGTCACGAAGATGCCCTTCTTGCCCACGCCCTACTACAAGCGCCCTGAAGCCGCCAAGAAGTAACTACACACATACGTGCATACATACATGCACACACAAACCGCGCACTCAGTCCCTAACCGAACCCGGCTCGCCGGCAGTTCTCCTTGGCCCCACCTCACTTGCTGCTACTGTACGGAAATGTCGTACTGGGAAAAACGCCCCCAAGCGCTAAGCCAGGGCATAGGTAACGTCTAATACGTACGAGGAAACAGACAGACAAACAAATGTACATATGTTACTCTGTACGGTTGACGGATGCAGCGACGGGCGCCGGCATTGGTCCATCGCTTAACGCCAAGTTGGGCTGTTGCTGGTGGAAGTGGGAGCCCCGGCTGGTGGCGGTAGTTGTGGGTGGGAGGCGAGGCGTCGCTGGTCGGCCCGGCTGCCTTATGGCCTTCTCAGCTCACGGAGAACACGGGGAGATGTTGGGCCGTGAGGAAAAGCTGCTGTTAAATCCCCGTCAGGCCCAACCGTTCATTTCGTTGCATGTATCTATTTCTTGGTGATGGTGATGGTGGTGGTGGTGGTGGTGGTGGTTCAAGGGGTGTGAGGGGTTCCTTGGGTCGGCCGATATCGGCACGGGCATCAACATCATCATCGTCGTCGTCGCAGTCGGCTCTCCCCACGGGGTTCCCCAGCGCCCCGCCTGCCGGACTTGGTTTTGCGTGCTTGGTCTCGGAGCTGGTGTGTGTGAAGGGGGCAAAGGAGGAATGGACGCGGTGGGTTATGGTGGCGAGTAAGGGCGGCAAGCAAGGTAGTGTCTGGCGTTGTGGCGGGGGATATGACCTGGTGGGTTCTGTTGTGAGGGGGAAAGGGGAGCGGGAGGGGGGATTGCAGGTGCATTCCGGAGGCGGGTCTCGGACACGCGGGCACGATGTGTGTATGCGGGAAGAAAGGGAAAGAAAGGGATGTCTGGCGTTCTTGGCGCGGCATCGAAAGGGGGAAACTCGGAATCCATATTATTTCCTTTCCGCTTTTTGTCACTTGCGGAGTCTCCAACCCTACTACGGCGAATTTTGGTTGGCAGACATGTTACGCCAGTTTTTTTACCGAACTGCCCCCGTCTGACTCACCGCGATTTTGGCGTTGTACTGGACGGGGGCGAGCGGGCTGGCAGCCGGCCGGAGGGAAGGAGAGAGGGAAGACAGGAGATTGGTCGTTGCGGCGTGCCGCCGCTACTGCTGCTACTGCTGCTGCTTTCTGACGGCTGTAAGCAGGCAGGGCTGCGTCTGCCTGTCGCTGAGCGCCAGCTTGTGCGGGGGAGGTCGTACAGGGCGGTCAGGGCATAAGATGAAACACACGAAAAAAAACACATACGCGCAGCACCCAGCACGCCGCAGCTCCAATGCTGAGTCCTGTGGAATCTGTTGGTATCCATTGTATAATTGACCCTCTTCGCGACAGCCTGTAACCAGGCGGCTGTGTCGCCAACCGGAGCTCCGAAACTAAAGCTGACTGACGGACAGTCAGACAGTCAGACATGCATGCACATGGAACCGTGCTGAGTCACGTGCACAGCGCAGGTATACCTGTATATACTAGTTTTCGAGCACGGAGCTGGCGGTAATGCAGCTCGGGGCCGCAACCTCAACCAGGACTGTACGGCACACAACACGGCATGTCACGTGACGTTATGTCACGCCATGTCGCATAGGTGCGACCGCCGACGTACCGTATTGCGACATCCATCCAAAGGGTGCGCGAATGAACGAAGTCCGAAGTGATATTAAGTCGATTCAGGTTCGCACGGCATCTATACATGGCATCTATACACGGCATCTATACTCGCACCGATGTTCCCTTTTGAGATATACATACATTCGTACGCTGGCACATGTCTCTCCAATACGCAATCACACCAAACGACCCTAGAGGCGTCATGTGGAAAGTAAAGCGGCTCCTCGAAAGGCGACCCGTCGGTGCTATAGCACCTTTGAGGCCTTGAGACACAAGACATATCGACACACACACACGCACATAAACACACATAAACACACATAAACACACACACACACACACATAAACACACACACACACACACACATAAACACACACAAACACATAAACACACACACACATAAACACACACAAACACATAAACACACACACCGGCGCATGCTTGCGGATGGCTTTGATGTTGGATATAACTGGCAGGGCCACACAAGGAGCCATAGTTACTGAGGAGAGAGGTGCATAAATAAATGGACGTGGGCACAATGACCTTTAAATTACATATGCATATTTGCAGGCCTTAATCCTAAACGCTTGCTCCGGATAAGCCACGCCAGGCTGCTAACGGTATTAAGGGAGGTATAGGATTGGACCAACACCATGATCATCATTGCTCCCTATCATGAGCAGGGACACCCGTCCCACGTCCCAATACCTGCGCAAGCCTTCCTATGTGTCCTACGGTAATTCAGCACTTCAAAAAAAAGTGCGGCAGTCCTGCGGCATTGTCCTTTTTTTAATTCTACATAAAACCACGTAGCACACACTGGCCACTATCCTCACTCCCAAAATAGCCACTTGCCGCAAACACTTGTGCTAAGCCTACATCCGCTGTCAGCCATCCAACCAAGCAACCAAATTGCTTTGCATTGAAATGACTTCACCCGGCGCTTGTAGCACTGCCGCTGACGCCGCTTGCGGCCATAGCAGGAGCTGTCGCGCATGTGTGCCGTCCAAGCTCCGACCAAAGGGCGTCGTACGTCTTCTCCTGGACGTCGCAGAAAAACGCTTATTGTCCGTCAAGTACTCAGATGAGAGTTGTTGTTGAGGTGCACCACAAAGCTCGTATGATGGGTTCGCGCTCTACCAGGAGGCTATAGATGCTCAGCCGTTCTGGTTGAGACGGAGGCGGCGCGCAGTGCACTGTCCATGGATTCGCATTGGCGCCTTAGCAGCAAGTGTATATACACCAGATTCATACGTCACTCCAACGCACCCGGCCGCCGCACCCGGCCCTAACAGCTATCCATAACTCTGAGCGTATGTATAGTCCAAACACGACACCGTTCCTCCACTTGCAGCCCAGTGCCGTACAGGCGCCCTGTGGAATACTGGCGGGTGACTGGCTGCACCGGGGCCGAGCCCCTTTTGGCTTTGAAGTACCTGATTACCCTAGTCATTTCGATTTCTCCTTTGGTAAGTCCGATAGGGATGGCGTTAAGGAAGTAAGGTGGGTAGAAGGTAAGCAATAGTAACTGTTGTGCCCGAATGGCTCCGGTAAGACAACACACACTGATGCTGGGATGGCTAAGCGCCGCTCAATTTATTTACCGGGACACGCACAGCCTTGATTGAGAGTTTATTTGGGCAGCTGGCATACCTAATAATTCTGCTGGTGGAACCAGGGTTCGGTGGGGCAAAACCCTTGCACGCATCTTACACCGAGCAAGAACCGCAGTGCACGTAATGATTAACCACCGCTTGTGCAGGAAATTTTTAAAAAGCGTCTTAAATGAAGCTGCATAGGGCTGTTGTTACGTATGGTCTTGTGCCTGAGTGCATCAGCGCCCTTGCCACAAATAATTGAGAGCCTTTGGGGGCTACAGGGACGCTTAATGGAAAGGCACATACTTCTGGATCACATGGAGCTTAGGGTCATATTAACTCCTGGTTGTTTGTTTGAGCTGGGCACTGTGACTTACAGCGCAAGGCTGTCGTCTACAATTTAGATAGAATCGCGTCGACCTGCCAAGGCCTAAGGATACAACCAGCGTCATCAAAACAACGAACTAAGACCTAAAGTTTTCTGTAGCGATAATCATGCCTGTTCTCTTTTGCCGCCCGCCCTCGACCACCTTCCCTGTCTGCGTTGGCCGTTCGTCCGTACCGGCCAGGCAGTGGGTTCATCCTTGGATATTCCATTGAAATATACCGACCACATATTCTGCAACTATAGAGGAGCATACGTATTTTTACATCTGCAAATAAACAACCGAAAGTAATTGCGCCAGGGTGTCATCACACTAGAATTGCAACAGTATCCTTGAGACACCGTTGCGAAATCTACTTTCCACCAAATGTCTTACATCGACCGTGATGCGCGGCGCGTATTGCAGGTCCTCGTGCCCGGCGTACCTCCGCCAGTCCTGGTAAGAGGCATTCACAACGACCCAAGGCTTACGGCCAATCACCAGCGCCTGTTCAAGCACAATTCAGTCACAAATCACATGTTATTAACAATTTCATTTTTCAAACAGGACTACGTATTTGCGAGCATCACTAAGACCAACGGCGGCAACCGGGGCGCCAGTAGCGGTTGTCAAGGCCCTCCTCGAGCACGGTACGCTCTCCGGAGCTGTGACGGTGGACCGGGAGTCTGGGGGCCTTCGCTGCTGGAGTCCGCGTCACCGGCAGATGGCCCGCTTCCCTGCAGACAATCCTATTTGGGCTCGCTGAAATTCCACTATGCACCTGATGCCGCGCCCACCCCCATGTCGCAGCAGCGTGGGTAATCACTTTGCCGCGTCCACCTCGAACCCAAGTTGCGTCATCTCACAATAACATATTGCAGCTGATAGTGAATAGCTATGCGCGCGTGTCCCTGTGGATTCAGCGTGTCTTAAGCAGCGTAGTTTCAGGCGACAAACATGCGGCGGAAATATATCCAGGCGTCCGTCATGCAAGTCTTGGTCGGTGGATGCTGCATGGGAAATGCCACGTGCAGATTCCAGCCCACCTATTGAACCCCGCAACGATATTTGTAGCGGATCATTTGAGGACTGTCTAATCGCATGGCCCGTGGGTCATTTCAAACAGATGGGTTTTCACCATCGACACGGTTTTGTCTTAGGGCTTTGATAGCTGTTGCGTTGACCTTTGTCTAGACCTGCGCCGCAAGTGGGAACACTTTTTAGGGCGCTGGACATTTATTCGAATTTGATTTTTCCCAAGGATTTTCGGCCTGGTTGCAGGCTGACTTGACGGTAGACCGTGCCGGTGGTGGCGCTAGGTGGCGCCGCTCGCCTAATCGCACCACAGCATCTTGTACTGTTTGTGTTTTTATGACGATTGAGCATGAAACGGGTTTGCATGGATGGCGCAGGCGGGCAGGACCTTATGGCTGCTTCGGGAGGGTTCAAGAACGGTTTTCTTTCCTCGGCGCTGTCCTTATTTTCAGCTTGTGTTATGTGATGTGCTGGGCCTCCGGGCTTTTATGCTTGTGATCAAGTACCTTGTTTTTTCTCTCCTTACGGTTGATACACATTTTATTTTCGTACGTTGCTATAGGCAGGCATCCAGTTACGAGCGGAAATTTTAAAAAGGTTGGGAACCTGAGATAGAGTAACAGGATTGGCAGTGCCGTGCAACTGCACGGCATGATGGCAACAGTTTTGAAGATAATGATGGTCTGTGCGCCTTCGTAGAATAGCTAGCCAAGAACAGTTTCGAGTTGTCTTCCGTGGTACATGCTGTACAGATATAGGATGTTGCCATTCGGTGTTGCAAGGTTGCTTGCTGAGCGCAAATTTGCAACCTCTTGCGGCAGATGCCATTCAGCAGCATGTGTTGGCTTATCTCGCTGCGCATATTGTAGGCACGCGACTGATGGTCTAGGCTTGAGATGGCCCGATGTCCGTCCCTGGATGTATTTTTAGTGTCATTAGTCAAGCAACTGTCAAAGTGGAGAGGTGTCAGGGTGTTTAAAGCACTCCCCTGCTGTAATTGATAATGAGTGTTGCCTTGCCATAACTGTAAGGTGCTGTCGTTCGCAAGATGTGTTTTAGGCCCCCCGACTCCTGTGGCTACAAGGGTTTCAGCATCCCTGCTCTGAAGGTGCGGAGAACCGTGGATGGCGCCTGAAGGACGCAGGGTAGGGGGATGACAGCTCAAAGGCGATGACACCTGGGCCTCAAGCGAACAAAGATCGGAAAGCGCCTACTCCGAGAATTGCGCCAGCCATATTGCGCCATAATGGATAGGTTCATGTCAGGCTCGGCCCAACGGTAGCTTGGCAGGTTTGGACAGGACCGCAGTGGAGGAGCCTGGCTCTGGGAGCCGCACTTATGATCCAGTTGCAATGCTCGCCGGGCTCTCGCGGTCTCTAGGGCTCCCCACTGAGACCGCTGCTATAAGTTCATGTCAGTTTGCTCGAGTTCGACATCCCCACGATAGTAGGCGCATCAATTTAAGGCAAGGTTTGCTACCTACCAGCCCAATGTGGCACACGTGAAATTGACGACCAACCGGCACGCGTGTCTCATAACGGAAAACCGTACGAAGGGGTTCAAGGGACCGGAACGTGCCGGAACCCCACCGCGTATGCACTCGTAGCCACTAATGCTTCGATGTCAAATCTTCCGAGCGAGTGCTAGGGCCACATTATAAGGTCTTACTGCATGATGTCCAGTACTGTTTGTCCACTGCTATTGCAAATACGAGCGGCACCCCTAGATGCCCTGACATCCGGAACCAATTTTAAAAGCTCTACAAGGCCTATAAGCAGTGAAAATCGTCATGGGCAGGGAATGCCTGATCAACGCAACGCGAGCTGTTGGCGGCTGCAACACCTGCAAATTCCGGCAACAGGGTTGGAGTGTTATAAAATTCGGTAGCGGAGGCTTACAAAGTTAAGAAAAACTTACAGATACACCGAAGGCTTACTAGGAATCTGATCTTTATGGTAAATTTGGCCTAGTCGCAATAAGGCCCTGCTGGCACATGAGCAAAAAATCCGCGTCCGCCACGTTGTATTCCTTTTCCAGCGCGGTTAGGTGGCAAGGGCGGCTGGCAGCTGCGTGACGTTTTTCGTAGAAGACATTTAAGCTTTTATCTGTGTGTGACTTTGTGGCTGCACCTCCTTTGGCCATCATGGCGTTTACCAATGTTCACTTGCAACATGCGTCCATATCGCATGCGTCTTCATCTCGCATTACGATTGTGACACGGGCTGTGGCAGCCCCAACTCGTCCTGTAAAGTCCGCCGTCCCTGAATTGCTTGACGGACGGCTTGCGGAGCAAGCATCTGTTAATTTCCAGGAGTATACGCAAGCCACCCAAATGCTCAACCGGCTGAAGGGCCAGGCTTCTGACCTAGAACTGCTGCTGGACCAGTTGAATGCACTTGAGGCCAGCCTGGACGATAATCTTCTGGTGAGTTGCCGAGGCACGACGAGGATCCATCCAATAATTCATGTGTATCTTTTTGTCCTAGTAAGAAAATTTGGGTGATTGGCGATATCTGACCCCGACCCGGAATTTACAATTGCAGGCTCCACCTGCCCTAGAAGAGCCAGATGATAGGGCTGCACGACAAGCAAAGCGTGCGGCGAGGCGTGCCGAACGCAGGGCAAGGGCAACCACGGCAGAAGTCATGCAGGCTGCGGTTCCATCCACGGATGCATTCCGGGCCGTGGCCAAGCAGTCCGATAGTCACACCCACAGCGCCCCTTCCAGCTCTGCCACGTCCAAAAAGAATGGCACTCGCGTGGCGCTGGGTGCCTCAGCAGCTAACAACTGCACGGTCAGTGATGTCCAACACCTGGAGGAGCTTTTCAAGTTGACTTTTGGCGAGCCGGAGCTGCCGCTTGCGGCGCCTGCGGCACCGCAGAAGGCGGCATCCGAAGCGGCGGTTTCACCACCTGCGTCGGGGCCGCTGCTCAGGCCACGGAAGGTTGCCAAGAAGTCAGCCGCCGCTGCAGGCCAACCTGAGGCGCCTGCGGCACAGGCCGCACCGCCGCCGCGCAGTGAAACGACTTCTATCTCACAGACCCTGGAGCGTCTCTTCCAACACGATTTTTCGTATGATGATGGGGACTTTTTGGGGATGGCAGATAAAGAAGAGCACGTTATGCCTTCTGACGAGGATCTTCGCGCTTTGGAGGGCCATATTGAAGACCTGTCGATTTCCCTGGATGACAATGTGCAGCACGGACACGGAGAAGTTTCTGGCTCTCGAGAGCTTGAGCGAGCTGCGCTGGCGCCGCGGGCCGCGGAACAGGTGTCCATCTTGTCAGCGGGGCCATCCCTGCTAAACCTGGTCCATTCGTCGGCGGCGCCAGGGCGAACCGCGCGCGGCCGCCAGGCGCGCCGCAGCGCTCGCCTCCAGCCTGGACGCTCAGGCCGATCCGCTGCCGGTGCGGCTGCATCAGCGGCTGCGAACGTGCGCGGCAAGGCAGCTGGAAATGACGGCACGGATCATTTCCTGCATTCATCTGCAAACGTAAACATCCTTTCCCCGGAGGCAGAGCTGGAGGTGACGGAGATGTGCCAGGACTTCTTGTTCCTGGAGAAGGTCAAGCGGCAGTGCGAGAAAACCCTGCACCGGAAGCCCACAAACGATGAGTGTGCAGCGGCGGTTGGCATGGACGTAATGTGAGCTCGCGCGTAGGGGCCTGTAGGCCCTGTTGTGTTGCATGGGTGTTGTGATTCGTTCGCGTAGGGGGCTGTAGGTCAGTTAACGCGGCGGCTCGGGACTTACAGCAAGGAAAGCATCCCAAACGAAGCAGTGCTAAGCTTGGTGGCACGGCTCGCCATACCATCGCCACAACCGTTGTTGGGTGCAAATGTTGCGGGCCGCCATTTTATTTTTCTCCCAGCCATGCGTAACAGGTTCTATGCTAGTTTTAACAAGCTCTTGTTATAGTCGAAGCGCGCTCCCCTCATCGTACTCTATGACACAACAGGGCTTCCGGCTTTATGTGTTTTTGCAGCTTGGGGACGAGGACATGGCTTATTGAACTCGCTGGCGGGGTCATATCTATCTAGATACAATGTCGTGGATGACGTCCGCCCCGAATATTTCCTTATTGTGCTTGTTCTTTATCCGGGGAGAACCCTCTGATGGATTTGCGAACTCCTGGATTTCCGCCATCACTCATTTCCCGCCGCAATCCGCTACAATCCTCAGGGCTTACAACATGCGATACGACGCCGGCCTGAAGGCTAAGGAGTTGCTGCTAAAATCCAACTACCGTCTGGTCATGACGGTATGCAAGCGATACATTGGGAAAGGCATGCACCTGCAGGACTTGGTTTCGGAGGGCGTGAAGGGGCTTTTACGTGGCGTTGAGATGTACGACGCCAGCCGGGGCTTCCGCTTCGGCACTTACGCTCACTGGTGGATCCGACAGGCCGTATCTCGGTCCATGGCGGAAACGGGCCGAGCAGTCAGGTAGGGGGACTGCTGAATACCTGAATGAATTCCGCATATGACCCTCGTTCTCAAGTTCCATGCTTTTTAGAGCGCTGATCTCTTAACAGGTGGTGGTGTGCGTCGTCGCTACATGTCACCTGCAGGGTTTATGCCAATTGATGGATAGTAACGATCCCTCTCCCGCGGTGGCTCCTCCCTCACCTCACAGGCTGCCTGTCCATATGATCGAGCAGCTAACTAAGCTGAAGAACGCCACGGCAGCGCTCGCCATGGAGCTCAACCGTGAGCCCAGCGTGGAGGAGATGGCGGAGGCGGTGGGACTGCCGCCCAGCCGCGTGGAGCTGTTGCTGGACGCAGCGCGCGCCGCATCCTCGATGGAGTCTGCCATTGGCGGCGACGACGGCCTCACGATTAAGGACGCGGTGCAGGATGAGCGGATGGCCGCGGATGAGGCGTTTGGCAGTGACAGCATGCGCGCAGATGTGGAATCGATGTTGGAAGGTCTGAGTGATCGGGAGGCATGCGTGCTGCGGCTGCGCTTCGGCCTCGAAGACGGCGTGGAGTGGACGTTGGAGGACATTGGCAGCCGGCTGGGGGTGACGCGCGAGCGCATCCGGCAGCTGGAGGCCAAGGCGTTGCGAAAGCTGCAGGTCAAGACGATTGACGTGACCGGCAAGCTCAAGGACTACTCGGAGAATCTGAGCCTGATGGAGAGCAAGGATACGGCAACGCGCACGTCCTCGGGCACGCGCAAGACCTAATGGGATTGATTTGCAATCCTTCCGGAGCGTTCCGGCATCTGCCGAGGCAGGGATGTTAGGATTGAGGTGAGGTCGGGTAGTGGGGAAATGGACCCAGGTGCACAAATCCACAGCCTCAGCGCCTGATCTTCGGGGCCTGCAGTCTGGGATAGAGGTCCCGGTGCGGCTTTGGGGTGCCTGTCCGTGCTGGTCAGCAGGAGCGGCAGGGCGGATCGCAAGAAACTCCCGAAAAAAACTGTGGCCTGAGGATGGTGTATGCTTGCCTGTCAGCTGAGGATGGTGTGTGCTTGCCTGTCAGCTTGGTTGGATGCAATGGGTACTGCATGTTAGCATCAGCTTTGCGGTTCTCCACGGCCTTTCACGCAGCAGCGTTGCTACGGGCTACGGGCTGCTTCCACGGTTTGTTTGGATGGTCGATGCGATGCGATGCGGCGGCTAAAGGGATGAGCTGAGATCTCAGCTCCTAGTGGGTTTCCTGCGGGCTGATTTGCTGATGTTGCGCTGCCTCCAGCTGCCTGACGCACTGCGCTGGCTCATCATACTGGGACGCGACCCGGGGCTCGTCCTAATAGCGCACTTGGGCGCGCTTTGGGGGTTTCAGTGCTCTCTGTGGCAAAGGGGCCCCTTACCAGGCAAGGCACGTTAATCATTTGGCGGGTTTTGTAACTGGTAGGAGCTGGGGTCGCGACATATCCGCTGCGGTGCCACCGGCTCATTTGGGGCACCTGACCCAGGGCGCTGCACATGCGTCACATGACTGGCACTCACTTCCGCTTTTACTGCTTTGGGTTTTGCTGCCGTCGTTGGCACGGCTGACATCAACGTAAGTCGTTTGTTATTTGTTGCGGATCGTCGATAGCGAGGGTGTGAGCGAGTTGGTGGTCCCCATGACCGCCCCCCGTTATGGGGCCGCGAAGGCCAGCAGGGTTGATAGACGACTGGTCCTTGTAACGAGCTGGGGCAAGGATTAGGTTTTATGCGGTGCAAAGAGTAAATCGCGGTAAGCAATGGCGATTTGAGTAGACATGTGTTTCCATACTGGGATAGGCTCAGGCTTACTGGCGATAAGGCGGAAGTCTTTAGGTCTTTGATTTTGTCATCATCCTGTCTGAGAAATTGGTTTGGTTGATTGAAGTTGGTGTGCGAGGCCAGCTGGTCGTCGGTAGGTAACAGGAGCGGCAACTAGGGATATGCTCTCGATGCGAACGCGCCCTCATGAAGGGGATTGGTCAGCGGTTCAGCCGAGGATTTGTGAGGTCTTGAAGTGGATCAGTTGTCCGTTTTGATGAACTGAGCTTGCGTGTACCTGGGGGCAATCAACAATGGAATAGTTCTTTAAATGTCTGCTGCAGGGCGGGGAGCTGCCATGGCCAGACAAGTATTGGGCTTGGAGGGATGGCGGTACATGCATGCATACAGGAAGTTCTACGCCAGGCGCGTTGTAACATATCAAGTGCAGTCGCGTTGAATCATCTCGCGGAGGGCACCTCCGATTCGCATTAGGCCTGTGCCCGCCAGGGTACCTTAATACCTATTGCGGCATTACAGCTCATAATGGGTCCCCAAGCCTTCCATCTTACATCACCTGGCTCCCATTGCACGGCAATCTAGCAGGCCAGGCTTCACCATGTAGGCGAGAGGTTCCAACGCCATAAGTCGATGGCCGTACAACAATAGCAGTAACCATTTATAACCCACGCTGTTTTGCAGCAGGCAATAACCTTAACCGAGATGAAGCTCCATGGCTCCTGAGAACCGATTGAAACGCCTGCTTTTGCTGGCCTTATTACTTGTATGCTGTCATGTCAAGCTTGCCCTAGCAACATGCAATGAAAACGAAAATTCCTGCACTGCTGAATTCCTCAAAAATGTGACGGCCACGTTCTCAGCAAGGTGGTCAAGCTGGAAGGAATACTTACTGCTTCGTTCTTCTTGACTGTTTCGTTCTTCCTGTTTCGTTCTCTGTATGCGCAGCAATATTACCATCCAAGACCTGTCTGCCATTAACAGTGCCCTTAACATGGCATATGAGAACTTCAGCGCTCGATGTCGGGGCAAGTCACAAACCTCATTGCGAGTGAGTGCTCCCTGCAAGAGTTCCGCTCCTGGGACGGAAACAAGCAATATATTCACGTTCGAAAACCCACCGGGTACTTCCTACCTCGCCTGGGGGGATTTCTGGTCGCCCGGTCGGTCACACTCCCGGAAAGCAGCTTGGCCAAGTCCTTTTTCCGGTCCCGCCTGCCTCCATTTCCCCTCCTATCATCCCTCTCCCGCGCCTCACACTTCCCTCTCAATGCCAGGCTGTCCGGCTGCTGACACCCACCTTGAGCGAGGGCGATCAGGCGCAGCAGCTGTCGCAGCGGTTCACGCGGACCACAGGCTACCGATTAGAATACACGATGCAGACGGCGGCAAGGATCACAGAGGAAGTGTTATTCCAGGCGCAAACAAATGGTGAGCCCTCTGGATGATGTGGGCAAGGACGAATAAATGAATGGGTCAGAATGGACCAGGCGAGCGCCCTCCGGGGGATCTAAGGGCCCCGGACCGCTGCGGTTATGGATCAACCGCCCAAGCCCCTCCCATGTGGGCTGGCAGGCAGAGATGCGGGCTACCAGGGCGGCAAGCGGGCGGGTCAGTATTAGTCGCCACATCCAGCACTGGAGCATCTGCCCTGGAGCATCTGCTGATGATGCTGTTGGTCCTTGCGGGGCGGTCACCCTGGCAGTGCAGAGTGCCGCTTATCTCAAACACCCCGTCCTTAAGGCCTCACACCGCTGTCGCCGGTCCTGCTGGCCTCGCGCAGCCCTCTGCTCCTCACCATCGTCTGTCATACGCCTCATCGAAAACAGCGCAACCCCGGTCCCCTAACCGCAGTAACCACAAAGCCCGCCCACCCTGCCACCCTCCCGCGACCCTCCGCCCGTCGTGATCCCGGCTGGCGCATGACCTACGGGCTTTCCGCCAGTTTCCCTGTACGACGCTTGGGTACTTGACATACCCTCGAGCGCGGCGGTGTTACAGGCGGGTGCTGTGGCTTCCCTGGAGGAGCTGGCGGCCGCGGCTCAGGACCAGCTGCTGGACAGCGACGTGCACCCGTGAGGGCGTGGGAGTGGGGGGACGAGGGGGGAACTGGTGGCGGAACTTGAACCGGAGCAGAAACTGGAATTTGGGAGGGGGAAGAGGGGAGAACGAAAAGGAAAAGGAGAGGACTGGAACTGGAGGAACTGGAAAGAAAGAAGCAAATGGAGGCTTCGTGGTCGGGGGAAAAAGGTTGGGACTTTTGCGGGGTTGTGAAGTCAGGGAAGGCAAGGTGTTGGGGGACGGAATAGGGTAGGTGGCGGACGCTGTGGGTCCCGCTGGGAGCGCGTGCTGGGGTTTCGCTGGCCCTGCGGTGAACTGTAACTGTGCGATTATTACAGTACCAGAGCGTGCGGATGTAGTGACGCGTGTTGCGGTGACCGGTTAGCGGGATGGAGGGGTGGGGGGAGAGATGAGGACGTTTGAATTCGTGTCCTTAGCGTGGGGTAGCAAGGAGCGGCAGCGCCAGCGTCTCCCATCCCACACGCACCCGGGCACCAACCCCCGACCTTCCAGTCCCATTCCCTCCTTTTCCTTATCCCCGCCTCGCGGCAACTGCGGCAGCTTTTTGCACAAGTACGGCGCCATGTACGGCAAGCGCCGGACCGCCGTCGTATTGAGCAGCATTGTGCCGTTGCTGTACTGGCGGCGGGACCTGCTTGCCGCCGTCAACCTGACGGCGCCGCCGGCCACGTGGGAGGAGCTGCTGGAGGTGGCGGCAGTGCTCAACGGCACTGATTTGAACGGGGATGGCCGTCCGGACGCGGCGCTGTGCTGGCAGCTACAGGGGTGCGGGGAGTCGGGCATGGTGCTGGGTAACATCCTGGCGTCGATGACCCAGTACCAGGTAGAGCGGGGGAGGGAGGGAGGGAAGGAGGGAGGAAGGGAGGGAACGAGGCGGAGGAGGAGGGCCGCTCGTGGTTTTGGGTGGTAAACTTGGCGCGTTAGCGGGTTAGCGGGTTTCCTGCCCCTACCCATCTCGCCATTTTTCCCCTCCTCGGGTTTTCTCCCACCCGCCAGCCCGGCAGCCCGCGGAATGGGTTTCGCGTGCCTTTCCTGAAGCTCATTTCCACGCGTGTGTGTTCTCTGGATTCCCCCCGCAGTTGGTGCTTTGGACGTTAGCAGTTGATCCTTTGTGTTTTGCTTTTGGCTCTGTCTCCCCCTTCTCTATTAGGGCTCTACCAGTGGCTGGCTGTTCGAGCCCGAGGACATGACCCTTCTGGCCGCAGGGGCCCCCCTGCTGAGAGCCCTGGACCTGCTCCGAAACCTCACTCGGCTGGAGGCGCGGGGCTCCAAGGGGTGCGCCTTCCTGCACACCGCCTTCTTCAACGGAACTTGCGCATTCACAATTAAGACGGCGCAGCAGTTCAAGGTGCATGGTGGGAAATAGGGGCCAATGGGGGAAGGTAGGAGGGCGAGTAGGGAATAGGGCGGAATAGGATTTTAGGGGGCCCCTCGGGGGGGCCTCGGGGGGGGGGAGGGGCGAGGCAGGAGGTCCACGATAAAGACCACACACACACACACACACACACAGACACCCGGTGCTGTGTAAGCCCCGGTTACCCCCCTCGGCCCCTCTTGTGCTGAACGGCGCGGTGAGAGCGATGTGCTCTTTCGGACACACGAAGACGTGTGCTACAAGACCGATGATACCTCCTTTCCCCCTCTCCCCGATCTCCCGCTTTCTGATCCACGTCCCATGTCCCGTGTCCCATGTCGGGCTGTTGGGCGCGGTTGGGCCTTAGGGCCTGAGTCCTCTAGCGAGACCTCTAAAGTGAGGGGGGTTCCTTCTCCTGAAAAAACTAAACCTTTCCCCCTTCCCGCCCCACACACTCCCACCCCACACCATCTCCCCGTCCCCCTCTCACATCAGACGGCGCAGCTCCGTTACCCCCACCTGCACGGCCTGGTGGGGGTGGCCCCCCTGCCTGGATCCAGCTGGGTGTGGGACCGGGCGGCAGGGAGCTGGATGTCGTGTGGCGCCGAAACCACTACAACCGCCTCCACCTCACGCGCCTGCCCCTACGCCACACTGGAAACGCCGCTCGCGGTAACCGCCAACCGAACCGTGACGGCAACGGTGAAGGCTGCGCGTGCTGCGAGAGCGGTACTTTCAACCAGCCAGTCGACAGGGTTGTCCTCCCGTCCCGGTCCTAGCTCCGGTCCCACTTTCACTGGTCCCACCACCACCACCACCACCACCACCACGCAAACCGAGATCGTACCTGTCCCGAGCTCCAGCGGCACTCGCAGTGCCAGGAGTGGAAATAGCGCTAATGGGAGCGGCGGCAGTGGCTTGAGGAGGGACAGGAGGAGGAGGATGGCGACGTCGACGGCGGCTGCACCGCCACCGTCGACGCCACTGCGTGCCGCGGAAGGCTGCGCCGGAGGCGGCGGCAGCGGCTGCACCACCTCCACCACCGCCACCGCCACCACCGCCGTTGCTTCTATCCGCATATGGGTGAACCGGGCTCCGTTGTGTGGCATGACGGCGCTGCTGGGCAGTGTGGATGTGCGCACTCCGCCCGACTACGCGGCTGCGGCCTTTTCCTTCTTCGCCCTGCTCACCTCGCCCAACATGTCCTGGGCGCTGCTGGGCACGGAGACGTTCGTAGGGCCCTTCCGTCAGCAGCACCTGGACCCGGCCAACACGGCCCGCTGGCTAGCCATGAACTACAGCGAGAAGGACCTCAACGTAGGTGCGCGTGTACGTATGTACGTATGTACGTGCACGTGTAAGAGTGAGAGAGAGAGAGAGAGGGGAAGTACGTCTGGGTGGTCCCGCACCCGCACCCGCACCCGCACTTTGCACGGTACCGTCCTGTCCCCCTTGGCCCCAGGGAACCCCCTGAACCCCTCTTCTCCCATCTCCATACTCCGTAGTTGCTTTGGAGGTCCGTACCTTTGTCCCTTTGGGTTCTTATTTCCCCTTTCCTCCCCCCCCCGGTCCTCGTTCGTGGTTCGTCTTTCTTTCCCCCCTCCTCTTCATCCGCTTCCCTACCCATGTATGTCCCTCTCCGCCGCGCAGCCCTTCCTGGAGTCCACCCGGCTAGCCCTGGAACACCCCAACGCGGCTCTGCCGCTGCGGCTACCCGGGGCGACTGCCGTACGCGACGTGCTGTACTGGGCCAGTCAGCAGGTACTGACTGACCCCTCCAGTTCGTTGGAGGCAGTGGTTTCGGAGACACAGAGCAGGATGAAGGTGGCACTGGAGAGTGTAGGGCTGTTGCCTGGGGAGGTGAGGACGGGCGAAGGCGACGGGGGTTACGCGGGGGGGGGGGGGGGATGGTGGCAGTGTGGGCTGGGATGCGAGTGATGGTCGTACTGGTGGGAGTGGCGTGCTTGGGAGGAAAGTGGTCGTGTGTGTGTGTGTGTATGGGGGGAAGTGTGTGAGTGGGTTTGTCGGTGCGGGAGTGTGCGTGTGTCGGGGACGGAAGTGCGTGTGTGTGTGTGTATTTGTGAAGTTGTGGAAATGGAGGGGTATGCAGCAGGCAGGAGTATGCCGCGTTCATCCCGGAAACAGACCCTCAACGCCGCCGTCACCATCTCGCCTGCCGGTCCGCGCTGCCACCCCACGCATCACCCAATCCTTATTCGTACAGTCCGCATTCATGAATAACGTACATGTGGTCACATCCGGTAACGCTCACTGCGTGTTCAACAGTTAGCGATATGTTCCCCCTCTCGCTATAACACGTGACATTACATTCTCGGCCGTTATGGTCGGTTGGTCGGTCGCAACGCAGATTCAGCGGGCTTACTGGGAGACGATTGGCTACAAGGGGCCGGATCCGCCGCCGTACAGCGCCCAGTCCTGGTTCGCGGCGCGCGCTGCACGGGTCGGTGTGGGCCTGGCGGTTGCAGTGGCGGGGGGGGCGCTGCTGGTGCTGGCGGGGGTGCTGTGGCACCGCCGCCGCCAGTCCCGGCGCCGTCGGACGTTGTTCGGGCGGGCAATGGCTCCTGGGGCCTCTCCGGCCACCTCGCTGGTGGTGACGGTGAGTAACCGACTTACTAAACACTTGGGGGGTTGGGGCCGTTGGTTGCGTCATTGCTTCGGGGGCCCTCTCCGGCGGTTGGTGCCTTGGGCAGTTGCCTCTTTGGCTTTCGCGCCAAGCCGTGTGTTTCCGCCGGTCCGGCGGTCTCCTAACCCCCCCCGCCCCTCCCCCGCCCCGCCCCTCCCCGTGCCCCCCCCCCCCGCAGGACATTGTGGACTCCACCCGTCTGTGGGAGACCGTGTCACCCGCGGCAATGACGAGGTAGGGAGAAGTAATAGGAGTTATGTAGAACATGTAGTTATATGTAATATATATATATATATGTATATATGTATGTATGTGTGTGTTTCTAATATGTCTTGTCATATCGTTTTGTCTGCCACTGGGGGGCGAAGTGTCAACTTTGCCGTGTGGGTGTTAGGGGCGTTGTGGTGGTGAACCAGGAGGGGGGGAAGAGGAGGGACAGGGGGGAGGGAGCGGCCGGGTACATGACGGGAAAGGGTTGTCCGCCCGCACAAGGGATTGAACCTTGGATCTAGGTTGGAAAACCTCCCTCAGCTCTAACCCACAAGTCTATTGTCTACAGGGGGATGGCAAGTCATGGCCAGTACGCAGGATCTCCTTGGCAGGCACATATCCTGTTGCGTACGGTACCTCCACGGCCCCAGAATAGTTACACATGTATCACTCCACCACCACCACCACACACACACCATACACACACCCACACACACCATACACACACCCGCACCCACACACCCACACACACCACACACACCCGCACCCACACACCCGCACCCATACACCCGCATGTTGCTCAGGGCGGTTCAACTGCACCACGAGACGCTCCGGTCGCTGCTGCAGCTGCACAACGGATACGAGTCGGCCACGGAGGGGGTGAGTCCGTCTGGTTGGGGAGGAGGGGAAGGGAGAGGGGGGGAAGGGGAGGGCGGCGGGGAGCAGGAGGGGGAGGAGGGGAGGTTTCGGTCCGGCGCAGCCGCCGCTGCGGTGCGGTGCGGTGCGGTGCGTTGCAGGATTGTTCAGTTTCCTTGGGGGGAGGGGTTGTTCGTCAAGTCCCCACCATGAACCTCCGTGAGCAGTAACCCGCTTTTTAATGTGGACCGGCGCCGTTTCCCACTCTCTCACTTTCGCCAACACCTCCCTGACCCCCCCCCCTCGGTGACCCTTTGATTTTCTGGATATGGTCCCCCTCCCCCATGACTTCATTCGCCAGTGGTTCGTCATGGCTACCCCCCATGGCTACTTTTCCAATTCATCATTGGCCAGTGGCTTAAAATTTTATTCTTCCTGTAGCAGTATCTGTCTAATCGTGGAGACTATCCGCCTACCTTTTGTGTCTGCATCAATCGTCAGTGGTCGTGTTACCCCCCTCTTACGACGCAATCTCCTCCGCCATTTCCTCTCTAATCGGCCGGCTAGTGACCCTCCTCCCCCCCTCCCCCTTTGCATCCCCCGGATTGCCCCTGCAGGATGCCTTCATCCTGTCCTTCTACTCGGCAGCGGACGCAGTGGCCTTCGCTCTGCGAGCGCAGGTGGGGGAGGAGCTGGAGGAGGGGGTTGGGAGATGAAGGGGGGTTTCGTACGGTGTACGGTGTACGGCCAGTTGGCGGCTGCTGCGGCGGTGGAATAAAGTCAGTGAGGTCTGCTGCCTTAACGAACTGTCGTAACGGCAAAGGGGGGGTCTATCCACCCTCGACGCAGCTGCACCGGCCTTTACCCTTTCCCCTTCGGCCCGGCCCGGCCCGGCGCGTGGCGTGGCGTGGCGTGTGTCGCCGCTGTGGGGCAGTTCGTGTTTGCGCTGCGGCGCGGGGGCCGGGGGCAGGGGGGTTCTCGTCGGGGTCCGGGTTGATGGTATTTGTTTGCACCCACCATCTAATCATCTGCATTCTTTCACTTTTCCGTTGTGGCTGCAGGCGGCCTTGCTGTACCAGCCCTGGCCTGAGGAGCTCTTCCAGCATGCGCCGTGCAAGCCGCAATACGCGGTGGTGAGAAACGGGGTTGAGAAAAGGGGGAGTAGGGCCACGGAAGTTAAAGGTGTAAAATCCGTCATTTTACACCTTTTTAACTTCCTTGGCGGAAGGGGAACACCTCCCATGATGGGCATGAGAGATATCTATCCGTGACACTGCCCGAGGCGTGGGTGCCCGGTTTGGGTTTCGGTGCGGGCAGAGCGGAAAAGGTTCCCGCGCTACAGAACCGGCCATCCAGGACCTCCCAATCGCAATCGCAACTCCGAACGTGGCCGTATGTGTAACAATTCCGTACCTTTGTTTACTTTCATTGTCGTACACAGTGCCAGGTGCCAGGCGGGGCGCCGGATCGAACCCGCGCCGGCATCCCCCGACTGCCTTTCGGGACGCACCACGGGGGGCTGCCGGGACTTGGGTCGCAGCAGGCAGCGGCTGCATTGGCGGCCGAGGATGGAAATTTCTCCGCGGGCGGTGGCAGCGGCTGCGGTGGTGTCGGTGGCGTCGCCGCTGCCGCCGCCGCCACCGCCCCCGGCGGCGGAAGCCTCGAGGAGCACCTCAGCAGCGGTTGGTTAGCCGTTAGTAACTCCCAACTGCCATTAAGCAGCACCAAGCTCAAGATGGTAACCTCAGCTCTGTCGCTGCCGCTGAAGCGACGGCTTCGGGCGCCGTACGACGGCGGCGTCGACGCCGCCTCTGCCTCCATCGCTGGCCTGTCGGTGACATTTGCAAGCAACACGCCAGCCCAACAGATTGCGACCGCGTCACCTCAATCGGTGTTCAAGCCCATGCCGTCGGCGCCACCGCTGCCGCTACAGTCACGCGACGGCTTCGCGTCACAATCGCTATCGCAGCTGCTGTTGAATGGCTCCATATCGGTGCGATCCGGCGGCCACGGCGGCGGCGGCGGTGGCAGTGACGCCGCCGGCGGCGAAGGAAGCGCAGGCCGCAGCGGTGGCGGCTCCAGCCGAAACCTCCACAGTCTCCGTGCAACTGCAGCGCCGCCGCAGCGACACGGTGACTCACACAAGCTTGGGCAGCTGAGATTGGGGATGTCGCGCATCCGCAATACCAGCGCCAGCGCTGTGCCGTACACAGCACCGGGGACCGCGAGAGGACTATCCTCAAAACTGTTGCACTGCAACAACGAGTCGGAAAACGGCGGCGTGTTGGAAAGCCGACGAGACGCAGCTAGGTCGACTGCGGCGGCGGCGGCGGCTGCCGCCGCTGCCGCAGTCGAGAGGGTGGCGTCTGACCCGCTCCGTCGCGGCGGCGGCGGCAGCGGTGGCGGTGGCGGTAGTACCGTGGGGGCTGCGGATGATGTACGTGGTGTTTGGCGCGCTGCTAGCGCCCCGATACCCGTCGCCACACCTACGGCTGAGATCCACATCAGCCGCTCGGGCAGTCTGCGAGAAGCCGTAGCTGCAGGGGCGAGAGACGGCGATGAGGCTTTGGTGACGGCGGTAGAAATCGCTGTAGCGGCGTCGGCGTCGTCGGCGGCGGAGGTTAGGGAGGATGTCGTTGGCGATGCGGGAGTCTTCTCCACGGCGGAGTCAGGAGCCGCCACGGCGCAGGCCGACTCGGCAGGTGCTGCAGGCTCAACCGGCAACAGCGACGCCTTGACGGCTGCCACGTTCACTGGGCACTGGCTCTCGCTGGGCCCGCCGGCGGCGGGGTCGGCGATGAAATCGCCCGTGGGGTCCGCCGCCGCCACAACGTCGCCGCGGCCAGCGACGTCACTGCCGCTGCCCCGGCTTTCGCCACGGGCGGTGGCCGCCGCCGCCGCCGCCGCCACTGCCACCACCGCCGATCACTACGACATCGTTGGCGCCGATGTGGACGTGGATGTGGATGGTTTGCTCGCCATCCGCGACAACGATATCCAGGGGATGCCCGGCGTGGAGTCAGATCCGGAACCAGATCGAGTTGGAGATCCGGACTCGGAGTATAATCCGAGATTGCATCCCGGCCCGGAGCGAAGACCGGCTCGACGGACCCGCGGGTCACGGGTCCGCCGGACACGCCCGTTGACCAACCAGAATCTGACGCCCATACGGCTCATTTCGGAGGGGAAACTGCCGGCGCCAGTGGTCACGACCGCCGCGCCGCGGGCGCCAATGGGGGGTTTCAGCGTCTGTGGCGGCGGAGGCTGCAGCGGCGGCTTCCCCACTGCCGATGGCGGCGGCCTCACCGCCCCGGGGTCGGCCGCCGCTGTCTCCGGCATCATCAGCACTAGCGGTGCGCTGAGCGCCTCGCTTGGCCTGATACCGTACCGCCGTACTTCCATGCCGAGCCACTTTGCGGCGCTGATGGGCGGCGGGGCTACCGGGGGGAGCTCCGGCCCGGAGTGAGTCGGGAGGGCGGGGCAGGGCCACCTTGCACTCTCATACAGACATGTCACATACACATACACATACACATACACATACACATACACACACTCTCTTTCGTACTCATACTCGCGCATTTTCCGTACACGGCCCCTGTGAACCCGGTTTCCGTGTGCGCGCCTCATGCCGCCTCTATCCCACTGCCTCCGCTACCCAACTACCCCTACTGTAAGCTACAGCACTACGTCACCACGCGCCCACTACAGCCACAGGGAAGCTGCCCCGCCCCCACCCCCCGGCCCCACCTTCACAGTGAGCTACCCCGCTCCCCCGATAAACCAGAACCCAGCCCCTTACCCCTTACCCCCCCTTCGGAGATGGGTATCGCTTCGACCACGTCGCCATTTGTTCATCAGCATCTGCACGTGACTCCAACCCCACGCGGTTCTGTCCCACACCATTTCCCTTTCGCGTCCCGCACCGCCTCTCCGCACCTGCCCTGCACCTCACCACACAGGCACCCGAACAGCGGCAGTGGACACGGTGCCAGATCAGGCAATGGTGGTGGCGGTGTGATCCGCAGCTTGCCGCTGGGCGCCTACTACCGGCAGATGTTCCGGGCCTGTCAGCCGGGGGCCCCGGGAGCAGTGCTGGTGGCGGGGGGCCTGTCCGTCAGAATGGGGTGAGGGGGGCTGGTGGGGGTCGGGGTGGGGGTGATCAAGATGGGAGTGGAGGCGAAGGGGTGGGAGGCGAAGGGGAGGCGAACGGAGGCGGCGGTCAGGGCAGTCCACAACCCCCGCACCGCATCCATCCCCCTTGTGTGCCTTCGTGGGGGGCCGTCTGAGCCCCCTTGCAAACCGAGCATCACCATCACCACCACCACCACAGCCACCACCACAGCCACCATCACCACCAGAACCGCTTCTCCCCAGCAGACCCGTCCTGGTCACCGGTATACTGGCCGGCCTTAACCTACCGCCGTCAGAGCCCCTTTTTATAAGGCTCCTTTGTTTCCCCTCCGGGCCGTATCCCAAGCCTGGTGGGAGTTCCGATCTCGGTACTCGCACCGACACTCTATACGGCCTGCAGCTGCCTGAGGCTCCGAAACCGCATCATGTGACCAGGGGTGTGGACTGTGTGGGCTGCCACCCACCTGCAGGGTGCATTCGGGAGTGGCTAGCACGCAGGTGTCGTACAACCGTGTGGCGGGTCGTACACAGTACAGCGGTGCGGCGCTGGAGGCCGCCAAGGCAGTGTGCGACGCGGCGCAGGTTGGCTGGGGCTGGGAGGGGGCGTGTCGAGCGTGGGCTATGTGCTGGTACATATGTATGCGTGTATATGCCGTATTTGAAACATGTTTACGTCTTACATGTCATATGAGGTATTTCTCCAGTCGCTTTCCAAGCCCCTCTGTTTTAGGGCGAGGTTCTAGAAGTACGAGCAGTCGCGTCCTTCTTGGAACGTGTACGGCAGTTTGGTGCTTTGCTTGCGTTCCCGAAAATTACTTCAATAGACCAACAAGATATTTCATGGGAAATATATCTAGCGTATACATGGATTGTACTTTTGACTATAACTAAACTTGGAAAAGCTGAATTAAATTTTGGGAAAGATCTCGGCAGTTAGCTTCAGTGCACTTCCCTGCTTACGACCCCCCCCCTTCATCAACCCCCCCGCCGCCTTTCTACCCACCCCCCCAGGGCGGTATGGTGTTGCTCGGCAGCTCGGCCTTCGAGCAGCTGGCTCTGGCTCGGGGTGCAGGAGCTTCCGGCGGCCGAGAGCCCCCCGCTGTCGTACTGCACATGGGCAGCCACGTCATCAAGGCTGAAACGCAGCCTCAGGAGCTGTATATGGTGAGGGCTGTCCGTGTCTGGAGGGCTGGCGGGCTGTTGATATTTATATGAGGAAAGGCCCCCAAGGCGTGTTCCTCGCATTAGGAGCCCAAGTTGGGGATGTGCGTGGTGGTGGAGATGGCGGTGGTTGTGGTTGTGGTGGTGGTGGAGATGGCGGTGGTTGTGGTTGTGGTGGTTGTGGAGATGGCGGTGGTTGTGGTGGTTGTGGTGGTAGTGGGGGCGAGGAGTATTGATGCGCTGGTGGGGGCTCCCCCTCTCCTGGTCGTCAGCTTTACCCGCTCGTGGTTAGTCGTCCCCTCTCCCTCCCTGCCTACTTCTTCTACACTCTTTCCTTGGCAGCAGCTTCACGCGTTCGTGGTTCGTCTTTCCCCTCCCTCCCTCCCTGCCTTTTGGCCCGCTGGTCTCTTCCGTCATTTATAACCTCACTTTCAGGCCTGCAGTTGCCTCCTCACGCCGTCCTTCTCCACTCCGTCCCACCCCTACACATACATACATACGAGGCAGGCGGCTGGCAGAGGTTAAGGCCTGACTTCTGCTCCCAGCCGACCCGGGTTCAAATCCGCCTGCCGGCTCCTCGGGTGTTTGAGGAGTGTTGAATTGGGAGGTGGCCCCCCATCATATGGACGATGTAGGACGTGATAAAATCAACTTGCGAACTAACCAGGAACTAAGTTGATGTGCCGTTGATCCGCTAGATTTGGTTGGATGCTGGTGGTGAGTTGCCGAACCCAACGAATACATTCTGAAGTCGGATGGGGTGACGGATTAGGGTGCCCCTCTAGCAGGGGAGAGCAGGGACTGCCCCGGGAAAGGGGGCCGCTGGCGAAGTTAACCACCCTGTAACAACATACATACGAAAACACTCCGGCAGGTGGTGTTTGGGACGTGGCCGTATTTCACTGGCTTTTGCACCCTGTAATCCCCCCTTCCCCTTCCCCATCTCCCCCCTCCCCATCCTCCTCCTCCCCTTCTTCCCCATCCCTCCCCTTTCCAGGCCCAGAGTCGCGAGCTGCTACCCCGCCTGGCCTTCCTGGGTCCGGTGCGCAGTGCCGACCAGCTGGATCCAGGCGCTCTGGAGGCGCCTCTGGGGGAGGTGTCCATGGGCACTGTGGTGGTGGTGGGACTGCCCACCCTCATGGCATCGAACAAGGTGGGAGGTGGTGAGGGGGTGGTGAGGGGCTAGGAGCTGAGGGAAGAGGAAAGACTGCAGGGGGTGACCGGAGGCGGGCGGGAGGTGGGGAGGTGGGTGGGCACGTACCCGGCTGGTTTGATGGGCTGGTGGCACGATCAACGACTGGAGGGCGTAGTGCGCTTCCTTCCTCCCTCCTCCCTCCGGGCTCTACAGCAGTTGCGGTACTCTGGCCGCCAGCAATTGACCCACTTGGCTTCTTCGTGCATCGTCATCATCGTCACATTTAAAGCCCGTTCTGGTTTACTGGGCTGTGTTGGGTTCGCGCCTGGGTCCGACTTATTGTTTGCTGTTCGACACATACACCCTTCGCTTGCCGCCGCGCCTTGTGGCCTCTCTTGCTGCTGCTGGTGGTGCGGCTGCTGCTGCCCCTCGCTCCCCCTCCGCAGGAGATGGCTGAGGAGGCTCTGGTCACATTCCGTCGTGTCGTTGTTGAGGTGGCCATGAGGCGCCTGGGGGGGCACCTTGTGGAGGAGGGACAGGGCAGGGTGATGGCGGTGTTTGGACACCCGTTCGACGCGATCAGGTGACTGACTGCTGGCAGGGGTGGCGGCCCCAACGTGGGGTTCTGGTCCGTTCGGCCGACTTAGGGACAGGCCGCGGGCAGCCGGGGGCGCCTGGACTTGTAGTGTGGCGGGTCTAGGTGGCACTGGAGGGAGGTGGGAGAGGTGGAAGGGGGGGAGGCCTGGGAGCGGAAGAGCGGTTCAGTGCTACTGGGCTACCCGGGGCCGGTCCGGTGCCTCTCACCCGGGTTTGAGGACTGATCTCCCGTGGCGGTGCCTTGGAGGGGGGGCGCCCAACCTGGGCCTCGGCAGTCAGGGCGCCGTGTAGTGACCCACCGAACCGCCCCTCTGGCGATGCATGCGCGCTTCCCCTCCACCACCCAAAACCTTGAGGCGTCCTCTTACTTCTCCGCAGTTGTGCCGTGTTCCGCCCGAGTCGGCGCTTTCCTCCGTTTACCCTCCTTTCCCTCCCTCCCCGTACCTCCCTCCCTTCCTCCCTACAGAAACCAAGTCACTAAGGGTCAGTACATAAATACTGGTTATCCTACATTATTGGTCTTATCCGTCTGTGGTATTTCCTTTTCGTCGATCGTCTGCGCTTCGTCGTAACCATCTTCCTTCCCCCCTCCCCGTATCTCCCCCCTTCCCTCCCGCCCCAAGGTGGGCTGCCGCCTGTGAGGCCCTCCTGAAGGAGGCGGACTGGAGTGAGGCCCTGCTGAGTCACGAGCTGGCGGAGGAGGTGCAGGGACCCGTGCTGCTGGACTCACATGTAGACGGTGCGGAGGGGGCGGGGCGGGGGGTTGGGAAGGGAGGTGGCCGGGTCGGGCGGCCAAAGTTGGTCGCATACCTTTCATGGGCCGCCGTCATCCGCTGCGCTCCCGGGGGACGCTCCTAGCTCCAAAAGCCCTGAGACCGTTGTCGTGACATGCGCGACCGTGTGTCACCCACCGCTGTCTTTGGCCCCAACGTCCCGAGTCAAAGCATCCCGCGGCCGTACTGCAGCTACACCTTCGTAAGCAACCACCTCCCTCGGTAACCACACCACAGCGTTTCAGTGCATCTTCTAAACAATCCTTTGTGCTGTTTTCAACTCTTTTTCTCTCTTCCCACCCCCCTTCCTGCGCCTTGTTTTACCGCTCCCTTTCCCTCGTTCCCCCTCTCCGGCTTCCCTTCCGCAGCCCCGGTGTTGATGGGTGACGGGGAGCTGTCCCGCATGCTGTTCCGCGGACTGCGGATCAAGGGGGCGGTGGACTGCGCCCGGGTGAAGGCGGAGCTGGTGCCCGCCACGGGGAGACTCAGCTACCGGGGGGCTCTGGCGCACAACGTGCAGAGAATTGCGGCCTACGTGTCCACAGGCCAGGTGGGCTGGGGTGGTGGTTGAACGACCCGCGGGCAGCGTGTGTGTGCGTGTGCGTGTGTGTGCAAAATCTATCTACTAATGGTATTCCCGTTACGTTGAGTGACCCCTGGGTGACGTCCGTGTGTTTCCTGACGGCCAGGTCCACCTAGGCGGTATGTCGTGTACATACAAAATTCGTCCTGGGACTCGCTCTCTGGCAGGTGGTGTGCACTCGGCGCGCGTGGCGGGGCTACGAGTCCGCGCTGGACTTGGCGGCGCAGGTGGCGGGAGTGGCGGACGTGGTGGGCGCCTGTCTGGGCCTCCACTCCATCCGGGGCATCGGTGACAAAGTGGAGCTCTGGAGCATTCGACTGGAGGACCTCACGTACGAGGCCTCGTACCACCAGGGCATGCGGCTGGGCACTAGCGAAGAGGGCGAAGGGGAAGCTAGCATCGATGGCGGCGGTGGCGGCGGTGGCGGGAGGCGGAGGCTGCTGCTTCCGTCGCCGCTGCCGGTGACGGCGGCGGCGACGGTGGAGCTGGCGTCGCCGCTGGTGGCGGCGGGGGCTTCGGTGGGTGGTGATAATGTGGGAAGTCGGCTTGGGGCGAGTTTGGCTGACACGATGGCGGCTCAGGCTGAGGTTTGGAAGGTTACTGGGGAGGAGCTCCGCAACATGCTGAGCGAATGAAGTGAAGGGGTAGGTGGTGGAGATGCAGGGCGCAGGCGCGGAAGATGGTATGGAGGGGGTGAGGGGTGGGGTTCGGAGAATCGATGCGTTTTTAATGGGATGCATTTAACGAGGGCATTTACTGGTTTGATGATTCCTTCCCCATTCATTGGTATGCTGAAGGTTGGGCATCTTTGGAATTAATATTAGCTTATAATGTGATTCCAGCGTTTAGGTATTTCGTTGCAAATTTACTTCATTCATTCTTGGTTCAAAACGAGTCAAAAGAACGAATATAACGACTGCAATCAGTCGTTTCTGCGGCAACTGGTGTCTAAGGGGTTGCTGCGGACCTTGCGGAGTTGCGTTACGGCCCTGCATAGCCTTAGGTTGGCGGCGCCTTTCAGTTTTCGAGTTCGCATGCTTTGGGGGTTTGTTGCCAGCAGCACACGCGGCAGTCCTGTGTTAAGAAGGCATGAAGTACGGGACACAAGTGCATTAGCTGCACGAGGTGCAAGTGTACTCGTCAGGAAGACCTGCCATTTAAGCCATATGACGGCCTATTCTGCATTTTACAAAACCACATCATATCTCAGGGCCCGGCTAAGCAATACTGTTACACAAGATGTCTTCTATCTGCCAAATGACCTCGTCATTACCTCCACGCAATAATTGCGAGGGGAATAGAAACTGCAGCTGAGAGCGGAAAATGTTGCTGACTGTCGCGCCGCGGGCTGCGTGGCTAGCACGGGCTGCGCTAGCAGGCAGACAAGTGGGCCCGTCCCTGGAGTCTTTAGAGGCGAATCACAAACCTGATTGCCCTGGAGCCGTTACGAAACCCCACCATACATCAAGCACACCCTTGGCACCATCGCCCAAGTTACTCAATCGATGGAACCCTCCTCCCTCTTTCTGGCCGGTGCGCCCGTTGTGCTCTACTCTGCATTGACAGCCGCCCTCTCGTAAGCCGCAAGTCAAGCAGAGCTGAGCAGTTCGGGCGCCTTGAGGATCGGGGTAGTGGTAACGTCCAGTAATAGCGCCTGCAGGGAGACCCGAAGAAGAAAGCGCACGAGACTCGATACAATGTTTTGGATTAGCAAAAAAAACGCACGCGACAGGTACCTGGATTGCGACGTTCACCCAACCCCCCACCCCCACTTGATCCATCGCCCATGCTTCATGCACACCTATAGCCAACGTGGCAGGTCTGTCTCCGTGCACATGCACAGAATCAACTCGGGCATACGGTCGCTACCTGGGGGAAGGGGTGGACAGGACTCACCCAAGGATAGCCTGCATAGCACCCCAGGAGTGTCCCCAAGAGGCTTTTGCCCCCAAATGGAAGTAGTGAGTGAACCCCACTAATCTGCTGCTGGCCGCACACGCCCGCACCCTTTCTCTTTCCTCCTTCCCGATTGACCTTCCACCGGTACTGCGATTCCCTCGCATGGCCCCACCTCGTAAACCTCCAAGCCGGGCCCCGTTGCCGTGTCATGTCGGGCCATGTTGCGTAGCTCTGCACCACAGCGGGGTACCAACACATCACTTCAGGGCCCTCTTTACGGCAGCTGCAGTCCGCGCGTTAACTCCCCTCCCGCGCTCCCGTCAGCGGAGCGCAGAGCCGCGGTTACCGCGGCAGCTCCGCTGCCATTGCCGCCGGTAACACCCCGTCCGCCATCGTAACCGCTGAAGCCACCCCGTCCGAATCCAACCAGACGTCCCCAGACAAGTGCCGGCGTGGCGCCACCGCTGTGGGCTGCGGTGACGGCAGAGGAGCCACCTTGATCCCCACACCCGCTGGCGGCGAGATCAGCACTGCCGGCGACATGTTCGGCAACCCTTCCGCAGCCTGATCCGGTTCCAACGGCAATGACGGCGGCGTTGGTAACAGCCTTGGCAGTCCTGATGACGATGGCAAGCGCTCCGGAGGCGGCTCCGAAACCGCTGTTGACAGTTGCCGCAGCACTCGTCGCGGCCGCGCGACCGTTGAACCGCCGCTGCGGACCTCGCCGGCCTCCGCCAGCACCACCGACACGGAGTTCCCGGCAAGTTGCTGTTGCTCCCGGTACTGTTGCCGCTGCGACAGCCGTGGGAAGCGGCGCTGCTGCTGCTGTCGCTGCCGAAGCTTCACCTGTGGGACGCCTGCGGGGAGAAACATAATATACCCTAAGAAAAGGAGAACAACTGCCGACGTCCAAGAAAGGGGGAGGACCGTTGGACAGTATTGCGAAGCAGACGGTTGACAGGAAAGGCCCCCAACAAACTCGGCCGCATGGAGGGGGACGGCAAAGCAGCGTTGTGAGCCTTCGAGGGGTAGACCAAGCAAATCCGGTCCAAGCACGGTTCCTAAAAGTCGAGCGCATCGGTCCATCCCCAAGTCGTCGCCCGCCCCCACCACAACACCCAGCCACACACCCCCGCGCACAGCGGACTCCTCGCTTCGCAACCTCTCCTTTTCTCCGCCTGTCCACGTCCAGGTCCAGAACCAGAAATCTCACCAACGCACTCACGCACACAGACGTTCCAGAGTTCCCCACCACCAGCACGTTCCTGCCCTACCGTGTGTCAGCTTATCCCGGGCAGTGGTGAAGCCCCGGATACGATGGGTGCCTCGCCAGGGATTGTCCGCGCCCTGCAGTAGGCGGCGCGGCAAACAAACAAGTGGAGTGAGTTGAAGCATGGGAAGCAGCTTACTGGGCCATGATATGCCCCATGGCCCCTGGCTGCCATCTCCACCCCGTGTACTGCCGACCTCGTGGTGCTCTGTTGCTCTCCTTGCCCAGCCCACTGCCCCCACGACCCGCACACAGCCTCTCTCTGTACCCGGCCCCCACACAACACTCTCAAAGAATTGCCAAGGACAAGGAAAAGCAATTGCATTACAGCTGTGTACGACACTCCAAGGGGTGCCAGGAGCTAACACGCACCTAAGAAACCACGTAAGCAAGTCAATCGAACTTTAGGCAGGGGGATCAATAATATTGCATTATCAGGGCATATAATAATGCGACAGGAATGCCATCCCAAGACCAGGACTTTCACTTGTAGGTTCTGTCGGCTGACACAGCTTGCCCATCAACGACCGCTGCCTTTACGTCAATGCACTGATCAACCAGGTTCAGCTGCGGGCTTTCCTTCGTTCGCTAGTGCTTTTGCTGCCAACTGCTGGTCTTTCAGTTTTCCGCTGCACCGGCAATGCACGCCCGCATCCCCATCAAGACGCCAGCTCCCTGGCCACTTACCCTGGCTCCTACAGCTGCATGTTCCAACCTCCCAAGTCAACTTAACCATCCTCTCAGCTCCCTTGGGGATTCATACCGGACGGGCTGCCACGCACGGACGACTAACCACCTATCGACGTCCATGGATCCCATACGCCCCCAAAAAACCCACAACCCCTTTCCCGGCGCCCTCGTCCGCCGCCGTACCCACCATCAGCTTGATCTTGAACTGCAGCCACCGCGAGAACTCTGGGAACCGCGCCGCGAAGTCCTCCTGCCGACACTCAACCGCGTCCATCAGGTGCATCCGGCACTCCTGGCTCGATTCCGCCAGGTATAACAGTCTCGCCCAAGCCAGCGGCAGCGCCGCCACCAGCGCACCCACCAGGCTTGGTGGCAGCCGCCGCAGCGCCGAATGATAGTAGGCATTGCTCAGCATCAGCCGTCGCAGCCAGCGGCACCGGCCATGAACCTCTTCTGGGGGCAGTGTCAGCAGCCGCGGCCGCGACAAACACATGCGTAGCTTGTCACGCCGACAGAGCCGCCAAACGGACAGAGCCCGGCAACAACGACTAAGGGCCGCCAGCGAACGGCGCAGGACGCCGGGCTGACGTACTACAATGGCGGCCACCGCAGCTGGATGCTGCGCACAGTCCATCAGCTGCTGCAGCAACGCCATCTTGGCAGCCACAGTCGAGGGCCGCTGCAGCAGCAACCCAGGTTCCCGGCGCAGCGCCGCTGACAGCCGCTCTGGCCCCAGGAGCACCTTCAGCTCGGCGTGATGGCGAGCTAGGGCCGCGGTGCTGAAGGTAAGCAGCCGCGGGGCCATACGGAGTGCTGCGCGGAGCACCGGCGCTGAGGCTGCTGACCCTCCGCTGGACGTCCCCACCGTACCCGAGCCCGAGCTCGGGCCCTGCAGCAGCTCCCGGAGGCCCTCCAGCTTGGCTGCCAGGGATGCGGGAGCGTGAGTGGCGAGCTGCGGCCACTCGACCACAAGCGCCGCAGCCTGTGCGCGCGGCATTGCCGTCGCGGCGGTGAGCGATGCGATGCAGGTCGGCACGCGGTGCGACGGCAGCACCAGCAGCAGCGGCGCCACGGTGCAGGCAGCGCGGGTGGGTTCCTCACCACCCAGCACGATGCACAGGCGGTCCCAGGTGTCACGCAGCGCGGAGGGCGGCACCAACAGCAACCCCGTCACGATACGACACAGCATCAGACAAGCCGTATCGTCCAGCTGCAGCAGGCCGCACAGGGTAGACAAGCGCTGCTGCAAAACTGACATGTCCAAGCCAGCGAGTGCCGGGGTCTGCTCACGAAGGCGTTCCAGGGTCAGTGGCTTTCTGCGCGCGGTGGCGTCAGCGGCGGCAGCAGAATTCCGTGCTGCAGCTGCGCCACCAGCGGTGCTCGGAGATGACAAAGAAGTCGGATGAGGACCGCGTGTTGCTGCGACGTGTTTTCGCGTGTACGCGGGTTTAGGTGATACCCCCCTGGTGGCATCATGAGCAGCGGCGTTGTACACCCTAGCGCCATCCGTACTTGCGGTGCTGCCATCTGACGTGCCGTCGGGACTCCCGCCGCCGCTGCTGCCGCCAGTTAGTGTACTCCCATTAGTCGAATAACGACTGTGCCGGTGGCTAACTCTACGACTAGGGGGCCCCGGATGCCTGCGGAGATGCATGCTATTTACTGCTGCGGTTTTGTCTTCTGCAAATCTACTCCTGCTCACGCTAGCAGAACCACTACAGCTACGAAAACTACTGCTCCTGATGCCGCTCATACTGATACCAGTGCTGCAGCAGCTGGAGGAGGCCTCCCCAGTGCGATCCGCAGGCGGTCGCGTGTGCGTGAGGGCTGGGGCCGAGCTGACATTTAGGACGCGGGGTGGCGCAGCATGCAACCCACTGCCGTCCCCTGAAGCAATAGGCTCCGTTCCGGCTTCGCCAGCGCAGCTGGCAAGCGCTCCCGAGTCGCTATGGCTCAATGCCCAGGACATGGCGTGCAGGGTGGCAACGGCAGTGCCACCCCCGCTTTCATCACACGGTCCCGCGGCGTCGACTGGCAACTCGGACTGCGATGCTGTCGTGTGGACAAGCAAGGCAATCGGACACTGAGAGATGAAACGGACAGGCTGCGTCATGAATAATACACTTACCGCTTGATGCATGCCCATGCGGAGCGCAAGACCGGCTGTGGGAATAGGAGTTGCCATCATCGTCCGGTAGCAGAGTGCCGACCGTCGGCAAGCCTGGTGAACACTTGTACGTGACTGATAATGAAATAATAAGGGAAAGGGCAGGCAAGCGATCGCAGTCTCAGACCTACCTCCGGGCGCACATGACGGGGCAGCAAGGCTCGTCGCCTGAGCCTGCTTTGTGCCGGGCCGTAATCCTTGTGCTACATATGGACACCAGACCTGTAGCAACACGCAAGAAGATCAGCTTCTGCGCCCGTGCAAGCGCGGAATGGCGATTGGCAAACCGGTGAGCACCTGATGTGCGTGCGAAGCTGATTGCTTAATTCCAGTTCGGGCCGGAGATTGATTGCAGAGGCCCCAGTTCATACTGGGACTTGCGTAGGCCCTTAAAAAGAATGAATGGTATCCTGCAGCGAAACCAGGTAATCTTACACTATTCCCTAATACCTTCTAGGGTTACATAGGAGATATGGCAAACGCCAAGACAAAACGTATCCTGCCCTTCGGCCGACTTGCCAAGATCAAAAAGTGTCGTACTGTCTTGCTTGCTATCTGTCCAAGTCAGGCCCTAAGCCCAAAGAGCCTAAATGATGTTGTAATGTATGAGCACAAAATCAGTACAAATCTGTCAGTATTGATCAGACATAGACATGCATACCAAAAAATACACCCATGTCTGAATGGGGTCCAAACACGCAACAACTGTAAAACTGGAGTCCTCCATTAGTCTAAGCACACCCATGCACATCGCATTCCAGGATACCTTATAAATGGGAATCGTAAACGGCCCGTGGGTCTCGGTCACGACGCCAACCAACGACCTAGCAACGACGTATTTGTGGACCTGAACAGCGGCGTATCGCACTTAATCATATTCACATCGCCACGCCGCGACGGACGCATCCCGATGACCCGTGCTATCCCAATACGTGTCAGTCCAGGGCGGGTTGCCCGTTATCCTCGCTCCCTGACTGTCCCGAATCTTGCCCATCTCCACCCGCAGCAGCTTCCCCCACCAATCCCTTCTTTTGCTTCTTCTGCTCTTTCTTCTTCTGCCGCTTTAGGCGCTTCTTGGCGGTGCGGTCTTCCGCTATCTTATTGAGCTCCTCGATCTTGAGCTGCGGGGCATGAGCGCAATTCCCAGGGGAGTACTAAACGGCTTCCACAAACGAAAAGACTTCTTTATGAGTGAAAAATGCGGCACCATCGACAATTGTTTCGGACACATCTTCAAAGCAGACGTGCAGTCGCTGGGCAGTTTGCGCTAGAAAGACCAGGACAATCAAAAGCGGCCCTGCAGGGGCCCTACGCCAGTAGCATGCGTCCTGGCATGTGCGATGGGTGCATTCACGCACCTTTTCGGCAACACGTCGCTGCGTCCAAGAAACGCACCCGCGTTAACAGGCTCCCTTACCTTGAACTCCGCTTCCTGCTGCTTCTTTTCCCAGTCCGCTTCCATCTTCCGTACTCGGTCTTGCTCCGCCCGCCGTACCTGCGCGACATTTCCTTCGCGATTATAGAAAACCAGGAGCGCTTGGTGCTTCTGGGGTTTTGCTAAGTGAAGGATGTCCCCCCCTATCCCATTTCAGCGTAGTCACCTTTTGAGACACGCAAGCGCATGGATTATTTGGCAGCAGCCAATGCTTCAATCATTACAACCCGACATCCCCCCTCTTTCCCCTCATTTACAATACGGTACTGGTGAAAATCGCCACTGCCAGCTCCCGCGCTACTACTTGAGACGTTGTACACCTTGGTGGGCATTGTCTCCTGTATGTGCTTAAGTTTTGCCTCTAGATCTTGTGCCTGGGTTGCAAAACAACATGGTTTTCCTCGAGCGCGGAGTTCTCAGGCAAGCCAATAGCAAGTACGACCCACTGTCTTAATTCTTTCCGCGTAATCGGCCTGAGAAACTGGGGCACTCCCGAGGAGAGTAATTGCTTGGCTGTTATCCTCTCCCTGTTTGGAGAAAGGGACAATTTCACCCATTGTTTTCTTATTTCTGGAAAAGCTCAGGACCAGCTAAATCAAATCACTCGAGCAAAGCAAACTCTTGTTGGAAAAAGCTAGGCACATTTCTTATACAATGGGTAGATTACTATGGGCATCAAAAACCAAGACAGAGGAGTGAAGTATTGTCGTACGCTTTCCACAGTGTGGGTTCCAAAGCATGGATTGTCGGGACATTTGAACCATTGAAGCTCCGCTGAGCGGTTAACTAGAGCGCAGTTATGCCGCTGCCATATTCAGCAAGCTAAAAGTGCCTTCTCGTTGCATGCTCGTTAGTAACGCATTAAGGAGCCAGCTGCCGTCGTAACAATCAGAATACATGAAACTCATCACTTCAACGCTGCACCAACGCGGTTGAAACAATAAGTGAGACAGCTTGCGTGAGGCGATTGAGGTGAGACACCATGCGTAGCGGCGCGGTTCAGGTCCCAGCGCCTCACGTTCGAGTCTGGCCGCCCCTGCAAGATGAGCCCATCAGTATGTCAGCATTCAAGGAGGCCCTGCGCGCGCGCCGGAAGGCGCTGGATGAAGTGCAGCGCGACGCACGTGAAGCCGCTGCTGCTGCGGCGGCCGCAGCCGCTGCCGAAGCAGCCGCAGCTGCCGCTGCCGCTGCGGCCGCTGCAGAGGCAACGGCTGCAGCAACTGCAGCCGAAGTTGCCCAAGCACCAGCGCCAGGTGCTGCATGTGCCAGCGGCGCACAGCCCATGGATCACGACTCAGCTGAGCAGCAGCAGCTGGCTTCCCCGCAGCGACAGGAACCACCTCCGCAGCCGCAACCTCAGCCTCAGCCACGGCCGGGCCCTGCCGCTCCCGCAGACGATGCGGCAGATACGGCTGCCGCAAAGGCGGAGGAACGCAAGCAGCGTCAGAAGGCTCGCCGGGCAGCGGCACGAGCCCAGCTCGAGGCGGACCGCGATGCCAAGGCGCAGCGTAAGTCCCAATTGGAGCAGCGCCAGTCCTCGGCAGCGCAGGAGATGGAAGCGCTCAAGGCTCGGCTGGAGGTAGTGGAACGGGAGAAGCACCGCCTGGTCAGCCAGCTGCGGCAGGTGAGGCGGGATGGGGGGCGTTGGGAGGGTGAGGGGAGGAAGGCTCACACGAGGCCCTATGCGAGCAGCCCGGCACGTTTGCTGGGCAGATGGAGGACCGCCTCCAGCTGGGTCCGGACGGCACATCCATTTAAGTGACACATGCGGCCCTGAACCCGTCCACATCCCGGGTTGACCGCTATGTCGTTGGTCTTACAGGTTCTTCAGGCGGAGGGGCTGCAGCGAAGGCCAAGTGTGGTAACCCTGGGTGGCCCCGGTGACATGGGTCAGTCGCCGTTCAGCCCCGTGGTGCTTCAGCAGCAGCTGCTGCATCCACATCAACTGGGGCCGGGAGCCCTCCGCACGCCAAGCACTGGCCTAGGGATGATGATGCCTCACTCCTCTGCAAGCACCGAAGAGCCCGGAGCTGCTGCTGCCGCCGCCGCCGCCGTCGGCCAGCTGCCGCACGCGCCTCAAGTGTCTCCCTTTGGGAGCGGCGGCTTCGTCTCCACTGGCTCGTACGGCACCCTGCCGACAATGGTATCAGCGGTGACTGCGGCCGCGGCTGATATAGCCGGCGGAGGCAGCACGGGACGCCCGGGCGCAGCGGCTGCCGCTGCAGCAGTCGGTGGACGGCACACCCGCACCGCTGGCGACGAAGAGGATGAAGGGGAGATCCGGGAAGACGGAGAGTACGGCGGGGCCGGGCCCGGTCCGGGCCATGCTGGAGTCGGAGCCCATAACCTCGCGGCAAGTCACCCTCCTGGGCCACCTCATGCGCCGTACGCTGTACCAGGTGTCGTACTGATCCCACCGGCGCCGGCTACCGGACCTGCTGCGGGACTCGGCACCGGTGGGGGGCAGGGTTCAGTTCCAGGGCCCGTGCACAGCTCCGCTCCCAGCCTGGGCCCACCGCTTCACGGGATAGGTCATGGTCCGGGAGCGGCCCATAGCTCCGGGACCCTTGGACATGGCGCCGGGCCAAGCCACGGAGGTGTTTTCGGAGCCGCTGGAGGCCCTGGGCCCAGTGTTGGAACGGGCCCTGGCCCTGGCCCGGGGCATGGACTTGGTGGCTCAAGCGCCTACCCTGATCCTGCACGGCGCAGCATTGGTGGGACCATGTTCCCGGAAGGTCGAGCGTCGACATTACAACCTGCACCGTCGCAGATGGGAATGGGGATGTCGGGACCCTCCGGGGTGGGGCCGGGTCCGGGCCACGCGACACAGATCCCTATGAGGATGGGACAGGGTGGGCGTGGCGGGGTTTGGGGGCCGGGGCCGGCCTTTGGGGTTCAAGGTGGACTTCATCCGCATCATGGGTTAGGGCCTCCTGTGGGACGGGGAGGTGGCACGTTTGGAGGCCGCATGCCGTTAGGCGGCTGGCGTGATGAAGAGATGATGGGGGATGGAATGCCGTACGGCGGTTACGGTCGGGGACGAGGCATGGGCGGGTTCCCCATGCAAGGGCCGCCCCGCAGGAATTGGTAGTTGCGAACTCGCGTTGCGTTTTGGAACCGTTGGCTGACTGCTGCGCTAACAATGCAACATTGAAAATGTGTCTGGTGCTGCCTATCGCAAGTGAGAAGAAAATTTCTTTGTCCTGCTGAGCTTGGCATATATGATGGAAAATATATGAAGTCTTTCGCGACTTTGGTTAGGTACTGGTAACTGGGCTTCGGGCATGTTCCAGGCCAAGGCTTTGTCCTGTCCACGGCTTAGCGGCCTACTTCACAGCCTTAACCTAAACGCATACGCTTTCTCTAACAGACGTTTAGGAAGGCTGAGGAAGGCTGTAAGCCCTGTGGCGCTTACGCGTTTGGTTAGCACAGTCCAACAGCAAGGACAGGGAACATCAACGATGAAGCGTCGAGGAAATGACGACCCAGACGTACGAATAAGCAAAGAGATGAGCCGTCTGTTACGGCACAAACCGCCGCCCGGTGCCATGGACGCTGCGGGATGGGTCAGCCTTCCTGTCCTCTTGCGGCACATGCGCAACCATCCGTCGGAGGAGCAAGTCCGACGAATTGTGGAGACTTGCGACAAGGTGCGACGGCGCCATTTGGGTCCACTTGCGCCTTGCCGTGCTAACGGTACCTATTAGGTAACACTGGACTCTCCAAACCGCAGAAACGCTTCGTAATTGACGACAGCGTAAACCCGCCACGGATTCGAGCAGCGCAAGGGCACTCCGTGGAGCTTACGGAGGCCGTCCTGGAACCTGTGGTTGACCCCAGCAAAGTACCAATTGCTGTGCACGTCACCAGCGTGTCAAGGTATGGGTAGGAGCCGGCTTAGGTACCAGCATTTTCGAATGGGTGATGTTAAAGCCAACCTTGAAGCACGCTAGTGGAGCTTTCCATGTAAGCGTGTCTTTCCTTGGTTTTATTCCCATTCTATTCCCGTCCGTCCATGCAGCTGGGAGGCCATACGTACATCAGGGCAGCTGATGCGGATGAACCGCACACACATCCACTTTGCGACGGAGCCGCATCACATGCGAAAGAATAAGTGGGCTGAGATCTATCTCCGACTGGATTTGGCGGTGAGTTGGGCACTCATATCAGAGGGCTCAAGTATATACGCAACATAAAAAGTACCGGAGGGACCGGCTCTTGTCCTGGCTGGCATGCAGGCGGCGTTGGAGCAGGGTCGGCAGTTCTTCCTTTCGAGCAATGGCGTGCTTTTATGCGAGGGGCCTGTGCCCGTGAGTCTCGTCGAGCAGGTGAAGCTGGAGGATCTTCCAGCGCAATGGCACAGTGCGCACAGATGACGATGATGTTAAAAGATGTATCCTAACTGTACACCTTGAGCTGGCACAGTGGACAGCCGCCTGCTCCTCAACCCCCCCACCGCAAGCAACACCAGGGACCTACTTCCCCCTAACAGCTTCCTATGTATCCTGGGCCGACAATCACCGTTGCAAACACATTGCACCATCATGAGAATTCTCCATTAATCTGTAAGATACCTGAAAATGCCAGGTTCACGTCCCCAAACCAACAAACGTTTTGAGTCCTCGTCGCCAGTGACACCTCTCACAGCAGAAGCGGTCCCAAGATCTGTAAAAACACACGTGGGCTCGTCATACCTTAATCTGCATTTAGTCTACAAATGAGAGTTGGCCCACGAATGGCGACTGGGAAACGGGCATCATTACGTACTAAGCTATGCCCGGGCAAACATGCCAACAACAATCAAAGCAGTTGCGGTCTCCCCGCCTCCGCCTTCACAAATTAACACCAATGGACAGTTCTTGGAAAGAATAGGTTAAGACATCAGGGCAGGTGGTTATAGTACAGGAGTGGGCGTCCGAGCGCTGCAGGCGCCAATTATGTAGACCCCACAACCAAGCAGCACGCTAATGATACATTTGTGTCTCCCATCCTCGCGTCATGACATGGGTCAAAGGCGCAGGAAGGGGGACAAGGAGGAAGACTACGGGGCCAGACGCCACTCGGCCACAAATGACAAACAAACGAAACATCACCAACATCAAGGAAACAAACTACCGCAATCCTTATCAGCCGTGTATCTGAGCATGCCTCATCTTGTGGTTCTTCAATGTTTGCAAGACCGACCCGCGCTTCCGGTAACAATCCCTCCCTGTTGTTGTGCACATCTAGCTAACGTGCGCATGGATACATAAAACGTCAAATCACGCACGCCACATGGTGAGCAACCCTACCACCGTGCTAAGGCCGCCCCGGACATTGGCTGAAACCCCTCGTCATCGTCGTCGGCGTAATCATCCTCGTCGACGCTAGCGAGTGCCTCTCGCCCTGCGCCCTCCTCCCCACTTAGACGCGACTCCACGAGATTCTCGTCGGCGAACAGGCGCTTCATGTTCATGAAGGACAGCTGTGACAGGTTGCGCACGACAAGATCGGCACCTGTGAAATCATAAACCGGCGCGTTGCCGGTTACGACGACACACTTCATGCCCAGCTCGTGTGCTGCCTCGACGCTCGTATTTGATTCGCCAACGACAACGCAGCGAATTGGCGGACGCTGAATTTTGCTTGCAGCGTACGCGTAATAGAACTCCACCTCTGCCGAGCCGCTGTCCTCCGCTGTCACCGTCGCGTCGAAGTACCCTTGCAGGTTGTGCCGCTGCAGAGCTTCGTGCACCTTTGCTTCATGAAGTGGCGTTGCGAGCGCGACAGGTACGCTGTACCGCTTCAAAGTCTCGAGGAAGGGTCGAGCTTCCAACATCGCGGCAGGTTGCCGACCACCCATCAGCTGCTCGTATATTTCACCCTTGCGTTGCGCCACCTGACGCGCCACGCTCGGGTTATGCGTCCAGCCAAACACGCGAGACACTACAACCTCGTCTCGAACACCCTTAATCCGACGCAGCAGCTGTCCAAGTGGCCGCTTGTACTTGAACTCATCAGCAACTTGGAGCCAAGCCTGCCGGTGCGTCTCGTCTGAGGCCTCCACAACAACGCCCTCGAACTCCTGGTTTATGAAACAGAATTTGTATGGTGAAGGGAACCTTTGTTAACGGAACCAAATGACAACAACAAACACGGGCGCGCTCCCCAAACCTACACCTTCAAAGAGAAGACCGTAGCATACTATTATAATATTATTAAGCCTGTTATGCATAGGGTGTCACTTAGGTTGAGAAGGCAGACCGAACCCATCCGCGACTAAAGGCCATCAATAGGCCGTTGCGCTGGGGCCGCAACGTTCAGCCACCATTCCTACCATGATAACTCCAAACCAGCCCGTGGACAGCCGCTCCATGCGCTGTAGGGGGTTCGCAAGCGATGGGTCATCAGATGGAGATTCGAGGTTCCGCGGAAGTGGCAAGAGCTCCTCTGCCCCTTCAATCCGCTCAACGACTCCGACATTTGCATGGCTTGGAGCATATCGAGGAGGCAGAGGAAGAGGCCGTGCCGAAGAGGCTGGAACGCGCTCGGAGAAGCAGTCACGTAGTCGCGGAGATGACGCCAGGCGGCGAAAGGCACGAAAGGGACACACGTCAGCCGGCTCTTGCCCTATCCTTAAAGCGCTGTTCGGTGCACGGCCTGTATGTTGCATTTCTTCGGCGCCAACGTGACGTGTAAGCTGTTGACGCTACGCAGTATAGTCTTACTCAAACTGGTGAGTTAATATCTTATTTTAGTTGCGTAGATGTTACTTGGAAAGATATGCATCAAGTATGCAGCTTTGGCGCAAAAACGACAAGAAACGAGCCGCGAACGACACCTATCACGGCAGTCGTATTCGCCCAAAGCTTACACGTAATAGGGCTTCGAGACCGAATGCGCAACTCCAGTCTGTACTTCTTGCAACGTTTTGGGGTTTAAGTTGACGCAAAAGCCCCAAAACGACTTCACAACAACCCTTTCGCTGAAACTGCAGCCCGGACACCTCAAAACTTTGTATTGAGCATCCTGCAGCAACAAACCTAGTCTCACAAAAACGGTCGGCATATCAAACAGACCCTGTCGCGCCTTGCATTCTCTACTACACCCCCGTTTCCATGTCGTTCCCTCCGACCCCTATGCGCCGCGCTGCGGCGAAAGGGTTCTCCTCCAGTCCAAGCTGTGGCTGTTGCGGCTGCTGCGTGCTCGCCCCAAAGCGAAAGCCTTCCACGGGTGCTGACGCACTGGTTAGGCTCCACTGGCTCTGAGACCCCTGCGCGCCTGCGTACCGTGGCAGCATGCACAAACGAATAGGCCAAAAAGAACCACATCTATCACCCTTGTTCGCGGGAATGTGGCCTAACGGAAAAGCATGGAGGTCTACAATAAATCCATCGCCAAGAAGCGGGTCCCATGCTCACCGAAAGTCGGTCCAGACGTCGAAGGGGTAGCCACGGCTTCGGACACCTGGGCGGCCGTTGGGTTTGGTTGAACCTGTGGTGCAAACGTAGGTGCTACACAGCAACAGAGGCAGTAGGGTATTTTGTCATTAACGCTTAGGCGATGTCCTTTAGCGGCCTTCCCTACCGTACAGCGCACATCTGCAATTGCAACAAAAACATAGACAACAATCACCCAACTCCGCCGCTGCTTCCAATTAAACACCAAGCCGCGCCACGTTGCGCCAGCTTGCATTAAAGCGGAAAATTTTTCATTTCTTTCAAGGAGGCCCTGGGCGGTAAATTACTTTTTACAATAAACCACCCACCATTGTTTAGCACTGCGAGGCCCAGGGGCACCGAGCAGCTGCCATGCAGCTGAACCTCAAATTCCATCAGCCGCTTGGCGTCCTCTGTAAAAGCCCCGTGCGGTTAAAAGGGGCTGTGAGCAGCTTGCCACCGCAGGGTTTAACAGAAACGCCACCACCCACCGTCCTTAATGTTTATAGCGGGCCGCTTGTCCTTGACCCACTTATAGCTCTCTGCTAATCGCCACCCGCGGTGCTTCATCAGGTATGCGATCACCACCGACGGCGACCTGCATGCACCAGAGAGCGTCGGCCACGTGATGTGAATAGAGAAGAGCTTGAAAGGGCTCCACGGCCAAAGCAGCAAAAGGACTCCGCGGGATGCGTAGGCTAGCCGTGACCTAAAGGCAGGCAGCATCAAGAGGGAATAAAATACAGGCCAAAACACACGCGCTACAGGGTAGTGATGGTGCGTATCCGGTAAACGAGGAAAAAACAGGCCAGCATCAGTCCCAGATAGCTGGATCGGCACGGCTTGCCCCGGCTCATCCAGGCTACTTCCGTGACCCACGGACGCCACGCCATTCTCCCTGACAAATACCTTTCGTGTTACCTGCAGCAGAGCTTTAGTTAGGTAGGTAGTTGCCAAAGCACTACAGTGTCTAAGCGGGGTTCAAGCGGATGGCGAGTGGGCCCGGTGCTGGTGTGAGGCAGGGACGTAGGGCTGGGCCCGAGAATCCGTACTCACCTGGAGCTGCCGGTCATGCAGTACACCAGCACCTTCTGCTCCGACTTTAGGACGTTATCTGTTCGGCAAAGATTCGGGCAGCGAGAGGGCATCTAGCATCGGATTTCGGGGGAAATATGTCAAGACGCGCCGCACCAGCACCCGCTTGCCTATGAAGTCAAAGCACTCCTGAAAGTCGACGGGCGCTGAGGAAACTGTATGATACGTGAAGCTGTTTTTGAAGAGGGCGGGGTTGCTGGGCCATGTCTGCGTGGGTTTGCACGCGCACAGGGTGAGTCAAGCAGACCGCACGGCGCGTCCATGCATGCCATGAAGGAAGGCCTACGACACACATTGAGGATGTGCGTGATTCCCATGGCCCGAAGAAGCTCCGAGCGGGAGGCTGTGTCATAGCTGCCAAGGTAGAGGCTTCCCGGGATAATTCCGGTGGGAAGCACCGAGTGCTCCAGCTGGCGCCGCTCCGCTTGGGTCAGGACATGACCACAGATCTGACAAGGCTCTCCACTCTCGTGCTGCGTGTAATTGGGGATGGTAAGGTTATCAGTTGGTCAAGATGCGACATGATTCGTCAGGAAAGACGCACATCGTGGTAGTGATTGCATATGAAGCAGGGCTCCTCTCTGTCCCTTTTGGCCTTCATGGTTTGATACTTCCTAGGCCGTGTGAAAGGGCATGCTCGCACAGGACAGCAAACGTATTAAGGTTCTGGAATGCGTACTAATAGCCATGTGAGGTTAAGACGATGAAGTTTCATGTGACGCCGCAGAATCGAATTGCATACGGCTTGCAAAGTTCTGCCCGTCTGAAACCATTGGAGCTAATGGAGCCAAAGTCGGAGGGCAAATTTTGCATAATACACGATAAATTAATCTGTCTGTTGTTAAGTTTGCAACCAAGCTCTAGTACCTTATTAATTGCCTAGGCCTAGATGCGTTTATGTGCTCTTGCATTTGTGCCAGGCTTCGTTCGCCTGCGTCTATGTGATGTCAGCCTGCAAGCTGCAAAATAACGGCAGCTTACTTGCTCAAGACTTTGCCAGCACTTCTGTATGGCCACGGCCAATCAACCCTTGCCAAACCCTCCGACGCCACTCTGCACTAGGCAAAGCTACGGCATCTTCAACGAACCTGCTTGCTGTAGATCTAGAGCGTCCGACTTCTCATTTGGGGCATGCAGCAATTAACCCTTGGCCGGCAATCGACGCGGCGTCTGCTTCAACCACCGGCTTCACGTCACACTCAGGGAGTGGAGCGAATGGAGTCGTTGCACGGCTTCTGATCAGCAGCCAAGCTGCGGCCCTGCAGCAGCTGTCGGCAGAGATTTTGGGACTCCTAACGGAGTTGGACACGGTACGGTACGGCGACATCTTTGGGAGACGCTGTTATTATGCAAGGCATACATTACGTTTGTCATATGTTATCGGCATATAGTCGTACTGAATTGATTTGTCGCTGCCAAACATTTGGCGGCCCGCAGTCCAGGCCACACTCTCAATTCACTTGCCTGCCTGCCCGTACGGAAAAACACGCTTGTACCTCTCTCCTTTACCCCTTAGAGTTTCGCCTCGGCACATCACATTTACCTCTACGGCCTATATTTCTGAATTCTCCATGCAAAACCTGGCAATGCAGCACAGCGAGTCCACAACTCCACCGCCTCCCCGCCCACTCCACCCTGGGAACAACCTTTGGTCTCCCTTTGGGGAAGGCATCCCCTAAGTAACTTTTCATCCCCTTCGTCGTCTGGGCTTCCCCCTCCCTACCGCATCCCCGCGCAAATCCTTGGCTCCCATCCCCCTTCACATCCCTTACCTCCCACCTTCATCCCCCTTCCCACCCAACCTGCAACCTTACAGGAGCTCAGCAGCCTCCTCCCGCCCACCAACTCCCTAACCCTCTTGCGGCCGTACCAACGAGAGTCGCCAACCCAGCAGCCGCAGCTGCGGCACGCACCTAACACCTCGACCCATGAAACCGCTGGCACATCTTCAGCACCCTTAATCTCAAGGGCAACAACCAGCCAGCCCCATGTCACCGCCGCCTCCGCCGGAGCAGCCAGCAGCGCATTCGACCCTCTGCCCCTCACCACCGTCTCGTCCCCGGCCACGCGACCCGCGGGTCTGTCGCTGCTGTCCTTGTCGTTGCCGTCGGGAGGTCCGCCGGTTGCCGCCAGTGGGGGTGCCGCTGCTGGTGCGGGCAACCGAGCGGAACGCCGCCGGCGGAAGAGCCAGAGGCTGGGGCCAGGGGCAGGAGCCGCCAGCAGCCAGGGTCCCGAGCACGAGGCCAAGTTTAAGGCGACCGGCACCGGCTCCCTGACGATCCTGATGGGGGTGAGGATCCGGTGAATGGGACTGGGGGTGAGGAGGTGGGGCTAGGACCAGCCAGTCGAGGTTTAGGGAGAGTGGTCAGGGGTCGTGGTGGTGATGGTGGTGATCATGAAGGTAGTGGTGATGACGGAGGGAGGGAGGGAGGTGTTGGACAGCATTGAGTGGTGGAGGGCACGAAGGGTCGCCCTGGCTGCCCGCCGGACGGCACATCGGACCGAGTGGTGGGGTAGCTGGGGGGGTCGCTGTGGGGACAGCGACATCCCCCCAGGATGCCCTCCTCTCCCCTCTCCTCCTCCCGCTCGGTCTCTATTCCGTCCCACGCGTGCATCATACCCCTCCGTCTTTCATCCACATTTTTTCCTTCTCTCCTCCTTCAACCATCAACTGCTCCGCTTATTTGCATCTGGTTTTGATTGCCTCTCCATTCTGCTTCTCCATCCCCTCCTTCCCTCCTCCCGTCGGAATACGATCATTTGAGCTTACAGCATCCCACAGTTTCCCCTTCTCTCCCTCTCCCTGTCCCTCTCTCTCTCCCTCCCTCTCTTCCCATCATCACCGCCACATTGTCGCCCGCACACTCCGCAAGCCGACGTTCCTCCCCCTCCCCCTATCCCCCTCTCTGGCTGCCGCGGCTCCCTCCCCGCCTCCCCCCCCTTCCCGTTCCCTTCAGTCCTTTAGCAAGGACCGCATCCTCACGGCGGAAGAGGAGCAGCTGCTGGCCTCCGCCGCCCAGGACTTCATGCAGCTCACCGACCTGAGCAGGGTGCTGGGGGCGGTGCTCAAGAGGAACCCCAGTGTGGCGGAGGTGGCCAAGTCGCTGAATTGCGAGGAGGGGTGGGTTGTGGGGTTGTGGGGGGCTGCGGGGAGGGGTTGGGGGGAGCTGCGGCGCGGAATGAGCGGGGGGGTGTACCGCGGCAGCCTGTGTGCGGGTGTGTATTGGGGGTCTGTGTTGTGTACTAGGGGCCACGGTGCTTGCTAGCCCATGCCCGCATTCTGTGCCGCATTGCCGCGACACGTGGTGACATGAAGTCGTGTGAAAGGACACGACGGTACGTGTGCACATTGCTCACATACGTGTCCTAGTGCATCGCACCTTGTCGGCGGCTCTTTGCTTTTTATGTGGCTCAATTTTTCGGAGGTGACGCACGCCGCCACATCTACATGCACACGCGCACTTGATGCTGTTCATTTTTGGTGTGGTTTGATTGTTTCTCAGTTGTACAACGGACATACATACATACATACATACATACATACATACATACATACATACATACATACACACACGCGCCCGCGCGCGCGCGTACTGACATACCTGTGGTTGTGTTGGCCGGCAGAGCCCTGCGGGTGCGGATGGATTCGGGCAACCGCGCCCGCACCCTGCTGGCCCAAAAGAACTACCGGCTGGTGGTCAACATCGCCAAGAAGCTGGTCAGGGCGACGGGGGGGACGTCCGGGGGCCCGGCGGCAGCCGCCGCGGCAGGAGGCGGAGGAGGAGCCGCCGGAGTCGTCTCCGGTGCCCCTGGCGGCGGTTCCTCTGTGTCCTCCTCCTTGGGTGATGGCGGTGTGTCCCTGGATGACGCCATCACGGTCGGCATGGAGGCGCTCATGCATGCCATCCGCAAGTTCAAGCCCGAGGCGGGCTACCGGCTGTCGACCTACGCCACGTGGTGGATCAGGTTGCGGGTCAGTCGGCTGGTGCAGGCGCAGGGGGGTGTGATCAGGTGCGTATGTGCGTATATATGTATGTATGTATGTGTGTATGTATGTACGTATGTATGTATGTGTGTATGTATGTACGTATGTATGTATGTATGTATGCATGGATGAATGGATGGATGGGCGGATGGATGGATGCGCGAGGGGAAAGGGCGGAGGGAGGGAGGTGCCGGGAAGGCATCATCCGAGTTTTGGGAGGCGTCACCGGACGGCTTGCCGGCAGGACGTCTTTCTCCGCCTCCGCAGCCTTCTCAGAGCGCTGTGTGCCGTCCTCCGAGTAGTGAAGCATGAAGCAGCCAGCAGGCTGTCTCCCCACCACCTAACCCTGGACGGGGCTTATGCACCCGGCTGGGTGCTGCTGCCCTTTTTACTGTCCGTACATACACATACACATACACATGCCCGCGTAACATAAACCCTCTCACCTCCCTACTCCTTCCCAACACCCATCAATGCTTCCCCACTCCCACCCAGCCCCCAACACCCTCTCCATTCCAGGTTCTCCACATTTGCATGATCCAGTCTTCCCCCCGCCCTGACCCGCTCCCCGCGGCTACCCCTCCCTCCCCCCCC